TCTCGTCGTTGGCGGAGTCTTCGCCGGGCGCGAAGCTGGTGCTCGGCGGCTTCTCGCAAGGCGAGCCTTCGAGGGTTGGTCCTTCCCAGCCCAGCGGCACCCATGTTTCCGTTTGTCTATGGAATGGGTTGCCCTTGAACATCAACCAATCAAAAGCTTTGTTGTTGTTTTTTCTGTGGCCACTGGGCGTCCAAGGTCAGCCACAATCAAAACCAAGGCTATGGGAGGATAGGTGACAGCCCTTGCCAAATACTGTGCGGGCATCCACCTTGTTTGCTTGGCATGATAGTGGAAACTGCTCAAGAACACGGAAAGCAAACCATCAGACCACTCTTTTTCGAGGTTATCCCTTTTGCGGACCTAGCAGACACTAGGATTGCCTCACATTGGCATCAATTGAGACAATGAGGGCTCCAGCTTGTTTTGACATCTGGGTATGTGTTGGTGTCGTGATGCTTCCCTTCGAACAGTGGTCCTGTTGTTTAGGACCCCCCCATTTCAGGAACATAAACGACGCGGGGTTCTATTGGGTTCCTTTTTGTTGCATCCCCTCGGAAAGGTGGCTTCATCTTGGTTTTGTGTTGATTCCGTCCACAAGAGGGTCTAGTTGGTTTCCCTAGTTGCTCCAGCTTCGGTTTGACCTTGAACCTTTAAAATCTTTCAACCTTGATATTCCCCCTCTAGCTCTAGTAAGCAGCTGAACTGCTTGCAAGGGTCTCAGAGCCACCCAGTGTCCACACATCCTGGAGCAGTGGATGTCCCTGCCCCACGTCCAAAGAGCGTAAGTATTGTCTCGGCACTGTCATCATCGAGTTCACCATGTCGAGTTTTGCTCAAACTTCAATATGCGCTCTCTGGACCAGCAGTGCAGCCCGGCACAAGTCAAATGCTGTAAAACACAACAAGAAAGCCTCCATCCAATCTCGACCGGAGAATCTGTCGACAGTCGGAAAATAGAAAATCTCGACCAATATCGACCGAAAAATGCTGCTGGGGAAGTTCCAGTCGTGTTTTGGTTCCTTTCCCCAGCGCCGCGAGCCGCGAAGAGATGTTCCCCTGCTCCGAACGGAGGCGCCGCGGTGGCGCTGGCCGCTGCCGGGAAGGTGAAGCCGGCCGGGCTTTTGCTGATGTGCCCACCAGGCAATTTGGACGAGGGGGCTGCCTGCAACGGAAATGGGACCTCTAAGTTGCTTGAGGTTGGTTTTTGTTTGCTGTTGGTTTCAGCTATATGTACCTTTGAAGAAACAATTGGTTTTATTTAAGTTTGATATGTCCCTTGCGTCCTTGTTTTCTTGTTGGTTTTCGAAGGGAGCGGCTAAATGTTGTTTTCTAGATCGTGTTTGCGTGAAAGGTAAATGACAAAGGGCTGTCTGAAGTGACACCTTCTGCAACTGGAAACTGAGGGAAGGCAGCCCGGAAAGGGATCCAGCAGAGCGCTTCCTTTAAGCCGGTCACTGGAAATCAGCAGAAGGAACCTAACAAAGCGGTGTTGTTTGCCAGATGCCTCTCGAAATGGATATCATTCATGGGTTCGTTTTTTTTTTTTTTTTTTTTTTTTTTAATTTATTTTATTCGGAGTAGACAGGTTTATTGCCCTCCCGCTCACACCCACGTAAAAACCTCATCCTTTGACAAACAAGAAGGGATTCGTGCGGCGAACATTCTTACAGTTGCACAGCGAGTAGTTTGGTTTTTGCTTGGGTTGGTCAACTGTCCTTCTAAACCCCGATAAACCCATTTATTTGGGATAACTTTTGCTACTAACAGAACACTGCAGCTAGTCAAGGGGCAGTCAACCGGAGTTCATATGAGCAACTGCAAAATGATTGCTAGTCTATTATTTGTTGGTTTAGGGAGGACGGGGGGGGATAACCTCGAATGTCCAACAAACAGCGATGGGCCCCAAAGTTGTAGCATTGCCCCTGAGGCCATGATCAGTCAGTCCTGCCCCTTTCACCCCGCTCCAGGCTTCTGCGCGTCGATGCTGGAGGGTGCCCCAAAGTTGGATGCGGCCGCTCTGGTGGCAGCGGGCAACGAGGATCCCATCGCGCCAAGGCGCTTCGTGGGGTGAAGCCGGGAGTTCGGACGCAGCAAGCCCCAACCCCAGAGGGATCCTCAGAACTCAGAAGGTTCCTTCCGAAGCTTTCCTGGAGAATAGCAAAAGGGGGCCTTGGGTTTCCTAAAGCAACGTCACGTCAGCAGGTTGTAATTAGGCAGGCGGACAAGTCCTCCTTGCCAAACGATGATAAGTGCATCTGCTTTCATGTCGCCCCCGCAAAGCCAAAGGATCAATGACTAGGTTTTGCCAGTGTTCAAGCCACGCCTCCCCCTTCATGTCACTTCTGCCAACGGTGCCTTTTACTGCCAAATATGTTGCAAGTTCACCCCCTTGTTCTTGGCCAGTCACCAGTACACGGTGTGTGTGTGTATATATGATCTATGTGTGTGTTTGTGTGCTTGTCTATATAAGTTTGTGTGTCTATATGTGTGTGCAGTGGAGGTGGGCGTGTTTGAGTTTGTGGGTGTGGATGTTTGAGTGCGTGTGTGTGTCTGTGTGTGTGTGTGCGCGTGCGTGCGTGCGTGCGTGCGTGCGTGCGTGCGTGCGTGCGTGCGTGCGTGCGTGCGTGCGTGCGTGCGTGCGTGCGTGTGTGTGCGCTGTGCGGTGTGCGGTGTGTGTGTGTGTGTGGTGTGTGTGTGGTTTGTGTGTGTGTGTGTGTCGTGTGTGTGTGGTGTGTGTGTGTGTGGGGTTTGTGTGTGTGTGTGTCGTGTGTGTGTGTGGTGTGTGTGTGTGTGTGGGGGGTGTGGGGTGTGTGTGTGGTGTGTGTGGTGTGTGTGGTGTGTGTGGTGTGTGTGGTGTGTGTGGTGTGTGTGGTGTGTGTGGTGTGTGTGGTGTGTGTGGTGTGTGTGGTGTGTGTGGTGTGTGTGTGTGGTGTGTGTGGTGTGTGTGTGTGTGGTGTGTGTGGGTGGTGTGTGTGTGTGTGTGGTGTGTGTGTGTGTGGTGTGTGTGGTGTGTGTGGTGTGTGTGTGTGGTGTGTGTGTGTGGTGTGTGTGGTGTGTGTGTGGGTGGTGTGTGTGTGTGCGGGTGTGTGTGTGTGTGTGTGTTTGGGAGGGAGTTCTTCGGGTTGGTCGGAGATGTGTACATGCGTGTTGCGGTTGGCAGTTTGGTTGAATGGTGCAATTATTAGATTGATCGATTGCTTTCTTGTTTTCTTCATTCCATATTTCCTTCCTTTCTGCCTTCCTTCCTTCCTTCCTTCCTTCCTTCGTTCCTTCATTCCTTCATTCCCTGCATTCCATCTTTCCTTCATTCCTTCATTCACGGCATTCCATCATTCCTTCATTCCTTCATTCCTTCACATTCATTCATTCCTTCATTCACTCACTCACTTACTCACTCACTCACTCACTCACTCACTCACTCACTCACTCTTTCACTCACTCACTCTTTCACTCTTTCACTCACTCCACTCCACTCCACTCCACTCCACTCCACTCCACTCCACTCCACTCCACTCCACTCCACTCAACTCACTCACTCACTCTTTCACTCTTTCACTCTTTCACTCTTTCACTCTTTCACTCCACTCCACTCCACTCCACTCATCTCACTCACTCACTCTTTCACTCTTTCACTCTTTCACTCTTTCACTCTTTCACTCTTTCACTCCACTCCACTCCACTCCACTCCACTCACTCACTCACTTACTCACTCACTTACTCACTCTTTCACTCACTCACTCTTTCACTCACTCACTCTTTCACTCTTTCACTCACTCACTCACTCACTCACTCACTCACTCACTCACTCACTCACTCACTCACTCCGCTCGCTCGCTCGCTCGCTCACTCACTCACTGACTCACTCACTCACTCACTCACTCACTGACTCACTCACTCACTCACTCACTCACTCACTCACTCACTCACTCACTCACTCACTCACTCACTCACTCACTCACTCACTCACTCACTCACTCACTCACTCACTCACTCACTCACTCACTCACTCACTCACTCACACTCACTCACTCACTCACTCACTCACTACTCACTCACTCACTCACTCACTCACTCACTCACTCACTCACTCACTCACTCACTCACTCACTCACTCACTCACTCACTCACTCACTCACTCACTCACTCACTCACTCACTCACTCACTCACTCACTCACTCACTCACTCACTCACTCACTCACTCACTCACTCACTCACTCACTCACTCACTCACTCACTCACTCACTCACTCACTCACTCACTCACTCACTCACTCACTCACTCACTCACTCACTCAACCAGCCTCTCACTTGTTTGTTTCATTTGTTCAGGCGTGTTTTTTTTGTCGTTCATTGTTCATTAAATCATTCATTCACTCATTCATTCAATTATTCACTCACTGACTCGGTCGTTCATTCATTTGTTCACTCGTTCATTCATTGGCTTGTTTTGATTGATTGGGTTTATTTGATTGATTGATAGAGTCATTGGTTTGATTGATTCATTGATTGAATGGTTGATTGGTTGGTTGATTGATGGATGGGGTCATTGATTGGATGGATGGACGGATGGACGGATGGACTGGATTGCATAGATTGATTGGGTTGAGTTGGTTTGGGTTGGGTTGGATTGATTGATGGATTGGTTGATGGATTGATGTCTTTCATGGATGGATATTGTGATTTATTCGATTTGATTCGAGTTGAGTGGTTGATTGATTTGATTCATTGATTGCTTGCTTGCTTGCTAGATAGATAGATAGATAGATGGATGTATTGTTTGTTTGATTGATTGATTGATTGCTTCATTTATTTCTTGCTTGATTGATTGATTGCTTGGTTGATTGGTTGATTGATTGATTGGTTGGTTGGTTGATTGGTTGATGTGGTTTGATTGATTGATTTGGTTTGGATTGATTTTGATTTGAGTTGATTTGATGTGGTTTGATTTGATTGATTGAATTGATTGATTGTTTGATTGATTGATTGATTTATTTATTTATTTATTGATTGATTGATCGATTGATTTGATTATTTGATTTGATTTGATTGATTGATTGATTGATTGATTTGATTGATTGATTGATTGATTGATTGATTGATTGATTGATTGATTGATTGATTGATTGATTGATTGATTGATTGATTGATTGTTTGATTGATTGATTGATTGATTGATTGATTGATAATTGATTGATTGAGTGGATTGGATTGGATTGGATTGGATTGGATTGGATTGGATTGGATTGGATTGATTGATTGATTGATTGATAAATCAATTAATTAGTTGATTCATTGGTCAGTTGGTTGATCAGGCAGGCAGGTTGGTTGGATGATTTGTTTGGATGTGGCTCGATTTGCTTGATATCTTTGATGTGATCTGACTGTTTTGATTTGCTTGCTTGATGCCATTGGCTTGCTTGATGGCCTTTGTTGGTTGATGGCCTTTGCTTGCTTGCTCGCTTGCTTGCTTTCTGGCTCTCCTGCTCTCTTGCTCTCTTACTTGCTTGCTTTTGCTTGCTTGCCTTTGCTTGCTTGCGTCTTTGGTTGCGCGCGCGTGCATATAACATGCGTTCATGCATGCTTGTGTACATGCTTAGTGCGTTGCGTGGGCCAATCATTGATAATTTGTTGTACTTTCGCAAACGTAGGTAAACGAGCCGGGGGGTGGGCAACGTTGCGCGTTTCATACCAAGTGTTATGCTTAGGATCGTTTGGATAAGGAGCAGACACCACAAGGCGGAAATAAGAGCCTGTTGCTACTGATCTAGCTGTGCGACTCTGCGCGTTCCGCTGCCCTGCGCTTGAAGCTTGCCAGCCTTCAATGTGGTTGTGTGCCAAGTTGTCTTCTGCATGGTTGCTTGGTGTCTCCTTCGAGTTGTGTTTTGGTGTTCTGTTCGTTTCATTGCGTTATTGTCGGCGACTTCTTTGGGCCCACCCCCCAAGGGCCTGAACCGCCGGGTGCCAGGGCTCAAGTCGAAGAGGTGCACAAGGCGGGGGTGAAGCAACAGGGTCGTGATGGCCAGTGGGAAAACGTTGTGAAAAGGAGGGCCAAATGCCAGCGAACCACCCGTATGGGGGCCCCTGATTTTGGGACATGCCCATTTGCGGGACGTGGACCTTGGCTGGCATAGTCACCCACCAAACATGAAGTGCGGTTTTGTTGCCCTCCATGAATGATCGAGGGCAGCTCTGCTTTTTGCGGGGGGATGCATTTTGAGGGATTTGTTTCGTTGGCACGCTCATCCGAATCTATGCAAGCTTGTCATCAACTTACCTGATAAAAGGTTTTCTCAGAAGGAGTCTGGCGGCTGGCGAACTCCTCAGATTCCTTGTTGTCGGACCCACTACTTCCAGTTTCCATTATAGTAGGTAACCAAGGAACATGATCATGTACAACCTCAAGATACGTAGTACAAGAAACCCTGGTTGCCTACTATAGCCTCTAACTGGAAGCACTGGAGTGTATTGCCTTTTCTTTCTATCCCGGCCATGCTTCGCAAGCGGATGGCGTGGGTTGCTAGTTGCAACTGGTCGAGGCGCTGGCGGGCCACGGTGCTTCGGTGGAGCCGTTGCTGGCCTTTGAGGGTGGCCATGAGGCCGGATTGGCGCTGAGGGCAAGTAGGCTCCACCGGTTTCCACTCCTGTCCGCCCTTTTCCACCTTTGAGCCCGTTCTCAGCAGGCCCCCTTTTTGGGTTGGGTTGACTGTTTGTTTTAGGTGGGCAGAGTGTGCTGTCGTTTGTGTCCTTGGGCGAGAGAAACAGCAAAAGGAAGCGATAGAATCAAATATGTTGTAAGGTATAGTAGGTGCAAGGGCGAACGAAACGAGAAGCGTCACCACGCAATCAACGAGATCGAGATCAGCAAGCCTCGTCCAAGTCGGCCCCGCACCGTAGGATTGTGTTGGGCCAGCTTAGCTACCAAGCAATCAATGAGGGTCCGACGGTCCAGACACTGACTTGACTCTAGAGATTGATTGTAATTGTAAGCGCCAAACATGTTCACCGTGTCAGGAAAAATGCACAAACAGCGGCCAATCTCATGTTTCAAACCAGGAAGGGTAGCGGGGTTTCAGTGGCTGGTGTGGTATCTTCTTTTTGGTCTGGATGCGCTGGCTGCGCCTCTCATGTGTTTGATAGTATGCTGCTGTGTGCCTCGAACGCCAGCAGGTGACTATGACCGTTGTGGAAGCGGCCAAAGCATTCTTGGCCAAAGTGGCAACCTGAGTGGCCAAAGTGCAACGACTCAGGAGGAGCGAGGAAGGGCCATTATCCCCAAGCTTTTGATGCTACATCGTTGAGACAGCATGCCCAGTGACTTAGCTAGTTGACGTTTTCCATTTTGCTGGCAGGGCACTTGTTTGTGCCATTGTCTCAGTTGCTCGGAGCAAACTGTGGACCTGTGGATGTGTCCATGCTCCATATTTGTCAAAGTCGCAAAAAGTGGAGATGCAGCGGCTGGTCTGGCATGATCAAAGTCTGGTGAGTGAGGAAAGGGTCCCAAAATTATATTCTAGAACTTCGGGAAACTGTTCTGAAGCTTTGGAGTAAGGCGGAAGTCTGGAATCTGCCGCGCTTGCCCAGATCATGGCGAATCAGTTGTGCAGATATTGGTTTCGCCCGGCATTGTGGAAAATGTCTAGTCTAGCCTTTTACGAGCAAGGGATCACCATCGACTGCTAGCACTTTGCCGATTTGGAGCCGGGGCCAAAGGGCAAGCCGACGTAGCGCTGATTGTTTCTGGCGTCGCATGCCAGATCCATTGCTTGGTGGCTGAAAGTGCAAAAAACGGCTGGGAAAGCAACTGAGCAGGTTTGATTGCCATCTGATCTGTTAAGACATTGGCCGTTCAAACATGTTGACAATGTTGGCTCATGTGCAGGGTGCTCGTAGTTGTTTTTTCCTACTTCGGGCGGGGGGGCGCTTTCTCGTCAAAAATAAAAGGGCTCTTTTCTCTATGGCCACTGGACCAAACAAGTTGGTATCCCAGGAAAGGGTTCGGCATAGGGTGCAGCCCCGCGGGGAGGGATTCGATGTAATGTTGGGCTCCGATGTCTCGGTGTGCGCAGTTCTGGCGGAGATTGAGGAAGGCTGGTGGGAGCCTCAGCGCCCAAGCAATGTGCAGCGCTGAATTCCTTAAGGACTTGGGACGGGTTTGTGCCCGGACATGTAGAGTCTGTATTGTATGGGGGGATTTTGAGGGCATGGAAGTGGACAGGAGGCCTTTTCAAGAGCATAGTTTTGCAAACCCCTCCTGTCAGCTTCAATGATTGTTGGGAAGAGGTTCCAGGGTAGGGCCCAGAATCCTCGCAGATTTGCGCCGCAAGCACGAGGTACGCACCGGATGATACCAAGCAGTGCTTCTTCAACACCCGCGGGTGCTTTCCTGAGACTTTCAGAGCCGATGCGGTCGAGGCTCTGACTTTAAAAACAACCCTGCTTTGCTTTGATTCTTGCGCACAGAAACCGGAGGATTTGTGCAAATGCTCGGTTTCCTGCTGATGTCATTATTGCCGAAGGGTAGCTAGTTTTGACCCGCTGCCACGTCACGCGGGCCCGGAGTTCGCATGTTGCGAGTGCACGCTGCCAAGGTACGAGTTGTTCCAAGCAGCACGGGCCCATGGCGCGGGCCCGTGACTGAAGCTGGGTGAATGCCTCAAACTCCAGTATCAAGCATTCCCTTCGAAGGCTCAGAAGAACCATAATTCCTTTGTTTGTGCGTTTGAGCGGTCCATTCGTCGACCAAGCACCTTTTTGAACGCCATGTTGCTTGAAGCTGCATTCCTTTGTCAATGAGACACTTCACCAACATGGCTGGTTAAATGGCTGTGAAGGGGTTGTCGAAACGCACATGGCCTGTCTTTGGGATGCAGGTTTCAACGAGTCGCTTGAACCTTGGAAAACTACAATCTAAATCGAGCAAATAGGCGAGTTTGCTTCCGAGCATGTTTCAGCATGTGTCAGTCTCGATGTGCGTTTGGGTTGAGCTGTCACTCGTATGTTGCTCGCCATGCCTTAGGTTGCAGGATGGTCCCACCAAGTCCAGCTAGAAGCGGTTGTTTGAAGCAACGGGGCGAGTTGTGGCTGGCAAAGACATCGGTGCTGATTGCCTCGCGGGCACAACATGCATGGCAGCGCTGTTGGCGGGTTTTGTGTCGTCCTGAGCTCCGTCAGGTGGATATGCCGATCTGGCGCGCATCTTCATGTCCTGCAACAAGGACGCTGCTTCCTTGAGGGCAGCTGATGGGATCTAAGGGGCAATAGAGCGGGAGAGGGGTTGAAACAGGGGCCAAAAGGGGCCGGGCTTGGTTTTGAAGACTTTCTTTTGTGCCCCACTTCAAAACAAAAACAGTTTGCGTGTGTCGATGTTTTGTTTGTTGATTGTTTCTCAGGAGAAACCTGAGAAAGGGCTTGCTGGTATAGGAAGCCCAAAAGGCTCAGCGGCGCTTGAAGTAGGCTGAGAGCATTCCCACTAGTGTTCCCTTGGGAAACGCAGCAGCTGGGGTGAGTTGGCATGCTCATAATAGTATTGGCAAGCATGGGACAACAATGTAACTGAGGCCCGCATGCCTGTGCTTCTCATGATTTTGGCAAGCATAGGCTCCCGAGCAACAGGAGCAATGCAGTTGCGGAGCGCGTGGGGTCAACAAACATTCTACCCACCAATCAGGAGGATTCCCTGTTTGCTTAGGAGATTTCTTCTCTTTGAGGGAAGCCTGGCATGTTTATCAGGGACACCATGACACATAGTCCTTCAAAACTGTGTCCATTTGCTTTGATCTGAGAGTGCTGGCACACGTTGAGATGCTCAGGCTCAGGGTTGCCCGGCACTTGGGAAGTAGAACCCTTTTGGGAAAGAAAGGAGCCACCTTGAGTCATTTGGTGATGTGTCTCCTCAGAAAGCAGCTTTTCTGAATAGCCCTGTCAGGGGGATGATGGATGATACTGATGCTATTGACGCTGCCTAATTGCTGCATTTTGAGCGAGGCACTTGACAGAGGGCTTCCTGATTGCTTTTTCGCTGGCAGGCAGTCGGGGAAGGTCCTTTAGCTTCTATGTCAGTCCTTCGGTGTTCATCTCACGGCAAGTTGGTTTATCCATGGTAAGAATGGCTAGAATGATCTATTTTTTGTATGCAGTGTTCGCAACAATGATTTCAACATGTGGGATTGTCCTTTCAAAGCAGCACCACATGTCACCGAGCCAAACTCCCTTGCGAAAAACCCGGACCCTTTTTTGTGACAACCTGTTCACGGTGCAGGAGCCGTCCAAAATCATGCACATCGGCACCAACCCATTGCACCAGCCTCAGCGACCGCATGTATGACCAGGGTGTTTTTTCGGCGCAGGGATGTTTTTTGTTTGAGGGACCCTTTTTGGGATTGGTTGAAAGGGAAACGACGTAAAATCACCCATTTATTTAATTAAAGACTAACCCAAGTATTGCTGAATAGCGCATTCCCTTTGCTGAACCCACCACAATCTTGCATGGATGGGCAGTAGACATGATGCATGTTTGGAAGGGATATCTACACGGATAAGCTTCGCGAGATTTGAAGGACCCTTTTTGAGTGTGCCAACCATGTTTCAGAAGGCCATGGCAATATGTTTCATGTGATTCCATGTGCAGCATGCGTCTTGCATCGCCTTGCTTTCCTTTACTCTCCATGATTCACTACCTAGGATTGTGCATGTTGATGAGTGACCTCTTAGTCGTGTCTATATAGTTGGACTTGTTGTGTTCTATGCCAGCTGTTCACTGGTCGGTTGGGGTGAAATGCATCCCATTTGCCACCGGAGCACTGGCTGTTGTTCACTTCATTGTGCCATGGAGCTTGGAGTTCTTAGGTCTCAACCCAGTTGCCTTGAGGTGCTCGCTTTTCATTTTTTGAGGGAGGGGGGGTCCCTTTGAATTCAACCAACCAAGAAGTGTTACTTTTTCTCCCATGTCCAACTGAGTCCGATCACTGTGATTTCTGACATCGCCAAAAGGAACCACAAGAAAGGATAGAGGTTGGCTCCTTCTTATCACCCCCAGCCCAGCGTTGTTGACCCTATCTCGCAGTGAGTTGGCAAGGAAACCTCCAGGAGAATCAGACAAGTATGCGTTGCTGGTCATGCCACTTGTCGCTGCAGGTCCGCTCGGAATGCCCGCACCAAGATCGCATACTGAAAGGGCTTAGTGTGTGAAGGGCATCTTGGGCCAGCGTTGCTGCGCACTTTGCTCCAGCTAGGGGTCTACCCGCCATGAGGAACCGTGTAAACGTAAGAACCTGGATTGAGAGTTGGACGCATGCTGTAGCTTCCTTCTAAAATGAGAAGAAAAAAAACGGGGTTCGACTCGTTTTGACACATGTGCCCTTTCTTAAATGGGAGTTGGTCAGCTTGTTTCTGCCTCGGCCAGTTGACGTCTCTGCAGTCCCCGCCCAACATCCACTGCTTGGGTGTGTGGCAATTCAGCACATGAGAAACATAATTTCAAAAATGCTGCAAATTTGAATTAAGTTCATATGAAGTTGCGACCACAGCATACGCGTTGGCAGATTATATGAATCATGGAATGATTGGGTTTCAACTTGAGGGGTAGCTACCGTTGCATTTGGTTCCACCAGAATTCGTACTCGCGGAATCTGCTACGAGTGCAGAAGTGCGTGTCGTTGGTCCCACCCCCCAAGAGAGCCATACTGGGAGTCTGCCTTCCTTTAGCAAAGCAACATCTCCAGCCACCCACCCACATGCCCATGCACCCAAAAAAGCAAAGCCTTGTGCTACCCCACGGATGGCATGTGGCAACCTGACATCATGATTGTTCTGAGATGATGCACAGCAGCCCAACAACAGCTAATAATCCTACGGTAGGGGAACGAAATGTCAAATATCACCTTGTGGTAGCTGTGTTTACATGTAGTCGTTCATTTGTGAAGGTCAAGTATCTATACTGTCCGAAACACGACCTCGGCATCACTTCACATGGGCGCACACGCAGCACATGGCTGCGGTGGCCGAATGATTTGCGAGGCTAAATTATCAACCTAGGCAAATGAAGGTTACCCAAAGGTTTTGCAACCACAGTTATGAAGGTGCTTTACTTACCGGTCCCTTACAGGTGTCAGATGAACAGATGAGCAGGCCCAGCAACGCTACAGGGCCGGAAGGAAGTGGCTTGCGTCTCACTGGTGCAGCTGAAACTGCAGGCAGCATCGTTAGGAAAAAGCTTGAGTTGCCTTGCGTGGACGTGCCATGCGGCCCCCGGCCCCGGCCTGTCGCAACTGCCAAAAACATATTTGCCGCCAGAGACGTGAACAACGAACACATCTCGGCGTGTTTTGTGTGTTGTTGGAATGCCAATGACCGTTGCTACCTGTCGCGATTGCTCAAACAGTTCTGCTCGCTGTTGGCCCCTGAATTCCAAGCTTTATCGCTGGACAAAAGAGCAGTGGAGGCTCACCCGTGACATTTGGTTTGTTTGTGTGGTGTATTAGGCGCGGTTGTTCGCCTGCATGCTTTGTGCGTTGGCTTGGTTGGTGTGTGTGTGTGTATTGTATTGTTTGGTTTGAATGCTGAGTTGTGTGATTATGATTTGTTCGTGTGCATTCCTTGTGGTTGCTTACTTGCTTGTTTGCTTGTTTGCTTGTTTGCGTGTGTACGTGTTGTCATGTTTGCTTGCTTGTTGCTTGTTGCTTGTTTATGTGTTGGGTAGTAGTTTATGACAGTAGGGATGGCACATTTCTGCCAGCACTCCTTTGAGGGTGATACAATCGGCCCAACAGCCTGCAACCTACGCTCACAGCACAAAGCTTGCTGCAATGGCATGCTGCAGGAATTACAAGACGTCTGATTCCATTTCAGCCTGACATCTATATCGACAGCCTGCGACGCTGCTCCGTGCCTCATGGCATTGTGGACATATTTGTGGAGGCGCATGTGTTGATTGAAGGTTTGGTTTCCCTCCTTTAGCTGCTTCCCAACACATCAGTGAAGCATTCCCAAGCTTTGGCATCGCCCATGCCGGACCGATGTTCCGCGGACTCCTTGGAGTACTGGGAGGACTTCTACGAGGATCGGCGCAGTACCTACGACACGCTCTATGGCTACGAGGTGCGCAAGTGAGGGGACATGCACATGCGCTCACGTTCGTGCCAAGTGAGGAGCCAAGAGACTGATTGGTGTGAATATTAGTCACCATACTGGTTTGTACCTGCCTGGCCTGTTTGTATAGTGCTAGCAAGTCACATCTCTACTTGCCAGCGGTCCTTTTGGCGCCGATCCAGAGGTGGGCGAGTGCTATTGCGTGGCCCGATCTTGACAAGTTTTCCCTTCAGCTTCCCACAAATATGTTTGCCAGACCTCGGATTTGGCAATGGTTCCTTTTGCCTTCCTGCTTTCAATCACCTCTTACTGTAGGCTACATTGAGTCTATCCCTGTCTTCCAAGTCGCAAGGGTGTCCGTATTCAGTATGGTGTCTTATTTTGCAACCAACAGAGTTTATTCTGGCTTCAATTTCACAAGGGTTTCATGATGGTTTTCCCTGTTCAATTCCAAAGCTTTGAGGCAAACTCAAGGTCACTGAATAGTATGGAGGTAATCGCACAATGTGGCCCTCTTGGAAGTGAGTCCATCACTTCGCAGTTTGAAGGGTTATCAAGTCAGAAGCTCGTTCAGTCACGAGAATAACTTTGATAGTGGTAAATGCCAGTCAAAGTAAGCCCCAACCACATCCCCCTGAACCCCAGCCCACAGCACCTCCAAACCACCCCAAAACCTACTTGAACAGAGACCCAAAAGCTGTCAGCTGTTTGGCCAAAAGACTTCAACTGTGACTTTGAGCGAACCAGTCAGAGGAACGGAACATCCACTGCCTCGGTTGCCAGGACCTGCGTCCGCTTTTGCTGTCCCTGGTGCGGCCTTCCAGGCAGCTGCGGGTCCTCCACGTAGGCGCCCAAGCAGTCCGACCGGTGCCCGGTGGCACGCGCGGTTTGTAGTGGGAAATCGTATGTCAAGGGCTACACACTGGCATTTTCATTAGAAGCACTGGTTATGTCTTGGTTTGCGTATTCGAAGCAAAGGATGCAAGTGATGAGTTCCTTCCACGAAGCGGCAAGGAGCAAATCAGGACAAATTCAAAGCCGTGAAAGTGGACAACGGGCAATGTCAACGGACCATCAGTGAGTGTTCCTGTCATGAACTGGCAATGAGCAAAGCAGTAACATTGTAGTGAAGGCCGCGGACCTCCAGCCGCAAGGAAGATTTCACATGCCGACCTTGCGCGCTGAGCCAAAAGCGGGGTGTTGTTGAGATGAAGCAAGCGCAGGATGATGTAGAATCGATGTACATACTGGCGATAGGAAACAGAACATACATAGATGATCAGAAGCCTGAAGGCCCCTCTCTACGGACACCCCGTCCCCCAACCATTGAGGACACATCATTTGGCCATATTTGGCCCTACAAGGCTTGTCAAGCTGAAATCGTTGGGGCCGGTTGGTGTAGAACTCCACACTCCCTGACTCGAAACCATCGCCGTGGCAGGCTGCGGCACCAGCAACGTGACGCAGGGCCTTTGGCGCGATGGCTTCCGTGCCCCGGCTCGCTGGTCGACTGTGTCGTTTCCCAACAAGCGACTCCCAAAGCTTCCCCTTGTTGGGGTGGTTTGATCCGGAACTTGGATGGTGGACACCAGCTAAAGGTAGTTCACCTCAACAGTCTCCACTTCGTTTCTACCACTTTTCTCATGTGAGCTGCAGCCTCTTCAAGTCCTCAGAGCGCCGGAAGTGAAAGCGGTCAAGTCCCTGCGTTGCTTTGCTTTTCACAAAAGAAATGCCGAGCAGACTTGATTCCCTAAATATTGGGAGTCTACCTAAATACCATAAAGTCTTGTCAAAGGTGGACAGAACATGGTTTCCCACGCAATCCACCGTCCCTTGGAACCGCATAGAGCCTGCCAGAAAGCATTCGGCAATGGAACGAGAAGGAGATGATGAACAGTGGATGCCCAAAAAAGTGGACCCTTCCAAGTGAGTGGCTTTGGAAACACCCACAGACCAGCTTTACCCACCCAGGCCACCCAGGCTTCAGTTGCAAAGGCTTGCGCAGCACGGAAACAGAGAATGCACACCTGGACACCACATGAGATTCTGTTCGTGGAAGTCATTTGAGAGTGTCTCGTGCCATCTGAAGGGCAGCAGATGCCGGGGGCATGCAGTGGGCTGGTACTTTGGCCAGAGAAAATCATTTGTGCTGGGTGAAGCAACACTTGCCGGATTTCGCCATAATTTGTTTGCTCCAAATCTCCTCGAAAGTCTGCTCTGAAAGGCGGTTGATGCGAAGGAGCATGGATCCCTCGGGGTGTCTTTTGGTAGGCAAATTGCAAGTTTTGTGGGATCCCTGTCCATGGTTGTTCAAAGCGGCTTATTGTGTGCCTTAGATTGTCAGAAGCAGGATCTGCCCGTCTTCCTGGCTAACAAACCTTGTTGACCCGTTGCTGCTTTAGGGGAAGGAGGCGTCATGTTCCAAGGAGGAGCACCCAATTCGAAGTTTACAGGCTGGCCAAAGTGGTTTGATCCAGTACTGTACTTTTGATGGCTTTCCTTCTCATACTGTCTGAGAAATGCAGCGAGAAGGGCCAGCCCTTGTTCCACAATAAGGGAAAGTCAGCCATCTCTAGGTCAGATTCTGAACATCGACTTCAGTCAGGCAAGGACCATGTCGCTGGGGAACTGGGCATGTTCACAGTTGGGAACTGATTGGCGGGTGAAAGCGGAACAAATGCAATACTCATTTGTGTTTTTGTGCTTTCTTTGGGTGGGGATGATAGTTACTATCTACACCGTGTGTGAGGTTGACCCTGCTGGTGACCATCCATTGGTCATGATTTAGTGCGTTGGTGAGCATGCGTTGTTGTGTGCATTGTTGATAGATATTTTGACATTGAACTGTTCAGCAGGTTTGACGGGGAGAGGCGGTATCCTTACCCCACACGCGCTCACCTGATGCAAGCTCTAGTGATATTAACCCCGGATTGATCAACCTCGCGGATGATCAAGGGGTGGTTTCCCCAAAAGTGAAGGCATCCCATTGAACATGGACCACCTCATGCCACGTCTCTATGACTCGACCTGGGTTTGTCACCTTCCTTTAGCAGTCGAAAGCTGTCAAAGGCGTCAACTCAGATCATTGGTGGCCTATAGTTGCCAGGCTACAGTGCGACATGTGTTTTTCTGCACTGGCCACAACAAGCATAGAATCGCTCGGATTTCCACATTTGAGATTCCATGTTTTGTAAAATTCATGTTTGCCTTGGTGAGGCGTTATCCTATTTTGGGAAGACTGTTTTAGTTGTACACGCAAAAGTTTGGACTGTTGTTTGGCCGATCTACTCAGGAAGTGGGGTAGCTGGTGCGAGGGTAATCCCCCGAGCTCTAGGAACGGCTCGAACCCGCCCCAGGTGGTGGTCAAACTCATGTCGGAGCGTTGGGTGGAGAAGTGCCCTGACGACTCGGAAGGACAGCAAATGGTGTTGATCGGAGGGTCAGCATGGCCACCTGTTGGTTCCGCCGAGCCATCCCAAAGGGGTCGTTTTGAGACATCTGTGGAACATTATTGGTTTTTGTGAATGGCCAGGGGAATCCTGGCGCCTGAGGCGATTTCGTGGCTGAGTGTACATGTTGTTTGAGTCTTGTTTGTCGGCCACTGCTTCTTCAACATGAGTGTCGAGTGCCTTGATTTACCACATGGTCGCTGGGTAGGCAAGTTGCATGAAAGGTTTCAGTGTTGTGTTGTCTTCCAGCGGTTTTGGACTGAATTGAAGGTGGTGGGCGAAGCTGGCCAGCGAGCGAAAGAAGTTCCTTCAGTCCTTCAGTCTTCTCTTGAAAGCAGGCGGATGTTCTGATAACTTCATGTGCAGTTTTACGAGCTAGTGGGCAACATTATTTGACGCACCAAGAGCTGTGGTGCTGTGCCGGCCCCTTTTCCGCCTTTCTGCAACATCCGGCCGGACTCGTCCGTTTCCGTGAGGCGTGCAATGGCGGCACATGGATTTGACGGATCTGTCTCAGCGGCTCGTACGAAAGTTCTAAGGACGGAACATGTTTTTGGCTCAACAGCAAACCTGGAGAAATGGATTCACTCCCCAGGTTTCCGACTTCAGACAGCCCTGGGAAGATCAATCCGATGAATGCCTTTGCAATACAATGCTTTGTTGCGGGCCGTTCCGTTGGCCAGGGGAAATGTATCGTGCCTCTTTGGGCCATCCCAGGCTGCCTGCGGCATCCTTTGATTTGGCCATCGAGAAGTTCACGCCTTTCGGATGCATTGTAGGTGGGTCTACTGCCGGGTTCCATGGGGGTTGCAGTGGAACACTGCCATTTTTGTGTAGAACCACGAGTCAATGAGGTTCAGCAGCTGCTCAATTTGCTGGGCCCTTTCGGGAGAACAGGCCACCATCTCATTGGACGCGGTGAGATTGTAGGCAGAAGACATCCCTCTTGCTGCTTTGATGAATTACGCCCGTGATGGAGCCCAGTTTCTGGAACCCACTTTCTGTGATACCAATCCCCTTCGAGGCAAGGATGGCCTGCATTGGCAGCAGGGAAATAGTTGTTGGCTCTTGTTTTCTTTGACCTGTGCACATTGAGGTTGGATGCAATCCTGTGCGAAGCGAAGGACTGGATGGCTTGGCGTCAAACTCCATCCACATGAGCACTTGACAAATGATGAAATATCTACTCTTGATTTGGAGAGGACTGGACCCCACATGCCCAACAAAAACCACTTGTTGTCCCAGCCACACACCCCTGGAGCATGATGTAAGTTTCAAGGAAAGGTTCAGTCAGGCTCGGGAGACGAAAGTGGGAAAACAAAGACAAACCTACCGGTCCGGTCCTTTCTCATCTTTGCCTCTTTCCGTGTTACACCTCCTTGTCTCACTCTGTTGCTGGGGTATGTAGGACGTACAAGAGAAGCGAGGCCCCACCCAATCTCCCCATGTCGTCTTGGGGAGCAGTTGTATTTTGTCCGGGGCTCGCATGAGCAACAGACTTGCGCAATGGACCTCGTTACTGAGATATCGGTTTGGGGTGGGTCCCTATCGTTTCTGCGTTGGTCGGTTGGTGGGTGTTGGTTTGGGGTGGGCCCCTGTCGATTCCTGGTGGTAATTCTGTCGGTCACTTACATCGGTCACTTACATATTATGTATATTATATATATATATATTTGATATAAGCATTGGCAATTTCGGGCGAATTGTGAAGGAATTGGGCGGGACCTCCCAACATGTCGCTCAAAAGCAAGAGGGGCCACTTGTTTTTGCTGTTTTCTCGAGGCATGTGCTCAAATGCCCGTTTGGGGAAAACAAATGTTGGTTGGTGCCTCATATTCCAATGGCAGTGACTTCCTTTGAACCTGATGAAACTCTTTGGGTGAAGCACTACCGTGTTGTTGTGCTTTGCTTTGCTTGGGTGGCAGCTTCAGCTTGGAGACCACCTGCGCCTTCCTGAAAAGCGTCGCTGAGCGACCCGCTGGAATCCGTTTTATTTGCGCTTGGGAATTTCGCTGGTCACGATTTCCTTGTGGATTGCTCCAGCTTCGAGCTTCCTTTGTTTGTTGTAGTGGCTATTGGTAGATTGTCAATCGTTTCAATTTGGATCGATTTGTTTGCTTTGGATGTTACTGTTCAACCCCTGTTTGGTTGATAGGGTGGGGTCCCAATTTGGAAGGAAACCGTACTTTGCAGGAAACAATTCGCACGTGGTCAGCGTTACCGTTTGCCCCAAGCCCACCCCTTCCCCAATTGCTGCGGATTCCACCCTTGTTTGCCGTTTTCACTTTTTGTTTGGTACCCACTCACAATGATCAAGCCAAGAAGGAAAGCTTCAAATTGCCAGTCTTTTCATTTCATGATGTTTCACTGCGGAACCCTGCAAGCAGGTGGACATGAATCCCCACCTCAACGAGGTCCACCAAGGGGTCAAGTGAACTTCGTACGAGGAAGACCTCACGGACCCCCGGGGCGTGGCAGCGCTGCACGGGCTGCACCGCGTCTTGGCGCCGGAGGGCCTCTTCCTTTCCGTGGCCTGGGGCGCCACCAGGCGAACCAGAAGGGCACAGCGCGCTTCTTCCCCCCCCCGGCCCAAACATACCTAGGTCCAGCAGTGCCCTTTTACCGTTTCTTTTTTGGGGGGAGGGTTCCCCTACTAAAATCGACTACAGAAAAAAGGGTACCCGTATTCTAACACCTCTACTGGAGGACCTAGCCACCGATTCACCATACCCCGATTTAGTTTGTTTAAGGGGCCCAGGAACAACATGGCAAGGGGCGTTGAAGCGAAGTTTTGCGAGGGAGTTGCTGGTTCCGTCTTTATGTGGGTTGCGGCTCTGTGTCACCGAAAGAACACTCGCAATCATAAGACATATTTTTCAGGCGTTGCTTCTATCATCTCCTAGATGTGAGTTGCTCCTCGGTGGACGTTTCTGACTCCAGTGTTCTCCTGGCGACGGGTTTGGCCATGATCTAAATGCTGCAGGGCTTCGGGCTTGACACGAGCACGCCATTGTCTCACAATTCGGGAAATCCAAAAAAATGGTGTTTTGGTTTCCTGTCGGTTTGAGGCTCGCCGCTTGGCTTGCCCTTTCGGTGTTCCTATTGGACCACCTCCAGCTTCCCTCAAACGGACGAGACCTCCGGAGGCGCCAGGCGCTCCTCAAGAGCGGCGGGCTCTTTGACGTGGAGGTCGGAGCTTCGATGGATCAGGGCATCCGTTGTTAGGGAATTCTTGCGGCGTCGCGTCCGTGGCCAAGAGGGAATTCCACATAAACAGCTCTTAAGGTAGGAATCCTAGATGAACCTCAAGTAAGGCCATGTTGAAAGGGCCTTCGACCCGTTTCAAAGGGGATGTTGAGGTCTGTATGAACGTTGTAAACGCCTAGTCAACTGGATTTGGTGCTGCTTACCTGGTTAATGGGCATCCGATTGCATACTGGGTTCCTTTTTCGCCTACATTGAACTGATGTCTCCAGTTTGGACACGTTGCGCATGCGAGGACTGCCTCCCCCACAAAGCTTATAGAGAATATGCAAGAACGTTTCCAAACCACTAGAATGCAAGTCCAAGGGTGGCAGCAGCAGATGGGACAACTTCCGGGAACATCGCAAGGGTACATCATTCATCACCATCTATCACCCCAACTCCGGCGTGGTTTGTGCGGCTCCTTGCATCATGAAGCTACACGCCACTGCGCGACTAATGAATTCTGCAGCGGGTCGATCCCCCTTGCAATGGGCCCCTTGGGCAAGAAGCATGCCATTGCAATGGTTTCTGGGTGTTGTGCAAGTCAGAGCTGGGATGTGTGTGCTTTTTCAACCCTGCCACGTTCAGGATTCCTTTCATCGCACCAGTTGGGGATTTGAGGGGTGTCTTGGAGAATAATTATTGAGACTTGATCATTAGTAGTGTGCTTGGGGACTACCAAATCGCCGTTTCCGACCAATCCCGTAAGTCCTTTTGCCGAAGGGGGCTGAAGCCGCCCTGCACCGCCGTAGGACTGGGGTTTCCGTTAGGACTGCTTGTGTTGGTTAGACCAATTTTATGCTCACCCGCAAAAGACAAAGGTGTAGTTGATTTCTGGAAGTTAGGCCATTCTTCTCCCCTGAAAGGTGGCAAAAGACACTATTGCTGGGTTGAAGATGATGACCAATATGTCCAGAGAAATCGCTACGCTCCCCAAGGAACGTGCCCCAAGCACCAACGAACAAGCGTTTGTGCCCTGGGTCGGCACTTGGAGCAGGCGGTTCTTTGCCTCAGGAAACACACAGAAGTCAGAACTCGCTACGGGAAGGAGTGGTAGCTTTGGGTTTGACTGAGCCAAACTTATTGAAGAATGACGACTGCGCCCTACTTGCTTTCACAGGTACAACTTGCTGAAGAGACACACAGCATGCACCTTTTTATATGTGTTTTCTTTGCATGTGCATATGTTCTGTTGTATATGTTTTTCAGCAGCCGCGTAATCCACTTGTTTGCTCCAATGTGAGGTGCATCAGCTGCCGGGCGATGCTCCACAGCGGCCCTGGGTCTACGTTTGCAGGAGCTCCTGGGGAATGGGCAATGCGCATTGGAAGGAAGTCTGAATTGTACTCGAAGGAAATCGGAAAGGAGATCAACCATTTGTGATATAACTCAGTACGAGCAAGCTGTTTGTCATTTTTGAGCACGTTTCCTATTGTACACGAAGGCTGCCGCCCGGGTTCTGCATGAACGACAGGTGAGTAATACTTTTCAGTGGAGCCAAGGTGGTTCAATGTCAAGCTGCAAAGGCCTTATTTCAATCAATCGTGGCAGGCAATGGAAGGTCACTGCAGAATGAGCCCGTATGCACTGAAAAATGACGGGCAGGAGACTCCATCGCCTTTGCCAAGGAGTAGCCGTCGAGTTAGTTTGTACTTAGCTGGCTGAGAAGGGAACAAAGTTGTCCGACGAACGGCCATGAAGGTAAGCACCTGCCGCCGTTCAGTTTGAAGAAGGGTCAATGACTTTTGCTTTTGGAGAACCACGGATCATCCCATTTGTTCAAAACGTTTTGTTCACCCCCTGTTTGAACCCCCGTTTTCAGGAATTGGTGAATACTTCCAATGGCCCAGTGGCTTGAGAGGTGAACGGATTGAAATGTCTTGACGACCGCCTTGCGGCGGTGAAGGTATCAAGGAGACAACCCCCAGGGCAACCACCTTGGCAAGTCTTCCCAAGTTGGGTTGACAGGTTGCTTGCGCGGGCCCCTGGAGGGGGTTGCTTTCCAGGTGGCGGAAGGTTAAAACTTAGCGGCTCTTTTCTCCCTTGGGGCCAGGGGCTCGGAAGCTGTGATCCTTGCAACAGGAAGCGCATGCCAATGCCGCGGCCAAGCGGGCGCCTTGGCTTGGCATTTGCTTTGCGAATGTTGGTACCCTGCGATTCGAGTGAGCGCAAAAAGGCTTGGTGCCTTTAGATTTCGATACGTTTTAGGCGTTTGCTTGAGTACGCGCCCATCCTTTTGGTTTGGTACCGATAGGATCCTGTAGGTTTCATAGGTGTGTTTCCCCTCGGTTTCTTGCCGATCACACAGCATCAGGCCCTTGGGGCAACCTCAAATCTGAGGCTCAGCCTTGCTGCCTTTGGCCGAGTTTGAATGTTCTTTGCCCAAAACACACAGGGAACCTTCAAGAGGGCTCCTTTTACAGGAGACTGGTCGTCCCTTCCCTCCGCGACAAGTAGTTGGTGAAACCTTGGAAACAGCCGGAGCAGTTGCCTGAAACCACACATGCCTTGAAATTCCATGACTGTGAGGATAGTTTGAAGTCTTTGTGTCATGACTCAAAAACGTGCACTGGTTAATGCAAGGCCACCATAGCATCATGTTTTGTCGATTTGTTGATGATTACGTGCAAAACACTTATTATCACAAGCAAGTGCTTGCCTTGTACAGGAATGTCTTCTTTTCGCTCCTACTCATTTTCACTTTAAACTGAGTACTGCGGTGGATTGCCTACATGTTTCACGGATTTTTGTGGGCTTACCCTGTGTGGTGGTCGGTCAACGTGCAATGACCTGAGACCTCATAGTGGAGGTAGCCGAAAACCCCTTGAAAGCGACCAAATGCCCAGTACTAGCCAAGGAGGGATTGAAAGGGTGCACCTTTCTAGAGGACCCCTTTTAAGGCAGCATACACGCTTATTTGTGGCAACCTGCCCAGGGCAAAACTTGCTCGTCAAACACAAAGTCTGGTTAGGACGCTGCAGCCGGTGCTGAAGCAGACGGAGGATGCTCTTGAGCTCGCACAGACCTCAAGCTACTCAAGATGTTCGGAGCATGATGTGACGTCTATGCCATCAGAAGGCCTACTTACACCCCCAAAACTTTCTCTAGTTTTGACACATTGCCATCACAATTTTGTTGTACATCACACAAAACAAGAATCACATGATACATGATTACTCAAAGGTGCACACTCTTGAATCATGGCTTAATGCTTCATGGTCGTAGCAACATATGCGCAGATCGCCTCCTGCAGGCAAGCATCAGGCCAGCTAGACGTTTTGGCTCTGAGATCAGGTCTGGGACTTGGGCTCTATGCCCAAGTCCTCATTCCAGCTGGACGTCTCCGCCAACGAGTTACGCTGGACACAAGCTGGGCAAAGGCGCAGTGCCGGCATGCGCCTGCTTTCCCACGCACATGCTTCCCCTGAGCAACGAAGTAAGTGCGACATGCGTAGATATGTTCGATCGTTATGGAAGTACAACCATGTGATGAGGGGCCGCGTCCGTGGCCCCTCTCTTGGCATGTTTGAACGCGTCTCTTCAGGGGTATCTGGCAGCAGCGATTTTGGCTAACACAAGTTTGGAGCGGACGGTCGCTATATGATTTTGAGACAGTTCGCCCCAGCCATCATGTGTATTGTGTTTATTTCTTGGTTCGTGATTTAAGTGACTTGGTTGTAGAAGCATACATTTCTTCTTGCGCAGCCAACACAATTCTGTGTCGAATATTTTTAGGCAACTGGCAGTCAACCAGTGAGAATATTTCACGTCTGGGGCAAGGGGAGGGTAGCTGCAGACACGAGCAATCGGATGAGCAAGAGTCAATATGTGTGTGTGTGTTTCTTCAGCATATCCTCCTTGGGTTCAAAGAAGGGAAGCCAAAAGGACAACCACCATATCGGGGTCCCAAGACAAGCCATTCATGACATGATCAACTATTTTACAATGGAATGCCAAGGCCTCCTACCAGGTTACCAAATCACTGCCCCACATGAGGGAATATCTTCCCAGCGGATGCCATTGCCTCTGCATCATCGTTTGAAGCCCTTCGACGCTGAGATTGCTAGCTGCGGCTGGGTGCTGCAAATAGAACTTGGAAGCTTGATAGACGGGGCCGAACAGATTCACAAGTAAAAACACATCTCTTGTACAGGAGCTGGTGGAGAATCAATCGTACAGAATATAATTGTACAGCTAAACAAGCAGACCAGCCGCAGCCTGCGAAGTTTTGCGTTGGTCGTCTAGGCCCCAGGCAATAGTGTTGCGACCTTACTCAGGGAGTTGCGACCTCACCCGGGGTGACGGTTCGCTTCCTGCGTTAATTTGATAGCGCATGTCTGCCACATGCCTTCCCGGCTTACACTTGCCGCCAGCACGACCATGGCCTTGCCCTTCGCCATTGACACAGACAGCGCCAAAGCGCGCTGGCTCCAGGCGGGGCCTGGGTAGAGCGGGTGGACCCTGGAGGAATATCCCAGACGCAGCTTGCCTTGGTCGCTTTTTGCCTTTGGCGGTTTTCGTCATTCCCAATGTCAAAATCCAACAAGCAACACTGGCCTAAGTCTGGCCAAGAATCAAGGTCCCCCTTACAGCTTTCTCGCTTCCAAACGTGGTTGGGCTTTGTACCTTTTGGGGAGGATAAGTTTTGGCGGTATTCTTCGAGTTTAGACGTCTTGTGCAGACCGATCCATTCCAGGACCCCATGTTTGGTAACAGAGACTCAAGGCCATGAGTTCATAGAAGCAACACCCTGGCTCACCACCTTGCCCCCCTAAAGCAAATGGAACGTGTGGTATTTGTTTCCGTGCCGGCGTAAGTACCCCACAACTCACAATGGGTCGGATTTCGTATCAAGGATTGATGGCTCACGGACCGTACCTCCCAGGAGGGCACGCGGCTGCGGCTCAGGGCAAAGATGCAGGGGAAAAAACGGGAATCGCCCGATGGCGGAGAGCGGGCGATTGAGGGAGCCTTCCAAAACTGGGAGCCCCCATGAGGGGAATGTAAGGGAAAGCAAACGGGAATCGGCCGTTAGATAGGCTTCTTTTTTCTGGTGTTCCCCCTATGTGTTTGGGAAACGACTGTGGCTTTTGAGCAACTGGCAATTGTGTTGGAAGTCTTCCGTTGATCAAATCATTAGCCGGCAATCTACTGAGCGATTGTGCTAGTCTGCTGCTTCATTTGGTTGCACCCCGGCAGCAAGCGGAAGTGGTGTTTTTCAACTGACTCAAACCAGCGCTGACACGCGCCACCCAGAGCCAATAACAAGCCTCAATTCCCAATATTGACCGGTGGCCAAGCTGAGCCAAAACCAAGCCCTGAAGCAGTCCAACACCCACCCTCCTGCTCGGAGCGGAGCTTCTGCCCGACTTGCAGTGGCAGATCAGGGGACTGAGTGTTAGGGATGTTGCCCCGCCATCCTTAGCCATCGGCAGAGCCTGTTCTCCGTTTTGGGGGATTGTAAGAGCCGGCAAAGCAACCTTCATTCTGGTAGATCTCATTTTTGCCTGCGTGCCATCCCTCCAGTCATATCAGCGGGGAGTCTTGGAAGATTACCATATCCAAAAGGGCCTTGTCTACTTCGGGTTCTGCTGACATTTGAATGCATGTCGCCCAAACGGGTCTGTCGTTTTGTCCCCCCCCCCCCGCGCAAACTCTCCTGGAATGAGGTAGGTTTTAACTGGCGCACGGATATTGTCATTTCGTATAGGCATCCCCGCACCCGGCTGTGCCAATGCCGCTCACAGCTTGGCTCACGAGTCCGGCGGCACCGACTTGTCTTCCTCAGCCCGTTTGAAACCCGTACGTCGCCATGGGGAGCTCCTTGGCTGCGAGGGCTGCGCAAAATGGGTCCTTGAAAAGGACACCAAAAGGAGGCTGCTTAAGCAATAGAGGTGTCACAACACGTTTAATCTTGGGGTTGGTCCAACCCTGGTTTCACTTTATGATTGTTTCCAGTTGCCACAATCACGGGCGAATGGCTACATTGTCTAGATGAAGGTTGGAATTGGGAACAGCCCCATTTTCCCTGCGTAGGTGCAACACAAACGCCCCTTTTGTTCCGTGGGCAGACAACTGCTTGGGCTCTTTCAAAAGAGGAGGGTGCAACGGTATGTTCTTTGGTTTCTGTATGCAAACTTTTGGACACCCCTACTTTAAGAGTATCAGCTTAGGATTGGCCCCAGTCCGATCTGCAGACAGGGGTAGCAAATTGGTGGCACGGTTCTGGTCTCCCAGTGCTGGTCCGATTTCAAGCATGGCCCCTAAAGGTTTTTTACATGTTATCCGTAGATCTTTTGGGTAAGTGTGGCGGGGATACCCTGTGACAGCCTGTGACCACAACTTACAGCAAGCCGCTACATGTTTTTCCATCATAGATGCTGTCCAATGTTCATGTTTTCACCGAGAAGCAACATGAAGTGAAACAACCGCACCAGGGCTTTGTTCCGATTGGCAGATGGATCATGGTACTTGTGCATACCAGTCTCAGTCATTTTAGGGGTCGCCAACAAACTAGGTCTTTCCATGTTGTACCCCGCTCCCCCTCCATGACTGCGTGGAGCCGCGTTTTGGCATGCAATTGAGCTGCTGTCCGTTGCGTCGCCGAGTATTGCATGGGATATTTTTTAGGAATTTGCGCCTGGAGCCATTTTTGATGGAGTTTCAACAGTTGCCGTGTTGAGGCGCAGCGGTGCCACGACAAAAGTTATTTCAGAAGGATTCGACCTAGCGACCTAGGAAATATATTATGTTTGTCACCCAGAATTGTCTTGTTTTCCCTGTAAAACAACGCCACACGGCTATCCTCAACAAAGCATACATATATGATAGATACTATGATATAGATAGATACGCATGATATGATACCTTTCCAGGTGGTAAGGCGTATCGGAGATCTGACCCCCTGAGGTGGTGCATCAGCGGAGGCAAAGTCCAGCGGGTCTGAGATGATGGGCGCCCCTGAGCTGCAAGGGGCACCGTGTGGGGCTTCCATCTTGTCAACAATCATCAGGATTTGTTCAAGACTACAGTCCTGTTGAAAAGGCCCACTGTCCACTTCCATGAGGGTTGGAAAGAGGGTCGAAAAAATGCTAGCGACCGTCGACTGTTGCCTTTGTTGTTCTGTCCGCAGACCAACGTTCTAGGCCATGTGCCAGGGCTTTGGAATTCTGGAAACGCTGAAGTGGCAAGCTCGTTTGACCCTTTGATTTCCTGATCCAGAATGGAACCCCAACGTGGGCCTACTTAGCAAGTATAGTTAGTAGCTAAGGTTGTCGTACATGTTTGGGAAGTCGTCCAAGAGGGTTATTCATTATCATGATCACCCTCCTCACACCCATACTTGTCTACCTACAGTGCAAAGCCCAGGTAAATGAAGAGATTTGCATGCCTGGAGCTCTGTTAGCCTCTTGCGGGATCCAGCGTCACCCTGGGCAAGTGATGGCAGAATTGGCAAGCCAACCAGATGAAAACGACCTCAATTATTAGGGAGGGCTCCTCTGTCTGGAACCCTTCTGGCGATTGGGGAATTGGCTAGAATATGTCATCAATGGGCACGTCTCAAGGCGAACTGCTCTTGGGATCCCTTAGGATCCCTTGTATTGATTGTACGGCGCAAAAGAAACCAACTGCAGCGGTCCGCAATTCCGAGCGTTGGTGTTATATGACAAAACCAAAAGGAACGCGACCTCTCAGAGGAGTCCCTTTGATCGCGACACCTTCGCAAGCGTGCTCCGAGGACAAGCTGCACAAGACTGCCGCAGGAAGGGCTGCAACTCTGCGTCAGGGTTGTTCCTGGAATTCTGAGCTGAGAGATACTAGGTGGAGCAAGGGCTTATCTGTGGTCAAACTTCGAATTCAAGACATTGGAGGCTTTCCATTCATCCCCTGGCACCTCGGGGAATGCGCGTCAACGACTCTTACTTGCACAGCTGTTCTTTAATGCTTGCCACATTCGAGGCCAAACGAACTCAGCCAGAAGGAAACCAGGGAAGACAAGGCAACCCTACCCCCTGGAAACAGTAAGAACCCCTAGCAGCCTGGGGTAGGGGAAGTCTTTGGCTTCCTCCGAGCGAATTTTGCCGACCAATTTATCAAATCCAAATGCCAGGCGAGGAAGTGACCATGGAAGCCGCCATGGAGGGCAAAAAGGCAGGCGTCGGCTGCTTCTCCATTTGAATCGCGCCCAAAAAGCAATCTGCAAAACAAGCAATGTTGGTACTACTAGGTACATCCTAGTACCACATGAACCTTCATACCCTGAGTAGAACCTGGTTGTTGGGCGTTGCTTATTTGAGAGCGACGTGGGGGACGAAAACTGTTTGCCATGTCCGGTAGCAACTTTGTTCGACCATGGCTCATGTACGTGCCATGGTGTTTCACCCTTAGCAGGGCTTTAGACAGCTATAAGGATTATGTCAAAGGAAACATTACCATAGCCTCCATGATATTTGACCATGCGCATATCAAGTATCTCGTTTACCTTTTTAGGGGAACGAAAGGACTTTGCAAAATACGACCCTTTTTTGGTTGAAATTCAACCCGTCTCGGGGGGTGGAGGGGGATACAAGCATTCTGGGGTGCCTACTTTGTTTTGTTCACATGGCGTGAACGCTTTTCCAATTGAATTGGAGGGTGTCCTGCAATTGGGAAAAGAGAAAGGCAAAGCAACGATTCGTAGTGGCAGATTCGTAGATTGTTCCAGGAAACGTTCACACTACATGCTTGCCATAGTTTGTTCCCCTCCATTTTGCCAGCCCCCTTTAAGTGCAGTCCTGCGGACCAATCTGAAGTTAAGAGCATTTAGAACAGGAGAAGGTTTTTTTTTGGGCACTCAGGACTTCACGGGACCTTTTAGTTTTGCCTTGGCTTTCAAAATCCCTACCCTTGTGTTCCAACCTTTGCAACCTATTAGCAATTTCTTATGCAGGGCGTTGTTCATGTCGCACAAAATGTGCAAAGCAATTGTCAACATTGCGTGCACAGAGGCATGAGTCTGTCTGAAGATAGGGACCCCCTTTGAGGATTTTGTTTAAAGGGCGACCAAAAGGAAACCAACTGCTTGGAGGGTGCCGCAGCCCAGCCACGGGCAGGTGTCCATAGAATAAAGTCCTCTGCACGGCGTGGACTGGGTTGAATGGCTTGTGAAACACGCAGAGGAACCCTCTTCAGATTGATTTGAAGGGAAACCAAAAAAAACTACGACTTTTGTTGGCCCCTGTTTTGTGGCACATACCCATATTGTTTGTTGGCGTGGTCAGTCAGTAGCCCGTTCAGGTCATCGGCTTCTACTTCTCAGCCCACTGGTGTCCTCCCTGCCGTGCCTTGTAAGAAGCGGAGACGGCGCAAACTGGAGACATAAGTGTGCGGGAATCGTTGGGTGTTCAAGCCACTTCGTAGGCAAGTCATAATCATTGTTGTACGGGGCACGGTTAGTGACAGTAAACGGGTTTTGTGTTCATTACTGTATGGGGAGGGGCGACCGGAACCGGAAGGTTTGATATTTCGTGTGCGTTCCGGAGCTGGGTTCGAGCCCGGCTGGCCCTGCGATGATGTGCTCGTCCCTTTGCTTTTGACAATGGGGAACAGCCTCGAAATACGGAACAGACCAGTGGCCAGAGCACGCGATGATGATCGCTCAGACTCAGTGGCCTTTCCACGCAGGTCTGTCTATGAGGGGCAAGCGGCACCCGAACAGTGTTCAGCGTTTTCAGCCCCAACTGGCACCTGATACAAAGAGCTGGGTACATTTGCATTCGCCGCACTTGGCTTCAACTCCTTTAGCGCGACCCCCTGACAGCTTGCAGGTTGATACCAATCTGTGTTTGGAATCGACCCAGGTGGCCAAAAGGCCCAGGCGGTTTTTGACATGACGCTACTACAATGAAAACAAAGAAAGAAGGAGGGGGGAGAGAGAGAGAGAGAGAGAGATTGAGATTGAGATTGAGATTGGGATTGAGATTGAGATTGAGATTGAGATTGAGATTGAGATTTGAGATTGAGATTGAGATTGAGATTGAGATTGAGATTGAGATTGAGATTGAGAGAGAGAGAGAGAGAGAGAGAGAGAGAGAGAGAGAGAGAGAGAGAGAGAGAGAGAGAGAGAGAGAGAGAGAGAGAGAGAGAGAGAGAGAGAGAGAGAGAGAGAGCGAGAGAGAGAGAGAGAGAGAGAGAGAGAGAGAGAGAGAGAGAGAGAGAGAGAGAGAGAGAGAGAGAGGGAGAGAGAGAGAGAGAGAGAGACAAACACACAGAGAGACAGAGAGAGAGAGAGACAGAGGAAAGAGAGACAGACAGAGGAAAGAGAGGAAAGAGAGGAAAGGGAGGAAAGAGAGGAAAGGGAGGAAAGAGAGGCAGCGACCGGGGAAGGGGGGGGAAGGAGGCAGGGAAAGGAGGTGGGGGGGGAGGAGGTAGAGAAAGAGAGGCATAGCGAGGAGGGAGGGAGAGAGGAGAGAGAGAGAGAGAGAGAGAGAGAAAGAGAAAGAGAAAGAGAAAGAGAAAGAGAAAGAGAAAGAGAAAGAGAAAGAGAAAGAGAAAGAGAAAGAGAGAGAGGATGGCGAGGAGAGAGAGAGGGATAGGAACTGAGACGGAGGCTCTAAAGTTGGTTGGACCCCACTAAAAGGGGTGCTCAAAGCAACGCCAAAACAAACCACAAGCCTCGGAGTCCAAATCCTGTTCAAAGAAACATCCCGCTAACAAATGTGCAATTAAACAACACCTCTCTGAAATAGCTGCAATATGGGCCTTTTTCAAAAGAAAGGTGTCTCCACCCCAGGTCACCTCCCTACATGTATGTTCGACCAACTCAGTAAGACACCATAACCATAGATATGATTGGGATAACTGGGTCAGTACGGTTTAGGGGGTTCCTTTGCGTTTTCGAGCCGAAGCATAACCACGTGAGCAGAAAAAGAGAAACCGGGAAGCAACACTTTCCTCCTCCCCTTTTTCCCTTTGCTACCACTTCCTCTGCGTTTGGACACATTCAAATGGAATTGGCAGACGCCGCGCAAGCTTCACCTGTTTAGCATCACCCCCCCTGCGATGTGCGATCGCGGGCGCCTTTGCAAAGGCATCAGAGAAAAACTGAACTGCGGTCAGCATGAAACGGGCCATCTCAACTGACCATTCGTCACAATTCAGGTTCCTGCCAATGTAGCTCACACCACCGCAAAGCTCTGTTTTGTGCCATGGAATGGGCAACCCCAACAGCCCAGCACGGAAAGAAAAAGGAGTTGTGGTGCTGCCTGTGGCCTACTCACGTCTTTGCGGAGTCTGAACATAGGCTTGTCCACAAACACCGCGAAAACATGGTTCACATGTACAAAGCGATGGGCGAGGCGTCCTACTGCCGACATCAAGCGAGACCACCAAAATGCCGACGCTGCCACGCCAAGTTGAGCGTGTTATATGTAAAAAGCTCTCCTTGGAATTCATGCAGCGTCAATCCTCGCTCAGTCGGGTCCAACAAAGCTTGTTTATGGGCAGCCTTCACGCCCACTCCGAATCCCACGAAGGCATGCTGGCCAATGACTTCGGGGCCTGTGTCAATGAAAGCGCGCACTGATGGATTTGACCACTCCCAAGCGAGCCATGGCCAGCTTCTCCCATTTGCCGGCGGCTACATGCAGGGACAAGACTCGCGTGAAATACCCGGCGTCCAACTCGTGTTGCATGAGTTGGCGTGTGAACGCTGCGCTCCCCAAAGCCGATTTCCATGGCCCTCTGCCCAACTGCAACTGGTCCATGTTTTTGTCCTCATCAACTGAACGCAAAGGCATGCATCTCCGTATCGGGTTTAAAATGCCCAGCGACGCTTCAGTTGCAAGCTCAGTCAAGAACTCTGCATCTGGATCGTCAGAATATTCCAGCAGGAACTGCACAAGTTTTAGTCTGAAAGGCTGACCTGGCGCTATTCCCAGCAAATCGTCACTGTGCTTTCCTGCAGCCGCAATCCAATCCAATTTGACAAAATGTTCACAAAATTTCTGCGAGAAAAAACATTCTGACTGGCCAGACTGCAACCCATCTGTGAACTCTTGCATTACGTCTGCCGCGACGGCCTGCAACCATGATTCCCGCAAGCGTCGAAAGAAATCCTTTTCCTGAGGGCAGTTTGCTGTGGACGAGAGGCCGCATCCGTCTTGCACAGCGAACGAAATCTGCCCATCTTGGATGAAGCGACATCAAAGACAAAGCCTGCTGCAACGCGAACTCCCCGAATCCTGACAGCTTCCGCGAAAGGATGCTTGCGCCGAGAATCTGGCTCATTGCCAATGAAAACCCATGCTTCATGCGAATTCAACCCCACTGAGCATGCTGATGCCCAGGCTGCAGTTGGAGCCACATGCGCTCTGAAACGCCGCGCAAAGTCTTCGAGAAAAGCCGTCGAAGTATACCTATAGGAGGGTTTTCATATGAAACGGCTCCGCCTGCTTGGGCAATGATTGTTAACAACTGCACTGCGCGAAAGTGTAGCGAAAAGCTAATCTGAATAGCCACATGCTCCTGAATGGAACAGTCCTTCAAAGTGCGCACACTCTGAAGTGCTCAGAGGCAGCGTGGTGTCCATGTGGTTGCAACGCTTTTGTGGCAACCGAACTGCGCTGCGTGCGCGGCTGCCAGAACACCTGCTCTCGCCAATTTGCACAAAACTGCAGGTCGTGAATCGGCCCCAGCCCCTGCAAACAGATCCAAGAACAACTGCGGCAGGAGACGTGGACTCACTTCAGTGTCTGCGCAGAACTCTGCGGAACATGGCGTTGGCCTAGTCGCAAGCACTGGCAAAGCTCGTGGACCATGCCTTTTGCTTTGACACTGGTCGGTCTGGCGCTGAAACACTTCCCAACCGGATGTGTTCCAGTCCAATGAAAAACATGCCCTTATCAAAGCTAGGCAGATTCATGGGACATTACTGGGTGCTTTTCCCCGCAAACTGTCTCGTCTGGTTTGATTACAGAAAACTAACGGCACTTGCTGGAGTTGCGTGTGTTGAGGTTGACCCGGAAGCAATTGGGCCTTCCGTCGTTGCTGGCGTGGCTCCATTGCTGACTTGTCTTGCCTGGCACCTGCAACTGCCTAGCCCAATTCAGCAGAGTGCTTTTCATACTGTGTACACCCAAGGACTCGCAGCGTTCCATTGTTTCTGCCTGTGGGATTTGACACGCGTTGAATTGTTCCTGCAATAGACATGGAAACACTGCGTTCTTTCAGCTGGTGCGTGCAAATACAATACCCTTTCTGCACCAACACCACACACTGCTGAAACCGGGAAAATCAAATCTGACACAAACGGCTCTGTCACGACACTTGTTCTCTTCAAGGCTTGATGAGGCAATTGCATGCAGATCTGCCCCCAGCAAGCAGTGAGTCAAGTCATCTCCACGCAAGCCCCAGCCACGCGCAGCAAATGGCTGGCCATGAGACAAAGTCTTGGTTTTGTAACAAACTGATCGGACTACCCCGAAACAAAACTGCGTCTCATTCAGCAGCACTCTCTGAGCATCCGCAAATCGTAGACTTGCCCATATGGCAAGGAGCAAAGACCCCAAGTCGATGCTCCAACCATGAAACGAAAGACATGGGGAAGGGGGCGAAATTCTTTTCTCATCCTGCGTGTAAATGGGGCAGTGTAGCTGCACACCAACGGCTCATACAAGGCTGCCTCGCTTGCAAACACATCCATCTGAGCGCTTTGACAGACGATTCAAGGGCAAACCTGCCAAAAATCCAAAGTCAGGCGTGGTTGGATCAATTCCATGGATACTGCAGAATTGGCACCACTTATGCGAAAACCGCGAAATGGCCTGCTTCAAGTGCTCTTTTGCAAAGCTGCTATTTTGTACAGACGCAGCCACATTGAACCGAACACCAAGTTCGTGCAAGGTCAACAGCCACTTGTTCACAGCTTGCTGCTTGAGGTTCTCATCAATGCCTTTGCTGATTGAAAATTGTCTCGCGGGCACTGCTTTGATGCCTGAAATGGTTGTTCTCCTCACCGTGTCCATTTGCACAGGCGATGCAAGCGTTGTATGGACATGCGAAAACTGAGGCACGCTTTGCCTTGCAAAATCCACAATTTGACGTTCACCATGCGTCCCCCTAGAATTGCTTCGATTTCTTTGCCCTGCCTTTTCATGACCCCTGCATTGTCTTCTTGCTACTGGCTTTCCCTATGATTTCCTCGTCATGTCCCTTCCTTTCCTGTCAATCCCTCTTCATGTCCCTGGCGTATTCTCGGTATCATTTTCCATGTATGTCCCTTTCATTGCCAGTCATGTCCCGACATCTCCCTGCGTGTCCTTTGGTTTGTTCGTTCTTTGTTTCCCTTTCATTCCCCCTTCACTGCCCTTGTTCTCAGTCCTTTCCCCTTCATTTCCCTTTCAGTTCCCCCTTGTGTTCCTTTCATTTCCCCTTGCCCGTCAATGCCCCCTCCACATCTTGTGCCTGTCCTTGTTGTTTCCATTTCAGCTCCTTTTCGTTCCTATCTAACTTCCCTTGGAGACAACATTTTGACTCTTCATATCCAATGATTTCCCTACAGCTCCCTACGCGGGGGACCCCCACCCCTGCATATCCAACGATTTGCAAATCCGTTCGTTTCCATTCCCCCTTCACATCTTGCGCCTTTCCTTTGCCTGTCCATTTTAGCTTCCCTAGACTTCCTCTCATTTCCAGCACTTGTCCCCTGCAATTCCCCTTCTTTTCCCCGTCGCATCCCCTTCATGTCATCTGCATTTCACTTGAAGGAGGTCGAAAAAGATAGAGTGTTTTTCAATGTTTTCAGGACAAGGAAGTCAGAAAACCACTGTGTTTTCCAATGTCTTCAGCAAAAGGAAGTCGCAAAACCACCGTGTTTTTCGATGTTTTCAGCCAAAGGAATCCGCAAAACCCGAGCCGGCAGAGAGGCGGCAGGGGGATTCGAGCTTGGGACCCCTGTTTCTCCAAATTACCGCGCGGTACATGGAGGAGGGGGGCAAGCCTTGTGGGGCTGAAAGGGGTCCAATATGGTAAGAGTTTGCCAGCCTGACATGGTCAAGCATCACATTTCAAGGGGACGTACGATTTCTTTCACTGAACAACGACAGAACCCGTTAAAATTAGGGGTGTTTCACGTGTTCGCTAGTTGCCACAGTTAGCAAATCAACAGCAGTAAGCTCTTTGGATGCCATAAGACTATGGTCAATTTGGGGGACAAGGGCGGGTGTCTCCCAGAGTACCCACAACAAGCTTGCGCAGTCCATGTAGTTGTCCCATGCCCTTTACCCGCGGTTGACATCATTGCTCATTGGTATATCAATCAGTGTTTGCCTTGTGACATTGCTTTTGAGTTCAAATTGTCCAAAAACTCTTCTACGGAGTCGCTTGAAAAAGGGGTCGAGTGGTGCAGAAATGCTGCACCCAGAAAAACAGCGCTTTGTTCATGCAGCGCGGTTTCCTGTCTGGCTTCCGTTTGAACAGTGCCAAAGCGAGGAAAATTGCCGTTTTACTAAGACTGTGTGAGTATTTTGGGGATGCCGAGAGATTGGGAAATCACCCCCGACTTTGGTACGTTTGGTGTGTTCTCTTCCAGGAAACCACCAGATAATGGGCAATTGTTTGATGCTTCGTTTCCAGCCATACCATTCCCACCCACCACGCACCCACCCACTTACCCGCCCGCCCGCCCGCCCATCCGCCCATCATCGCCACAGTTTGCAAGATGTGTGGGGGGTCAGGTTTCCCGAAGGCCTGCATAACTAAAAAAGGGGCACCGGGCGCTCGGCCTAGGCGGCTTTACTCCAGTGCTGGCAGAAGCTTACACCAAGTCACTGAAGGCGGGAAGGAGTTGGACATGTTTTCTCGAAATCAGTTGGAAGCCAACCCCCCCCCCATTTGGGCAATGCTTGACCGAGCGTCAAAACAAAGTGGATCGGCCCTTTTGGGGGATGGTGATTCAAGAGGATCAGAATCAAGATAAACAAAGGAGCCCCAATCTTGACTTTGACACGTACCCATCTGTCCACGCAGAAAATGATTGGTTGGTTGGAGTCATTGCTTCATTCCCTGCCAAGAACCTGAAAGTTGGGGCGTCCTTATGCTGTTTGGATGGCTTCCAAAGGAAACAAACATGGCAAGCCCACCATTGTTGATAGGGTTCTGAATTTTGAGGAACGCAATTGGTATAGGGGATCAGAGATTGCCACGCCCGTATTGCCGAAACTGGGCTATGAATGAGTTCAAAGCGAAGAAGCTAACCCAAAAGAAGCGTCGCTCATCACGGTTGTCCGCTTCCACCATAGGAGGGAGTTTGGTTATTCCTTCCAGGAAAAAGCACAAGGAACCGGCCATGTTGAAGGCACGTGTCAAATCACTGGCTGATCTGGGCCGAAACTGTGGATTCTCTGGCAGCCTTGCGCCGGGTTTGATGTCCGGCGTACACCTACAGGTTTGACACCCATGCGAAACTGGAGACTTCCTTAGGAGGAGCTCCCTCACGTTGCTTTCTGGCAAGCAGACCTGCCGCAAGAGGTGGACACATCTAACTCATTTCAGATGTAGCTCTGGTTTTGTTCAACACTTATTTGTTTATTGTTGTTTTTGCCATGTTCAGGCATTGCAACATGTGAAGGATCGTTTGCCAGGTGGGCCTGTGGCCGTTGGTCTTCAATTTAAACAACGATCCCACTGAATGCACTCGAGCGACTTGCTCCCCAAAGCTGATTGTTCATTGCTGCATAATTGCTTTGCCCAGGGTATGGTACGGCATGCCCTTCATCACTCGTTTTAGTGACAAAGGCAACAACAGTAGATGTAGAAGCACGCATCAAAAGCTTTGCGGGTTGCTAGCTCAAGCACAGTGGCTCACAGAATGACGTTGATGGTACCCCATGTTTAGGGTCATGTCAAAGGGAATCCGCCCTTTTGGATCTTCCCACATGTTGAGACAAACTCAAGTAACCAACTTGAACAGACTTGCAACCATGATTGGCTAGGTCACCAAACTCTAAGCATCCAAGCAAGTGTTTGAAAAGTCAAACACTAGACTAAATAACTCAACCCGAGCTTCAGGCATCACTAAACGAGTACACTCGCTGACTTCGGGTGAGCTCGCTTTACCCAGGGTTTCCCTTGCCCTTTGCCCTAAAAGTATGATACTGTTTAACCATGTGAGGGATGTGAGGGGCGAAGCCTCGAGGGCACCCGGAACACACCCTGATGGTTGATTTCCTCTTGGAAGCTAACCGAAGCTGGGCTCAGAACAAGATACACCCAATCAGTAGAGTTCTGTCACGTGTGTGGATGCCCCGCAGGACAAGGGCATGGAGATCATCTTTTGCTCCTCCGACCGTGGCGCGGCCGAAAAGAGAGGGAGGCATGTTTTGGAGGGGTCTTTAAGTGAGTTGTGTTTTGGAGTGATGTTTCACGGGTGCCACGGAACTCTGTGGGTGTGTGTGAAAAGGAGGAAGCGAGCCACGGAACCCTGTGATATGGGGTGTGTGAAAAGGAGGAATCGAGGCGACTGCTGAGAAAGACTAGCCGCAACAGAGTCTTTTGGCCAATCTAGCAGCGGGCTGGTCGGTATTGATCGTCCAACGTAAAGGTGGCTTACCTCCATAGTTTTGCCAATATTCCACACACTCATCCCTTTTGTTGTAAGACTAGCTCCTCCAAAGACCCTTGTGTTCTGATGGGTACTGCCTTAGGGTACAGCTCTGGAGCCTCGTTTGGCATATCAAATGTTCATGTCGGCTGCTTCGCGTCTCCTAGGTGATGAAGCCAGCTTCAAGGAGTACTTTGGGGAGATGCCCCATGCCGGCCAAAAATGCTGACTTGCGGGGGGTTGGGATGGGTTATGAGGAAGATGGCGGACACAAGCAACTTGCTCCACTGGCAACCATGACTGGGTGCCAATTAACTTGTACGTGTTGTGTTGTGCTTGTTGGGTGTGTCTTGTAGTGGCAGACAAGCTCCGTGCAATGAATTGTTCGTATGGCTACATACATTTGTATAAACCGAATACATAGCTGCGTGCATGCAGGCGTGTGTTCCAAGATCCTGGACGCAACACCCAGATGATAAGCTACTCACCTGTGCAACATGTTGAAACCCCCTGCAGCCCCTGCAATGGAAAGTGGCAAATGTCAATATGTTTCATGATCAAATTATCTGATTGAAAGGTCTGTGATGTGTGCAACACGAAATGCTAGCACTGGTTGTTTGCGCATGTTCCATGCCAATTTTGCAGCCGCAGCCCCGCGAAAGATCCCATGTATTCCCGCACCAAAACCAGGGTTGTTCAAGTTAGATCCTGAGTCCTTATGCCAGGTGGTGGTGCTTTGTTTCCCTTGTTGCGATGTACCACTGCAGGTTGCGGATCTGGGGATCCCCCCCAATTTATCAACCCATCCAGGGAATGGCGGATGTTCAGATCAACTTCAAGAAAATAATTGGCTTTCCAAACAAGGAGACTATTGCTTGGGAAATGGATGCGCTATTTTGGAAAACCCATTCGGGGACCAGATTGTCTACCAATCTGGTGTCATTTAGGAAACAGCAAATGTTTAGGGGTGATTCAACACCGGCTCGACGTCATTGAGCGCCCCAGATCGACATCAAAGCCGCTCGATTCGTTGGCGGATTTGCTGGCAAGGCCGTGGCTGGCCCTTCCGTTCAGCGACCGGAAGAGGAAGGAGGCGCTGTCCAGGAAGTTCAAGGTCTCCGGCATCCCCACGCTCCTTGGCAGTCAGGTACCCTTAAATCAATGCGAAACCCCTGAAACGATCAGTCCAAGTGGATTTTTGAGGGGATCAGTTTAAGGAGGTTCTGTAGCCGTTGGCTCCTTTGGTCGCCTTGACAGCGAGTTTTGGGTCGGAGGGCCAAGTTCGGATTGCGGCGGTTCTGGGGCAGGGTTTCGGGGACGGGACTTTTGAGTTCGGTCTAAGACAAGAAGGCAGCAAGCGCGGGATTGGGGATCCAAGTCAGAGCTAATCACTTTGCCCGTTGGACTTGAGGAAGGTTTTGGGAAGCGTTTGGGAGGATTTCAAGTGGAAGGGTCATTCAAGGGAAACACACAGCTCGGACTTTGGAGGGCCAACTTGGGAAGTGAGAAAAGAGGTAAACCGATGTCGAGTCACAGATCAAACAAAGGCTATTCCACCTGGTGCTGCTTTTCCGTGTTCTTTTGGGAGGAGATTTCATAGGGACTCAGAATAGAAATCCGAAGCTAACATAGGCCAGGAGCACCTTCAGAGTTGTTACCATACTAATTATTCATCACCAGTACCCGGCGTTTAGCATTTGCTGGTTGATAGGTAGCATACGGTTTTGCGAGCAGTCAGAGAACAGGGCTGTCATCGACAAGGGAGAGAGACGGGGAGGGGACTGGAGGGGAGGCGAGGGAGGCAAAGAGGAGAGGGAGACAGTGGGAGGCCTTGCACTTGCCGGGGGGGGGTCCCCAAGGCAACCAGGGCTTCAGTCGGCTGCTAAAGCACGGTGCTTGGCAAGTTCTTTGGGGGCAAACCACTGTTGAGCATCTTCAACGCACCGAATAAATTGTTGAGCCTCTTAGTACTTTGACCACACCACATTTTTTAGGCCCCCTATTCTTCTATTCTTCATTTTGACTCCAAGGTTCTTCCTAAAAGTTTGGTTGTGAAGGGAATTGTTGTGGCATCGCACTTTGGATGGAGCTGGTATTCATGTGGTGTTGTCCATCCCAAGTGGTGCAGGATTTTGTTCACCCACGGTATCTTACAAGGGGGCAGTGGCTGACCTGTTCCTCTCTCACACACTCTTTTGGCACTGCGAGCCCTTGTCAACCGTTTGGAGCAAAGAAGAAGTCGGAGTAGTCAGACACAGCCAGATTGTGGGATTGCGCGCTTGGCTCTTGGACCATCCGCGCTTTGTATGTGCAAGCTAGAACCTGATACTGAGTGTGTCTCAAAATGAGGGATCTCCAGGTGGGTCAGTTGGGTGGCTTCCGTTTGATTTCCTTTTAAAAACTAGCTCAAAACAGCCCCCCCCCACCCAAGGCTGCCAAACCCATCTTTGCTGTCCTTGCAGATGCAGTGTTTCTTGCGTTCCGAGTGAGAGCGAGCGAGGCTGGTCTTGGTGAACGCAGAGGAGCAGTTTTGCGGGTAGATTGCAGCTATGTTGGGTGCTAAATTTTGTTGAAAGGTGGATGGGTACAGTAGTTGTCCCTCCCAGACCCTTTTTGACATCCAGTATGGCGTGGAAACCAGCTGAGAAAAATGATGCAGGAAGTTTGCCACCCAGGACCATGTTGTAGACCTTATGATCTTGCAAGCGTAGAATCGGAGCATTGCGACTATGGCATGGCAGCATCACTGACACGCCCTGTGTAAGAATTCTGAGCCCTGACAAGCTCATTGCTTGTCTACTGTTTTGCACACAACTCCAAAAGGGGTCGTCAAAAATAGGCTGTACAAATGATAAGTGTACGAGTTGCCATGGCACTGTCAGGATATAAGCCCTGGGCAAAGTGTTATATTGCTACATACAAGTCCGCAAGGATTCCCAACGGACGACAGATGTCCGTGGCCATTGGCAGTGATTTGGACAGGCACTTGTGCATCGTTACAGCCAGTTGCATAGCATTTTCCACGTTGACTGCCGCGTATTGTTGCATATGCTTCCGTGCACTAGTGTTCCCCTCCCCTAAACAGTAGATGGGTCATTAGGGAAGGACATAGGGAAGCACTATGCCAAACAAACAGAGGATGACACAAGGGTTGATGTCCAAACAATGCGGGAACACAACTCAGTTGCCCACGGTTGACCTCGCTTACTGTTCAAAGGAAACAGAGATCTGACCAACCTTGGACCCCAATTGTTCGGCAAACATCCATATCAATGCCGCACCATATTGCTTTTGGCGGGAGGTTCATTGAAGCAGCAGACCCCCACAAAAACCGTGGCAAAGGTTATGTTTTAGTTTCCTTGTGATTGGTTCCACACAAGGTCCGGAATGTTTGTGAATTATCACCCGTTCACAAATGGATCTTCCCAAATGGGGAGACCCCAAAAAACACGGTTTGTTTCCTTTAGTTTCAAAGCACATGAGCACCACCGGTCACACATGTTTGGAAACGTGTGTGGAGATGGTAGCTCGGGTGGGTTGACAACAAAAGGATCCTGCCCGCTATCAAAGTCGGCACGCATTGTTGCTGGATGGCTCCGAAACGGGTTTGCCTCAAAATTGAGAGCTCTCCCTCTTGACTCAGGGAAGGAAATTGCCTGCCAGGAGTCCCACCCAAGACCCAGTATGGGTCCAACCCAGACACCTTAGAGATTAAGGATTGGAATAAAGTGTGCTCATGTTTACACAGTTGCTCGGCTGTCCAACATCAGAAAGTTATGCCAAGGATTGTATTAGCAAGGTTAACCTTGAGGAAAAGCTCTAAGCCCAAGGTTTATCTCTTGGTTTAGTCTAAGGGTACGCTCGCTCGAACCCCAATACGTATCCCGAAAGTGAATGCCAAAGGTCAACCCGATGCTAAGTCGTGTTCAGGATTTAAGAAGCTGGCCCATTCCCAGATGGCTCCTCAGCGCCAGGACGGCACGCTGATCACTGAGGACGGGCGCACGAAGGTGATGAAGGACCCGGAAGGCGCCTTGTCGAAAACACCGACGGATCTCTCTGGGCAAATGACGAACTTCTGTGGGGGAAACACGAGCTCAGCCATGAAGATCCCTTTGGAGGATTGCCCGATGTCCGGATTGCTATCCATCTAGCAATTTGAGACCAGGTGACCAGATATTCTGCCCTCGTTGTTGTTTGGTTGGAGATGTCTTCTAAACTTCACCTCCTGTGTGAGGTTCTAAAACTTGGTTCTCTTGGCTCGCATGAGGTTCTTTTCGGGCACCACTACCATTTCCTGAGTTTTGGCCATTGAATAAGGATCCCTGAAAAGCATGAATCGGGGAAGTCATCCTTTTGGTCATGACTCACTTTTAAAAGAATACAAGAGCCTCATCCAAAAAGTTGTCCTCACCCGGGTTCCCTTTCCCGGCTTGGGTTGAAGGGCACAGAGCGGAGAATTTGACAAACACCGAATGCCGCATCACCAAGGAGACGCCTCATAGGATTTCCGGCACGCAGGCAACTAGGCCTCCAAGGCAAATCCTTGTTTATCCCGACCTAGTTCTAAGTGGGCATGCGTTCAAGCGTGTTGGGTGGTGTTGGTCGGTCCATCTCAAGCGAGGAGAGCATCTTTTCGTTCATAAACCACCCATGGCGAAGAGAAAGATCCATAGCGAGCGGGTTGCGAGTCGCGAGGTGCCAACTTCCCCTGGATCCCCAAGACCTTCAAGGAGCGGAGACGTGAGCCTGCCGAAGGGGACACTGGTGCCTTAATTCTCCAAAAGTGGACGAACTGGACTATGCTGAACGGATTTATATATATATATATATATATATCTGCCTCGGAAGAAACTGTGTTTGTGGTTGAGGTACTTGATTGAACGGCGAGATGCAGCTGTTTTTTCTGGGTGGCTACTTGAGACCCATCCAAACACACCCATCTGAATGGATACTCTTCCTTTTGCCGCACAGAGAAAGGTTTTCATTTCAGGTTGGGGGGGTTGTGGTGTGAACCCTCCAGGAAGAAGAGTTGGTTTTGGTTTGAGGGTTGGCCCTGTGTCATCCTCGGGCTAGAAATGCATGTGTTTGCATGGGTTTGGCCGTGCTGCAGCAAGGCTTCATTGGCCAGGTACAAGCGAGCAGAATGCGCAATACCTGAATGCAAGAGATTAGAACAGCGTTGCTGTGGATGAAGGCCGAACTTCAGGCTTCCATAGTACTGAGGGTGTTTGGCTCGACACAAGAAAGAGTGTGTCCCCGGGTAGTCTGAGTCTCTAGTTCTTGTGTTTGTTAACGCAAGCATTGAAATGATCCCTGTTGAGTCTTGAGGCGACCATGACTATCTGGCAGAGTTTGGACCACATGGCAGCGAGGTCGCACCGAGTCTGGTTCGATCCAACGGGATGGGACGACAGGAGGCGTTGGGCGAGAAGTTCACCAAAGGATCGGCCACCGTGGGCAAAGAGGCCATTGCACCTGGGCCGAATGAAGCCGCGCATCTTGTGTGCGTGCCAAATTCAATGGGTATGCGTGCTGCGCCCAGTAGGTTTTCTGGCGAAGTGAGCATCAACCTGGGTTGTTCGGTGGGATTCACTCTTGGTCCATTTTGTTTATGTTCGAGTGAGCAACCGAAGAAGCCTTCCCCTTTCCTACCTGGTCACCGGGCAAGTAGGATCCCGCAACTCTAACTGAGACATTCCCCCCCCCCTCAGAGATATAGGGTGATCCCAGGAGTTCAAGCCACGGTTCCATTTTCCCTTTGGAAGACTGGAACTAGGGCACCCCGCTGAAGGCAGGGGGAGCCTGAGACAAGGTGTTCGCCGATTCCTTGTGAGGTCTCTTTATCCCGCCAAAAGCCCACCACCGTCAGGGGTCCCGGTTTTGGTATACCCATTACTCCATTACATATGAAAGACAAATCTGCATTTGAGCCAGGAGGTGAGTGTAATATTGATTAATTAATTAATTAATTAATCAATTAGATTATTTATTATTATTATTTATTGTTTTGTTCATTTTTTAACTATTTATTATGATATATAGATACCTGGCCTAGGAAGGCAAGACCTTGGGCCTGTACTTCTCCGCGCACTGGTGTGGACCCTGCCGCGCCTTCACGCCCAAGCTGGCCAAGTGGTACTCCGACATCAAGCGCCCTGGCAACCGAATTCACGGAAGGACCCAGGCGCTTTGAGTCGTCCTGTCCAGATGTTTCTTTGGTTCTCGTCGGATTTGTTAAATTGGCGTGCAGTTAGGATGCATTGCACAACTCACGGTAAAATAGTGTTATGTGTATGTACATGTATCTATGCCAAAACAGTGCTTTCTCGTCAGGACACAGATTGACTACCATCATTACTATCCCGAGGGCCTCTAGCAACAGGTAGCAACCATCTGGCTAGACGCTGAAGACTAATGATTTTGAGTGCTGCTCGGATGACTGGCAGTGTGTGTGTGTGTGTGTTTTCCAGCTTGAATGGCTGTGAGCAGTTGTTGATGTGCAAGATATTTTCCAGATGCTCCTAGTCTCTTAGTACGTCTTCTCGATCGGTCGCATGCCAATTGCTGGCAGTGTTGGAGACATCCGCGCTTGTCCTTCGGGTTGTCGAAGGACGCGGCGGACTTGTGTCTACAACTGGCCTACCTGATTGAACCTGTAGGAAGGTGACCTGGAGCACTGTCAATTTGCATGTCGGGCCTCGTAAGAAAATACTCGTTGGATGGACAACATCCTGCACCAGTTGATAGGTGGTTTATCCCAGTGTTCATAGCTTCCATCCATCCCAATTGGTGCAAAGCGGATATTGGCCACCCACCGTAGGACTGGTCAGTCAGGAATCTGGGGGGGACATTTTCCTCAGGAAGGAGCTGGGCGACAAGTTTGAGATTGTCTTCTGCAGCTCCGACCACAGCGAAATTAGCCAAATGGAGTACTATAAGAGTCACTGCGATGCTGGTGGACGCTCAGCGGAATTAAACGTATCACCGTGTCGTAGGGAATGATTCGGGGATATGTTTCAGCAAATTGAGAGACACCCATATGGGCCACAGTCAAAGATTGGCGACTCACCAATGGCCCTTTTGTTGGAGGAGGCGAGTGCATCTTCTGTGGGTTGTCGGTGTGTGTTGGGGTGGTCGAATACTGATCGGTTGTTGCGTGTCGAAACTAGGGAAGCCAACCATTCAAGAGTGAGACGTTCAGGCTCGCACGACCAGTCTGTTCACCTTGCAAATCCTGCCAGTTGTGGCCGCAGGGACCCTGAGTGAATTGTTTTTCTTTCCGAACATGACCGGAGGATCGGTGCAGCGTCTTGGGCGTCTTGGGTCCTTTTGGGTGGGCTGCAGGAGACTGGTTGGCGCTGCCCTTCGACAAGAAGGACGACTTGGACGAGATCTACAAAGTGAATGGAATCCCCACCTTCATGACGCTCGGCTTCCAACTCTGTCTGCCTTTTGTTCCTTTGCCAAGCAAAAGGGAGGAAGCAAGAGCAATGCTGCAGCCTCTTGGATTCTGCAGTGCCTTGCAGGCATGTTGGACAAATGCAGTTGTTATCTACTCCAACCATATCCAGGGGGTCAGCACAGCCACTGGAACAAGTGCAGCTGCGCCTCCCATCAGCTGAAGGTTCAAGTCAAGAGCTGTGTAGTGGGTTGTGGCCATGAGTGGCATGACAAAAGGAATGTTTGATTCTGTGCCACTTTGCCGAGTCTCTTCAAATGCCTTGGCTGCGGCTGAAGAGTGTGCGTTCAGAAGAACAAAAAAAGTTCAGACAGGCTTGACATGTCAACACCTGTGAGAAGTGCAATCCCTGGGACCGTGGAGACCGCCTCGTAGCCAAGAATTGTGGATGCGGAGGGCAATGTTGTCAACTCCAACGGCCGTGGCATTGTGGGTGCACCAGCAAGCACCCTGGCAGTGAGCATCGGTTAAGGTGCTGATGATTTTCTAGGTGTAGAAGCTTCTCAAATTTGGTGGGGCCCTGGTGGGGTGGGGCGGAAAAGTATTTACATGTGCCAATAGCAGTTCTGTCCCCACACCTCTTAGGCGCAACCCTGCAGCAAGTATCCCAATAGTCCAGTCGCGACTTGTTGTCGACTAAGCGAGTTTCACGGCCAGCGAGCAGCGGCTCGAAGCTGCAAATGGCGCAGAGACCAAGCTGTGTAATCCACACCCTGCAGGCCAATTCCCATGGAAGCCGCCGGCGATTGGCAGCCTGGAAGATCCAGAGGTCGGATCGTCGGATCGTCGGACCGCGCTGTGAGTTTGCAGTCAGTTCCCAGAGAGAAGTTTCTCAAAATGGTGGACCCCGTTGGTTGGTATTTAAAGGAAAACCAACAGGACACCGACCAGTTTAGGACCCCTACTTTGAGAAACAGCCATAGAGACTCAAATTGACATGGCACCGCACACTCTAGAAATCGGTTTGGATGTGGCTTTTGTGGAACCACCCCTGCAGCACATCCAAACCCTTTTCTACACAAACAAGAAAAAATGGAGGATTTGTTTTTTTGGGACTGCCAGGAGGTTCCATGTGGATTGGCAGGGGCCAACCCGCGCCCTTGTCTCATTGTAGTTTCCCCAAGGAGACGAATAAGGTTGTTTTGGGAGTCCTACACAACTTCTCTGGGGTGACCTTTCTCATGTCGCCCGAATGCGCAGCTGTTGTTTGCAGCTTGTTTTCGCGTCGTGGCCAGCGAGTGGGCAGAGTTGCAGTTTCATGAGAAGGTATTTTCAGCTTGACACGGCTCACAATCTGTGCAGCATTCGCACAGAACATGTGCCAGTTGTGTGATCCGCTGGCAGGGCATCAACGACACACCGTCCATGTGCCTGATGCTTGAGAGCTGCTTGGCTTTTCTAGGTACCCATGCCGATTCCACACGGATCGTGAAGGCTGTGAGATTGCCATGGACCTGAGAGTTTGTGGGCATTGGTTCTCAAAACGGGGGGCCTTTCCGTCTGGTTGGTTGCATGTTTGTAGACCAGCCTGAGAAGGAGTTCTTGGTTTGGAGCCGGCTGTGAGAGGTGAGCGTAAGATGCAAACATGATCTAAACTCCCAGGCTGGTGGGCGAGAAAGAACAAGAGGCTGTCCATCAGGGATGCCTGTATCTTGAATCATGAGTTAGGAGTCAGCAAATCAATACCGCGCCGACAGCAATCAATCGTCCAATGACCCAACTATGGCCATAATGATTGAGGAGGTCGGCACCGCAAGTGCGCAAGTTGGGTCAGGCACCAAGGATTGACACATCCCTCGTGACGTGTTTGGGGGATTGCCTCTTCCTGGGTCGGCCTCATGAATCCTCGTTGCAATCCATTCATAAGTTCCGCAAGCGGGGCTCGTGTTTGTCATCCATCATAGCTCAGGCTTGGTAAGCAGTAATGTTGGCCTTTCATCCAAGTATTGGGCAACGTCCATTTAACTTGGGTAGGTACATGCCGCAAGACAATGAGTATGGGCCAGAACAAAGGCCTGCCCTCAGGTGCTTGGAATCATTGAAGGGTCTTGAAGCTAGCTGGGAATCACAAGTATGTGTTGTCAACACACCTGCCGTTGTTTGCATTCCACAGATGGGCCTGCAAAATCCTGGGGTCTCCAGCGATAGTATTCCATATCTTGAGTCTGACCAAATATCTAACAGAATCTGAATATGTATTTTGTTGTGTCCTGGGGTTGGGCCAAGTTTCAACTAGCCCAAGTGAGCTGTTTTGAGTCTTGGGAGGCTCCAGTCAGGGTGTGTTGTTGCGCCTTGGGAAATGAAGGGTGCACACACACACACACACACACACACACACACCATGTTCAAAAGCCGGGAAGGGTTCCCTTGCTACGAGACGCGTCTCACCGCAAGTTTCAAGGCTCCCCTATTTGATGGTTAGGGGAACACTGCAAGGTAGCACCCACCAGCCGGGCATATTGCTATGGCTAAGCTCAGAAAGTTGGAAGGGCTCGGTTCTGGAGAAACTCATCAGAGCCAGATCCCCATTGCATGGTTCAGCAAAGAGGGCGTTGTCCTTCCCTTCTTGGCCTCCATCCACTTCTCTCTGAGCCGTCTGTGTCGTTCAGGGTACGGGCACCCTTTCAAAGCCGGTTTACCGGGGAGAAAAAGGAGCAAAAAACAACTCCCCGAGTTTGGGCTCCAGAGCAAAGAACAAAAAAAGGGCCCAGCTTTTGCCCCCCCCCCCCCCCCCCGCCCCCACCCCGATTTGGTTTGCCACCGAGGCTGCGAGCCGGCGGTCCAGGAGAGGATTTTGAAGGCGGTGGAGCCCATCGCGGAGAAGCTCCGGGATTCCAAGGCCCGGTTCGCTTCGCCGTTTCGCGCGGATGGCCTGGTTCGTTTCGTTTGGGGGAATTTTCCTGGCACTCCGGGCTGAAGTACTTGGGTTCAAGTCTTATGCCTTGTCTTGGAATGTGCAAGTGACTCTTGGGGATGCAAACAGTCCGAAATTGCTTGAAGGATAGAAGGGGCGGGTAAGGGAAGCCTTTGATGTGGTGTAAGAAGTTTGGTATGTGGTTGGAGGGTTTGGGAACAGGTCGGAGGATTGACTCGAAATGCTCCTTCTAGATGTCGTGTACAACAAACCCACTGCAAGCAAACACGTTAAACTGTCAAACAAGTCTTGTGCTGAGTTCATGCGGGGACAAAATGGGTCTCCCTTCAAATGCAGGTAGTGCGAGCAAGCGCATGTCTCTAAATGAGTCCCCCCTCTTTCGACTTGGTTTACCTCCCAAACAGTCAAAGAGCCTTCATGGCATGCCCAAAGAAAGACTGCAGATTGTGGCTTCAACATCCTTCGCACAAGCAGGTCGCAGCTTCAAGAACCCCGGATGATGGTCAAACAGTGTGTGCGTGTGTTTGGTGGCCGGCTTACCATGGATTGTGGGTATCTTCCATATTAGGTCAGATAGAGAAGCCTTTCCTTGTTGGTTCGGATTGGTGGTTTGAGGATTTGAAGCCCTTGATGTGGTTCCTGACTTGGGCGTCCGATATCTTTGCTTTTGGAACTGTAGGATTTGATCGCCCGTTGCAAGGTTCGGCTTTAACAGACCTCCCCCGGTTTCCCCAGGAGATGATCTTCTTCGCCTCCAAGGACCCAAGCAGCGCCGCTGGGCCAAACACGGCACGGGCCACTCTCGGGGCTTTGGACCGAGCCGCCCTTGCGAGCTAATGGGCTTTGAGGTCGCCCAGTGGGTTCCACCGTGAGTTCCACCCTTTTTGGGGCTTTGGGGCTTCCCTCTGAAATCAACCAACAAACATGGTGCTCTTTATTTCTCAGGGAAACTCTAAGTAGCAGATTGCAGGGCAACTCAGTTGAGCCCTTGGATGTTTGGCTGGGTTGTCCATAATCAATCCTCGATCCTTACTTGCCAACGGTAGTGGTTTGCATTGTAGTGGTGTTCCACCACAAATTAGGGCTAGAGATCCACTCATTTTGGGTTTGTCTCGGTCTTCCTTGAAGCCAACCCCAAGACGCGCTGAACAAAGACCAAGATCAACCTACTGGCCCCCTTTGGGCACCAAGAAAAGGGAACCGGCATGAACCTTCTTTCTTGTGGGGTCCCTGCTTTGGATACACAGCCGAATTCGTTGTTAGGTGTTTTTTTTGGTTTTTCTCCTTTGTCCATCTGCCTGTGAGGCCTGTTGTCATATATGAAAACAATCTGAGGGTGTACCCCAAAAGGCTCTAAACCAGATCCGATTCAGTCGGTGTCTTGCCCAAACGTGGTCATGGTGTACCAATCATTCGGGCCCCTGAACTCGGAGACTTACACCGGAAATGACATCCGGAGCCGAAGTTCGGGTGGTTTCTCAAGTTGGGAACTAAGGAGCCAATTTTTGCAGGTTTCCTCCAAAAGCCACGAGGGTTTGAATGAGCTCTTGGTTTCGTCCAACCAGCAGGAGCCAACACCGGAACTTGGGCAATTGGAGGGTGGGGCAGGGTGCATTCAAATCGCTTTTGAGCAGTGTCGTTCCTACAGGGCTTTGACTGCGACTTAACGCCGATTTCAGCATAGACCCAGCATCCCGTGGATGTGGAGAGACTTGAGTCTCACATTGTTCTTGCCGTGCTTCAAAGACCTCTCCAGCCCCATTTCGGGAATCTTGCAAGGAACTCCACGACGGTAGAATCTCTGGGCCAAAGTAGGCAAGGGAGACCTAATGTGAGTATTTTACCAAATGAGTTGGACCTATCCAGGCTGCTTGGTTTCCTTTTGATTTCCTTTTAACAACCAACACTCAAAATTGAGGAGGATCCCTCCATGTGGTGCTGCGTGGTGCTCCTGTCCGTTTGTTGATGTCCTTCACGAGCATCTAAGGTGTTTAGCAACACAACGCTTGGTTTGGTGTATCCCAGAGATCCACTGTTGGAAGGGTCAACGGAAAGAGAATCTGGCGGCCAAGTTTGCTTGCAAAACTAGCACAAACTAATTTGGCTCTACTTTTGAACTCCGGGCCCTTGCATCTTTGGAGCCAGATTAAGCAACTAAATTCCAAAGGGAACCCCACATGCAGGCCTGGACCCCCCTTCACTCCTAGCTTCTCAGGTCTCCACACAGATCCGCGCGATGTGCGGCCTCGAGAGCGTGACCCAGGTGGACAAGAAGGGCCGCACTGTGGAAGAGGAACGCCCCTCGAGCGTCTCCAGCTCCCGAGGACCGGGCGTGGTGGAAAAACGCACGGCCGTCGGGTGTGTCTTACACAAAAAAGAGGTGCATCTCATGTCTTGTGACGTCATTTTCATGTTTAGACAGGAAACTGGGGAAACCCACACCTGGACCTCAAATCCAGGATTTGCCTTGCGCCCCACAGATGTCGCTTGGGGAAGAAGTGGTTCTGACTCTGGGGTCGATTGAAACCAAGACATGACGTCACAAGTCATGAGATGCATGGCTAAACATGAAATTCCTCCGCAGGTTTGATGTGTGAATGAGGGAATCCCTTCCCAACTTCCATTCCAGCTGGAAGGGTGTGGGGGGGGCAAGCCGCAAGGGTGGGCAGTTTGGGCGTCGAATCGCATGCCCGATGCTTGAGAGGGTGTGTGGCAGCCAAGCCTCAGGCTTGAACCATTGAAGGGGCCCTTTGAAAGGTGGCACGAGATGACACCTAGATCCAAACCAAGCCCATGCCTGCCAACGTCAAGATGTGCAAATTTAGACAGCAATCTAGCCTGGCGGCAGGAAGGGAGGGAGGCAGATGCCCTTGTTTCTCCTTCTGCATCAACTGTGTCCTGCACAACAATGCATCCCGGTCAGTGTATGGTAGCAGTCTAATTTTGCAGTCAAACCTTTCCAACCCAGGTGTGCAGTTGACTCGTTGACAGGACCTCCGAAGATTCTGCGCACGATGTCGAGCGACACTCCCACGCTGATCCTTTTGGACTGCCCAGATAACGGCACGCCCGTGCGGGGGGGATTGGGAGAAGCCGGAGGTCACTACCAAATCGGGTGGCTTTTTCCTTGGTGTGTTTGTTGTTGCCTAGGTTGCTGGATTACTGTGGTTTCTGGCAACCTCAGCACCGGACCTGGCGTTGCGGATGTTGCTCAAAGTCAAACGGTCAAAGTCAAAGCTAGGCAACCTCTGAGGGAGGGTGCTTGCATGGTTTTGGCTGAGCCAGGAAGCTCTTAGCGTTCTCGCAAAGCATACTCAGAGGGATGCTGGCGAATCTGCTGAGTCACTTGATCCAATCTCGCCTGAAAGCATTGCGGCCATGTGGGCTACGGCGTGCTTCCCTGAGCATCGAGCACGGTGTCAAATACAGGCAACAATTGCGAGCACAGACCTGAATTGGCAGCATTCAAGCAAAGCACGCTCCTTCGCTTTCTCGTGAGATGGTATGGCTGGTGATGTTTTTGAGCAACGGACAGTATTGCGAGGATATTGATTTGTGTGGGCCCCTATCGGTTTTGCAGGTTCATAGGCATCACTGGGTGGTCCAGCATCGGTTTGTTGGTACATTGTCGGGTATTCATATGGCTTTCCACTGACCAAGCAACTGGTGGTTTCCCCTGCAGTTGAGCCAAGATGAAGGTTACTAAGGGACAATCCCAGCCAGAAACAGCAACGGCCTTTGTATTTCCTTACATGATTCTGGGTCAAGCATGTCTAATACCGGGTTTGGATTGCGACTCAGTTCACCTTTAAATCCAGGGAAAAAAAAACCACCGTGCGGATTTGTCGCGAGCCATCGAGCCAGGCGCCTTCTACGTGGGGAAGATGGCCAAGGAGCTGGACGGCAGTGGAGCTCCCTATCCAAAACCGGGAAATGCTGCGCAAAAGGGGACCAAGTCTGGGGTCTCCAAAACCAGTCATGAGTCATAGATGAATGTGTATATATATATATATATATATGTATTGTATTTATTTCAGTGAACACTAAAGATAGGCTGGGCCAAGAGTTCGGTGTAATTTTGGTTTCCATGAAAGATTATGAAGAAAAGGTGGTTGCTTGTGTGTGTGCCTACTCTGAACAGCCCGTGGACCATTGAATGATGGTAAACGCACAGGGGAAAGCAAGAATGGTGCTTGGCTTGGTATATTTGTCCATCTAGGGGCAACAGCTCCCCCGTTTGTTTCAACCTTCGTTTGTGACAACAGGGAATTCTTGCTATTCTCTCCATCTCCTAAAACTATGCTCATTGCTTTGTAGGTGCTTAGCCAGAAAATTGGAGTGGCTTCATTTTGACCGGCCAATTACTTGGGTTGACATTGTTTTGCTGATCGAGAGGACTGCAAGGTTTAATGTTGATGGGCTGGTTTCCTCCTGGTTTCCCTTTCAAAGCCGTAGGAAGGTAGTGAGATATGTTGGCGAGCCCGAGGTTCAGGCCATGATCGACGGCTGGAAGGGCAAGACCCTCACGCGGCAGCAGCTGTCCAAGTGAGTGAAGGAGCCCTAGTGGCAAAGGTGGCAAAGGCCCCTGAGCCCCAAATCCGTTTGAATTGTCCGGCAGGGTGGAGGCACTGGCCGTTGTTATTATGTCATTTTTGCGTTGATCGTCGATTCAGGCGTTGTTCTGTTCAAAGAAACTCTGCAAGGCTTCGCCCAACGCACTGTCAGCTTTGCACCCTACGCCGGGTGCTCCTTGCCTCGCATGACCTTTGCAATCGCAAATTCTGCTGGAGCACTACGCATAAAATAGAGTATAATTACTATAATTAATGTGCCAATATTGCTCCAGCACATTAAATGATAGATGAATTGATTGAGCGATAGATACGGAACGTGACGTGTTGGTTGCATTTGGGGCACATGTCTGGAGTTTGACCGAACAATTATTATTGATATTCCGGTTTTGTTAACGATTTATTAAATATTCGATATTAATATAAATGTTAAATGTGTTTCTATATTATGTGTTATTTTATTTGAAATAATAATATATATATATATATATATTATTAAAAATCAATAATAATTAAGATTTTATTGTTGATGGTTTAAATTATAAATATTTAATAATTAATTTTTATTATTAATAATTAATAATTATGATATAAATATATTTAAATAATATATTTTTTTAGATTTCTAATAATAATTTAGTTGATATATTTTAATATTGAGATAGGAAATATAAATATATATAATTTAGATGGTTTTGGAAGGTTTGGGGCGGTTTTGGACGGGGCTTCGTTTTGTGGGGGTGTAAAACACATAACACATAACAAAAATGAGGTAGGAACAAATAAAAAACACAATAAAACAAACCACATAATTAATATACATATTTTAAAAAACATATAAAATACAAAAGAAAAAGAAACACATAACCCCAAAAAAATAATAATGTAAAATAAAATATATAAATATATGGAGTAATATAGAAAACCATACAAAATAATATATAATATATAAAGAGATAGAAAGAACTACAAAAAGGAATAAATAATAGAAAAAGATATATATAGAGAGAGATAGAGAGATGGAGAGAGACAGAGAGAGAAAGAGAGACAGAAAAATAGAGAGAGAGAGAGAGAAATAGAGAGAAAGAAATAGAGAGAGATAGAGAGATATAGAAATTAAGAAATAGAGAAATTAAAGAACATAGAAAGATTAAAGAGATTAAAGAAATAGAAGGATAATTATGGAGGGGGCGGGGCAATTTGCGAGAAATTTCAATTTAAAGAAATCCCGAAAATTATCGAAATTCGATTAATTGTTTGGGAAAATCGTTAAATTCTGCAGAAATTTGCGAGGGCAATATCCTGTAGCGATCTCCGAAATATTAACAAAATTTCGGGGATTTGTAGGTTGTGCTAAGAAATAAGAATTTATATAACGGGGAAAAGATCGGGATGGGAATAGCCGCTTGCCCGATTCGGCCGGAGTACCGCTGCAGCGGCTCTGCGACGCACAAGAAATGCGAATTATAGGAGAAATAATGGTTCTGCAGCACACAAGAGACATGATTTTGAGATTATATCGATTTATAAGGAAAAAACTAGATATATAATATATATATATTATTAGAATATTAATTAAATTATTATATTATTAAAATATTCGATTGATATAATATAAATCTATAATAATTTACCAATATTTATTATAATATAATATTTAAATAATATTAACATATATATATTTAGATATAGTATTAATATTATTTTATATATATATTTATAATTTAAAATACATAATCTATTTATTATAATATTTATATTATATAATATTTTATATTAATAATATATATATATTTAATATAAATTTATATTTAATAATATAAATATTAATTATCCAATAACACTAATTTTCATTATTTATTTATATAATAAAAATAAAGAAACCACAAAATAATAATGACATTATAAATATTTTTAAATAACACAAAATTCAATATATATATAATTAATATATTTTATGGTTATAAAATAAATTTAAAAAATATTATATAAATATATAAATAATAAATAATATATTTATTAGTTTATTCGTTTTATATTTTTGTTAATTCAATATTTATTATATATATAATTTAAAATTCACAATTAAATAATTTAATAATTTTATAAATCAAAACAATATTATCAAAGATAAATAAATTATCAAACATATATTAAAAATAACAAATATATATAACAAATATCAATTTTCTAAAATATTAAAAATAATCTATTAATTTCCATCAATGGCAATACCAAAAAGCAACAATAATAGAATAAAATAAACATATAAAAAACAAAACAAAATAATAGACAAAACAAATAAGAAAAAATAATAAGAGAAACAAAACAACCAATAAAAAAAATAAAGAAAGAAAAAAAGAAAAGAAAAGAAAAATAAAAAGAAATATAAAAAATCAACAATTTAAAAAAAAAAAGAATATAAAAAGAGAAAAAAACAAAAAAAAATAACAAAAAGAATTGTTGTTAGCAACACAACAATATCCCTCATCCTATGGAAATAAAATAATATCAAAGATTTCTTTTTTTTTTTTTTTTTTTTTTTATTCTATCAACCTTTCTTTTTTTTTTTTTTTTTTTCCTCTCTTTTCCTTTCTCTCTAAGAGAAAAAAAAAGAGAAAGAAAAAGCAAAAAGAAAAAACATATATATTTTTTTTCTCTTTCTTTTTTTCTAAAAAGAAAAAGAAAAAAAAAGGAAGAAATAAAAAGAAAACAAAAGAAACAAGTAAATATACAAAAACAATAATAAATATAATCAAAAATACAAAGAAAACAGAATCAAAATAAAAAAAACACAAGCAAAAATTAAAAAGGGGAAATACAACACACGGCAAAAAAACATCTACGAAACGACCCACAACAACAAACACAAACAAACAAAAAAAAAAAAAAAAACAGATTAAAATACAAAATACACTTCGAGATTATAAATTGTTTATAAAAACTTCAAAATTCCACTTTATTCCATATAATAATAATTATAATTCATTAATTCCTTCTAAAAAAATAATAATATTATATATATATATTAATTAATTAAACATAAATAAATTATTATATATATATATAATTCCGTGTTCCGTGTTATAACCCCCCCCCCCATATGGTATGGGTACCCCAAGACCCCCCCCCCCCGGCCCGAGACCCCGAACCCCCGGATCTTGGCACCTACGGACCCACCCCCACCCCGACCCCCTAAACCCCGACACCCCGGCACCCCCACCCCAGGACAAGCCAACCCGTAACCAACCATAAACCAACCCTAAACTAACCCTAAACCAACCCTAAATACACCCTGAACCAAACCCTAAACCGTAGACCTCCAAACCTAAACCAACCCTAAAATACCATAAACCAACCCTAAACTAACCCCAACCAACCCTAAACTATCCCCAAATACACCCTAAACCAATCCCTGAACAATAAACCTTAAACCTAAGCCAACCCTAAACCAACCCTAGACCAACCCTAAATACACCCTAAACCAACCCTAAACCGTACACCTCTAAACCTAAACCAACCCTAAACCAACCCTAAATCAACATAAACCAACCCTAAACCAACCCAAAACCAATCCTAAACCAACCCTAAAGCAACCCTAAAGCAACCCTAAACCAACCCTAAACCAACCCTAAACCACCACAACCCAACCACAGGACCACAACCACAAGGGGGGGGGGGGTACTTGTCTGACCCATGACCATTGGTGGGTGGGGGGGGGGGGGGCTGGCAACGCTGTACCATATATATTCAATCATTATTCATTCATTAAATTTCATTAATTATATATATATATATCAATTAGTTTCACCAAAATCAATTACATATCAATTTCGATTTTTCTTTAATAATATTCCAATTTATTCATATATATAAATATTTAAATAAACATATATTAAAATAATATTCTTAATTTGAATTGTTATTTCGAATTCGATTTTGAAGTAGGTATTTGTTTCTAGGATTATAATTTCCAAATAAATATTAATAATTAAATATCCTAATATAATTTATAATGTAGAAAATAATATATATAAGATTTGCTATTGGAACACTATGTTTATTTATAATGCTAACTTCAAATTAGATTTAACTTTAAAAAGGATTTCCTTTCCCAGGATATTTTATTTTTCCAAAATAGAATCTAAATAGGTTTTAGTAAGACATCTATCCAATAACATTACAATCATTAAACAAATCGACAGTTAGGAGGGGAATGATATATATATATATATCCAAATAAATCCTGGCGGCTCTAAGGTAAGGAAGATTCCATCAAGGTTCCATCAAGATTCCACGAAGGCTATGGGGTAATACGAACATTCAAGAGAACACCATATACTATGCTAAATATATGTTAAAATGAAAATAATCAAAAAAACAAAATATACAATAATTCAAAAATTAAATATATTTATTTCCCAATCAATAAAAAATCAAACATCTCAATCCAAATAAATTCCAAGATAATCCTAAGGTAAAACAATCCACGAAGATTTCTCAAAATGCCCCCATCATATTAATAAAAATATCATTTGTAGCATAATTCACATATATATATATTTGTTTTTAAAAAAAGACATTTATTTAGTTTGAAAACATATCAATATATAAATATAAATCTATTAAATGTTATTTTCTATAAATTTAATATCATTAATCATATTCCTATATATCCCAATAAATCAACCAACCATTCCATAAATTTGCATATTATATATGTTCATAAATATTTCTTTAAGATATTAAATCAAATCACATATAATATCTTATTACATTATTTATAAATCTTCAACAAAATCCAATAATTATCTAATAATTTATCTATTTTATATATAATAATACCGTTCTATTTCTAATAAAACCATGTCTCCGTTCACCTACACCAAAAAAACAAACAAACCACATATATCAATTATAACATGTCCATACACCTCCCACAAAAAATCCTTTCTTAAAACATATCATATTTGTAATACAATACATATATTCAATAATATTATTCCTTATCCTTTTAAATTAATAAGAAAACAAAATCACCATTCACATAATATATATATAATTATATATATATATTTATTATGTATTATTATAAGTTATTCAAATATCAATATCTTTTTATTTTCATAATTAATTCAAAATTCAAATCACCATGAACTAGTCTATTATAATATGCCACTCGCTAATCGTTAATACAAAAAAGGCCGACCGGCTGCGGCCAACTTAACCCACCCAGTGTCTGGAACATTTGACACCCTTTCGCTACATCAACGCTCAACTCTCCCGTTGTGAGTCACCCCAAGTTTTCCCGAACAAGCAATGCATGTCAAAATGTGAGAATAGATGACATTCTTTGCTCCATAAATTAGATGTGGACATTGGCCTAATTACTGAGGAACACAAAATGTGAGCGCAACTGTGTTCAAGTGGAGAGTCGTGTTCTTTTGGCGCAGCCTGTACATTGCTGACCCGTCAAGCGAAAGAGCTGGAAGTACCAAGCATATCCCAGCGACCGGTTGGTAGAAAGTTATGATCATCTGTCTTCCTGACCGCCTCGACGTCGGCCACAGGACGGAATTGAATCTCAGAAGCGTGTCAGGCAGCATTGGAGGTAAACCTCAGCTGCTAGCAGCTAGCGACAGCGGCAAATATGTTTCACACACGAAGGCCTTGGACTCATTGAGCTTTTTTTGTAGGGCGTGCATGCCAAACTCAAAGAGCTACAAAAATCCCGACTAGCTTCAAAAAAGGCGCAGCATTTTTCAGGGCCCCAAAACTACAACACCTGCCTTCGCAACGTTCTTACAGGCCGGCCCCCAATTCCAGTGCCCAAGCTGCGGCGCCATCTCAGCTTCCTCGAGCGGAGAAGCTGGGAGCTCCACCTTAGGGGCCAAGCGCGGGTGAATGCTCAATCCTCGCCTCACTTTCCAAAGTCACTCCAAGTGGGGTTCGTGTGGTCCAAAGGCGGATTTTCTACTTCACGGCTGTGGGACTGCAACGGCTCGAAACATCGCTATGCTGCGCAAAGCGGGGGAAGGCCGGGGGGGTAATACGCTCACGCGTCCCGAAAACTCGCTTCAAGTTTGGAGGGGGGGAGGGGGGCGAACTCCATTACGAGCTAGAAGCGGAAGCCGCTGTACACCATGACATGACAGCATAACAGCAGTTTGAGACGTCTAGCCCCACTGATCAAACTCACCCGCGCTGCAATGCCTGTGTTCTCGGTGCAGCACCTGGAAGCACTGGCGCTCCTTGTTTTGCTGCTGCAAAAGTGAGATTGCTGCCTTTGCTGGGCAAGTGGCGAACCACGAGCATTTGGACGAGCTGTGTGAGATGGAAGATGTTTGTGCGGCGGTGTAGGCAGCCCTTCTTGCCAGGCCATCAAAACCACGCATCATCATCATCATCATCATCATCATCATCATCATCATCATCATCATCATCATCATCATCATCATCACCCATCATCATCTTTATGGTGATAATTTTCATCATCCGTCATTGTCATCGTCACCACAGCATTGTCATCCATCATTGCGGTTGTTTTAGCTTATCTCTTATAGAAGCGTCAGCGCTGCCAGCTCGCGGCGGGGGCAGCGGCGTTGCCGGCACCCACCCGGGCCCACGGCTCGACGCTGTCAGCCGCTGGGACAGCAGTCGGTTGCGCAACACGCAGGTGGACATGCCCATCGGTCCTATTGATGACCTGGCGGACTGGAGCTTTCTCACCTGAGGTGTGGCGACTGGATCTGCAAACGCACGCTGGGCGCCGATATTCACGAATGGCTTCCCAAACGGGGCGGGGTGTTCGCTGACGCCGGAATTTTTGGGCCGGCGAAGCTGCTGGCACGGGCAACCTTTTTGATCACTGCAAGACCTGCCCGCAAGTGTCCGCAGAGAAGCTTTTTACAAATCCGAGGAAACATTCCACGGCAACTGCAACCTGGACCTCAGACTCAACAGGCGCATCCCTCAGAACATGAGCAGAAGTCTGCTACCTCTGCTTTTGAATTAGTGACTTCCATATGGCTTGCTGGTCTGTTGCTTCGGCTCAAGGTCGGCCCGTGCAATTACCCCATGAAAGGCCGTGAAAAGACCTGCAGCCCGGTCCCAGGGAAAACTGGCTCACTGCTGCCCAATGTGTAAGGCTGTAGCTCTCATACTTGCGAAAACTCTGCAGCGCAGACAACTCATTATTTGCAGGGGCAAATCTGCAAGTTGCAAGGCGCACCTTACTGGAGCACAAAGCTCGGAAGGGGCCACAGAAGAGTGCCTCCTACAAAGCGCAGGCCAGGGAATAGAACACGACGCAAGTGAAGACTTCGAGACGCCCCCCACTAAAAGTGAGGCGGCAAACTGGCTGCTGTTGCATGGCTGAGCTGTGCGGCCGGTGTACTGCCAAGACTGCAGTCACACTTGGTGGTCGCCGCTGGGGTTTGCCAAGCTGGAAGGAGATGTCTGGGCTGCGGACGGCTTTGCACTCCACAACTTTTTGGAGCTTGCAGGCTTTCTTGGTCCACTTGGTGCAGAGGCTGATCTGGTACGTATGATCTGGTTCGTACGGCAGGGCACGCGCTGTCTTCTACCACAATCTGACAGGCCAAGCGCGGGGAACCACAGCCACCGTGCACGTCATGCTTGCTGAGAGGACAGGACGAACAGCGGTGTACTTGCCCACACCTGCTGTGCCGCCAGTGGGATGCAAGCGCATTACTGAGACTCGGGTGGAAGCTTCCGAGCTACTTGACACAGCGGCTAAAAGACGTGGAGCTGCTAGGCTATCTCGGACGCAGGCGCAAAATGGCGTGGCGGCGCCATTCTGCAGTTGCTGTGGGCAAACAGTAATACTAACAAAGTCTTGCAAAGCTTCAATCATACGAGGTCCGATCAGTTGGTCTGTTTCTGCTTCAGAGTTGAGATTGTGCCCGCATGTTTCCCCCAGTGTTACTCGCCTTGCATCGGTGGGAAAAGCCTTCACAAATAATACTGAGTCAGAATGCAAGCAACAATATGTTACTCCTCAGAATGTGTTCCCAACTGACAGTGGGCCTTGAGAAATCGGACGGACGCCAGAAGAAACTAGACATTTTCCCTAGGGGGCGAAAAATGTGCCAAACCGATTTCTTTCATCTGGAGGACGCCAACCATCCTCGGTGCCCATGGCGCAAAGCCCAAAAACTGCAACCTGCAGCTCACCCGTGAAGGTTGCCTCGGGATTCCTTCTTTCAGCCTAGTGACGCATAGCAAGCGCAGAATTCCTGGGAGAGATTTGCCCGTGGCGGGGGGTTGACCGGTTGACCGCTTTGGTTCCCGGCCTGTAGGATTTGACCTTCCACTGCTCCGCTGGGCACGGTCACATCGATCCTGGAGGCATGGGCCGGCTGAATAATTAACATTTTGTTTCAATGATCATGACTTAATTTGACATTCAAGCACTCCGCAACTAATTGCATTCTGTGGCTTTGGGCCCCCATAGCGTGGGCGAGAAGAGTTCTAAATGAACGCGGACTTTTTTGGTGAGCATCACTGCATGGCTGGATTTGTGCCTGCCAACCATTCTTGAGGTGGATCTCTAGAAACAACCATGACAGGCGGGATGGATGACATGGCAACGGCTTGGCATGGGATTGGATGAACGCAAGAGTCAGTGTATGTGTGTGTGCAGGTGCTGGTTGTATGCGTACACATGCGTGCAGGCACTTATGTACTTGCGCCTGCATCCATCATCACACGTACCTTTGCATGCATGTCTTCATGTATCCACAAATGCCCCTCTCTGTCTCTGTCTCTGCCCCTGTCCCTTTCCCTGTCTCTGCCTCTGTCTGCGTGCATGACCGTACGAGTAGTGCAATGCAGTGTGCTGCGATGTGGCCTCATGATGCCTTATGTAAACGTTCTGGATGCGCGGAGTCCAACGCTCATCTGTGTTTCAGTCTGGCGTGCACCTGCCGCGGGCATTCCATCATGACCCCAGTAGTAATTACATTGTGTTCATCCTGGTCGCTCAGCTCTTGAAACTCAAGCGCTTGCAAGCACTTGCAGCTGTAGCAATTTCGCGCCTTCCCGTGGGGCCAGCAACTTGAAATGCATCGCCAGCCTTGCAAGGGTACAGCCAAAGGCCATGATTGCTTAGCTTGCCACATGGAAGATACCATTTGGCGCTGTGCTTTGATACCCTTGTGCAAGCTGCAACCCTCTTTCAATGCGGACCCAGGACCACAAACGCTCATTGCCTGAACTTTCTGCTGAAGCGCAGGTTCCAAACAAACGGGCGAAGCCGCCAAGTGCCATGTCAGCGAATTTGAATATGTCCGAGTGCCATCCCCGCCCCTTTCTATTACCCTCGCCCCGCCCACGCTGGCCCCAGGGTCTGAATCAGAATCCTCAAGGCCTCCCATCCCAATTTCCAATTTACATGGAGTTGTCACGCGAATGTCTGGAGCTACGACTCACAAGAAACACCCCCCCCACTTGCTCTCTCTGCCGCACCATCGGTAAGCCGTCCACCTGAAGTGGGGTGCTAAAAGCCCATTTCTCGCTGTCGGAAGGTGGTACGCATCAAAGGGCACACGGGCAACAAGCTATTCCATGGGATATTAGGTTGGGGTTTGGGCCTGCGAAATAGCCCCCCCTTGTGGCTCACAGCGGCGTCCTAGGGCTCCCGGCCCTCAGCCCAGCAGGCACCACCACCTGCATGGCATTCGCCGGCACCGCTCGCGGGAGCACACCTCGACAAAGCTTGCCCTTTGCTGCCGCATGGGGCCACAAGAGGAGAGTACTCAACATGGGAAAGCGCACAGGAGGGCGTGTCAAAAGGAAGGTAGTCCTCCAAAAGGAGCGGTCTCTCTGTACTATGGGCGGAAGGGGACTTTCGCAAAATTGGATGGGGACCAGGGGTGAGCATTCACCCGGGAATTCACCCGCTAAGAATATGTGACCAACATTTTAAAGGTTGCAGTGGCGGGTGTCCAACGCTGGATCTGGACCCCGCTTTGTTCCAGTAGCTCCTTTCGCATCCTTTCGCGCTAAGTAGGCCGAACATGTCGCACATACAAATCATGCAAAGTGGCACAATGGTAACACGAGCAGACCACAGTGTATGCCAGGGGTACCAACCCGAAACCTGTCCCAAGGAGAACATCTGCTCCAAAGGTGAAAGAGCCCTCAGAATTGACTTGCTCCAAGACATATGAGCGCCTCTTATGAACCTGCTGGGTTTGTTAACGACCTATCCGTACATATGCAAATGTCACATATGTATATATATATATATATAATATCACTGGCTTCATGGGACACCGGCTCCAAATTGCGGGTCAAAATGGTCGTCTGCATCCACACAGCCGCAAAGAAGCTATCTATACCCAGCACTCGAATGGCTGAGCCAGCTGGCCAGCACAAGTTCGAACTTTGTAGCTCTTTGCCTTTGCTGAAATCAGCGGGTCCCAGGAAGAATCAAGGTCAAATGAAGTGAGGAATTGAGGTCTCGTGCGTTGAGGCAGGGCCCGTCGTATGCTCGGCCTGCCCCAAACGTAGCGAGCATGGTCTCTTGGGATGGAGGGTACTCGACGCCGTACTTGTGGAGCAGCAGGTCAGCTTTGACACCCAACTTGATGATCTCCATCATCAGGTTCTCCTGCACGGCTCACAGTCGCTCTTTGTTCCGGGGTCTGCCTTGCAGATTTGATTTCCACGGCCGTACCCTTTGACCTGATGAGCAGAGGGGGCCAAAGGCTGCATACATTGCGGTTCGGTTTGTGAGGTGGGAAGGGAGCAGGTGGAGTCTCCTAGAGGTGAACAGGAGTAACAAGGGCACGCCACCACCAATCTACGGCGCCAACATGAGCCAACCACTCTTAAAGCGTCAATAACCAAGGTGCACTTGCACGCTCTTATCCCACGTAATTATAACCCAGGTAACTTCTTTGCCACGTAGGTTGAGCAAGGTGGTGTTGTATGGTGTTGTGCTTCATCCGCGCATCCTGCAGCTGGATCTGGGCAATGTTTCCGCGCTTCACCTGCGCGGTGAGCGGGCGTCCGTTCGTCGGGCGTTTTCTGGCCGACGCGAGCCTAGGGCTGAGAGAAACCGGGGAAGAAACAAGAGGGACATCATCGGGTGCCGTCGTGGCTATCTCCAGAATGGTTGGCATCTTGGTGTGTTTTTCCATTTCTCCAATGCATACATCTTATTGTGCGAGACTCCTCGTGCCGCCGCGGACCCCTACTCACAATTAAATAAGGGACCTGTGACTCAATTTCAAGTTGACAGTCTGTTCAGACCCTAGCAGATCATGTGATGTTTCGCCTTTCGACTTTCAATTGCAACAGTTTGAATGTTTGATTGAACGATTCCATGTTGGTTTGCCATGCAAACGACTGTTATCCGCTTGCGTGCCCGGGAAAGGATGGGGCACGTTTGGACAAGAGCCCGCCTGGCGCCCTAACATGTGGTGGTGCAACATAGCCAGCAGAAGTGTCCAACAGGTGAGGTGTGTCTCTGTCTCGAAGGGGCACCTTTGGTTGGGTTTCCTTTGAACCAACTTCAAATGGAGATCCTCAACATGGCCAGCCAAACTTGCAAGATCATAGCTTCCGATTCCCCAAATTACGGAGAGTGGGGAGCTGGCGATTTTCACTTTTTCGTGTGTCTTGATTGGCTTGCAATTTGCAGGGAGTCAATTGTGCCCCGGGGTTCAATAGAGGCTACCTACCCTACCTTGCACAAAGATCTCTGGAGGTCTCCCTCATACATGTCCGAGGTTACATTGCACCGAAGGCCTGTATACGTGTTTCCAAAAGACGGCAGTCTGCTATGAGAAGTTCAATGTTTGATTTTTGGGGAATCAAGTCAACTCAGGAGGGGCAGATATATTTTCTTTTTCGGTCGGAGTGGTTTAGGTGTCAGGTTGGTGCCTGGACTGGATGTGTATGATGTCTTGTCAGACAGCCTCTGCCACATGTTCATGCCCTTTGAAAGGAAGAGGCCCTGATAAATATCGAACCTCCCTCCAAGAGCTGCATTTCTCCCGTGAAAGCAAGCAGTTGTTAGAGGGTGCAATTCTTACCATTTGATAGACCGTACCTTGTAAAAACTGCGGGTCCCAGTTCCTTTAATCTCTTCTTCAGGGGAAATCTCATGTCTGTGTATGGCGGAATTCCAGTCATGGTTCCCGGTCTTCACGGGATTCCAGGCCTGGAATGGAATTCCTTTTCAAGGGGATGATCTGCGTGCGTGCTTGGTTGAGAATACCCTTTTCACCTTGGTCTACAGGGAAACCGCAACGCAAATCACAATTTTCGGGGGTCCCCTACCTGCCCATCTTGTTCGTCGCTCATTCTGATCCTTCCCACCCCGAAAAGAAGCGAACATTCCGCGCCTTGCGGTTCTGGAGCTCCGCAGCGACCTCCGTGGTGAGTTCGCGGTTGCATCCACAGCCCGGGCACACAACGTTCCTCGCAAAACAAAAACACCACAAAAGCAGCCATAAACCGTGGCAGGGGCGGCCATTGGCGGCCATGATCTTTGCTTCAGTTTGTCAAAATCTTCGGATCCTTGTGTGTCCCAACCCCTCACTCACTGGGGTGGAAGTCAAAGCGAAACTCGAAAGATTGGCGTCAAGCACCTTTGGCTAAGATGAATGCTAACCACACCATGTGGGGTACTCCCTGAAAACCATATAAAGTTTCCCACAGTGAGGATTCAGGACTGGATGAGTCACAATGCCTCGGTAAAGATGGCGTATTGTAATTTCAACCCAATTGCGAGTTGAAGAGGAAGGCACCGAACATACGAGACCTGCAAGTTTTCCTCCGGTAAGGGCTACTTCCAGGCAAATTGAACGAAAGCCTCTGCCAGCCCCACACCGCCTAGTTCTGAGAACCTGTCCGCAGGTAGGGGGGGTAGGAGGGAGGAGGCTAATTTCCTTCCACTCCGCGGAGGGCTTCATCATGTGCCTGGAGCAGGCACGACCTGAGACATGGCCTGAGCTGGTAACCCCTGTTTTATGGCTGGGTCACGTACGCAAAGCACCGTGTGATCCTGGCCCAAACATCCCGGGCCAAAGTGCTGGTCCGTCTTCACCTCAGAAGCGCGGCGGGCGAAAAAAAAGGGCGCCCTTTCCTTGTTGGTTGATTGTAAAGGGACACCCCCCCCCCTCCCCCAAACAAGAAACATCTTGGTTGATTCTCAAGGAACACCCTCCCCCCCGAAAAAACACAAACAAAGCAAAAGCAAAACAAATAAAGAGACAAGCGGGTGCCACTGGGCAGGGCCACGTTCACGCAAGCTCCGCAGCACAGCTCCGCCGGCGCCACGGAGCCCAGCTGAGCGTAGGGCTCCCGGCGCACGCTCTTCACGCAGCAGCTGCGGCCCCGGAAGATGGCCTCCTCCTCGTTCAGCTCCAGGTGGCTCTCCTCCGAGCCAACCGTTGAAGCAGTCACTGCCCCAGGGGACCGCTTCAACAAGGCCAGGCTGTGGGTTGCTTAAGTGGACTTCGCCCAAGTCAAACAAAGAATCTGAACACGCCAACCAGTTGTGGTTGATTTTGGCCTCAAGCGGGCTTGGGGGGGCCAAACAAAGGCGACCTGCCCTATCTCCAGAACCTACTTTAAAACTTACATCGACAGGGGTGGGTTTAGGTTTGAGGGGTTGGAATCTCCTGTTCCCACCTCAATGGTTGGGCTCCGGGGCGAGTAGCGATCCATGGACCACTACCTTCCAACCAACGGCACGTCAGCACACACTCAAACACAAGGAGCAAGGCAGGCCGCCCTTGACACCTCTTAGGCTGGTCGAACTGCTCTGAAAGCACCATAAACCAACTTTCATGGTCAGCTGTGGCTTGCAATTCTCAGCTTCCGCGGCTTGCGTCGAGTTTTGGCTCGCGTTTCAGGGGTGGTTCGGCCGGCTCGAATGCATCGATCCAGGAAGTTTCCCAAAGTGTTTTTTTTTCATTTTGGTTGGCAAGGGGAAAAGGGGAGTCAACCATAGGGGATCACTTTGAGAAACCCCGGTCCAGGCAGCAGCAGAGCAGGCGGGCGCAGGTGTTGGTGATGTCGTAGTGGCGCGTTTCCATTTGCTCGGAGGCGCTGAGGTGAACTGCCTCCCCCGGTTGGCCGGGTGGCAACTGAGGTGGGCTCGCTCCATAGACCGCGGCCATGGTCCTCAGTTGCCCAGTGCCCATGGCCAAGCGCAAGGGGGAACCTTCTTGCTCCACTTGTGGGCATGTCATGCGCGATTTCCACAAGTCACATCGTTTGGTAGGATCCACCAATAGACCGAATCGGCCAAAGAAAAAAACCTCATGCCACTCTGAACTGGTCGTCTCTTGTGTCGGTGGGTAGGCGACCCCAGCGTGCGACAGCAGCACATCAGTGTGGATGTCCTGGGCCACTCATGCAGGCGACTCTGATGCTGCTTCCTCTTTGCAATGTGCATGCGAAGGCTTGGCAACCATTCATCTGGGTCCCCTGAGCCATACACAACCTTCTGCAAGCTCAATGGAAAAATGAAATAGTTTCCAACGGAACCTGCCAAAGAGCAATGATTCTCCCAGGTTACCAGCAAATCCTGCCTTGTTCTTGGCCGGCTGCAGCACATTGCTTGTGCAGCACTTGCGCTATCAGTTGTCTTGCCAAGAACATCGCCAATTTTTCCGAGGTGGGGCCTCCCCGCGCCGTCTTTCAAAAAGGGCCCTCAAATTGATTACTTCTACATTCACAACCTACCAGGTGCTTTTGTTTGCTCTTCTTTCTCTGTCTGCCCTAGCACCTGCCCCCCCATGTTCGGGTTTGCCAAACCGGCTGGTGCATGCAAGGCTCGGTGTGCAGTGCCTTGATCATGGTGTTCTCCTCAGGGCTCGGGCAAAGATTTCAAGGATAACTTTCTGGACTATTCTCAGTGCATTGGGAAATGGGTCTGACATTCGCCACACGCTTCTAAGCTTCTAAGCCTCTAAGCCCCTTGAAGCACACAAGCCTCTAAGCCTCTAAGCCTCTAAGCTTGTAAGCCTTTGCAGTCCTTGCGCCTCTAGGCCTGCGCGCTCCTAAGCCTCTAAGCCTCTAAGCCTCCAAGCCTTCCAGCCTCAACGCCCCTAAGCCTCTAAGCCTCCAAGCCTTCCAGCCTCCACGCCCCTAAGCCTCTAAGCCTCCAAGCCTTCCAGCCTCCACGCCCCTAAGCCTCTAAGCCTCTAAGCCTCCAAGCCTTCCAGCCTCCACGCCCCTAAGCCCCTAAGCCTCTAAGCCGCTAAGCATCTAAGCCTCCAAACGCTTAGAGGCTTAGGCGCTTAGAGGCTTAGGCGCTCAGAGGCTTTGGCGCTTAGCGGCTTCGGCGCCTAGCAGCTTCGGCGCTTAGCGGCTTAGGCGCTTAGAGGCTTAGGCGCTTGGAGGCAAAGGCGCTTAGAGGCTTAGGCGCTTAGAGGCTTAGGCGCTTAGGCGCTTAGGCTTAGGCGCTTAGGCTTAGGCTTAGGCGCTAGAGGCTTAGGCGCTTAGAGGCTTAGGCGCTTAGCGCTTAGGCGCTTAGAGGCTTAGGCGCTTAGAGGCTTAGGCGCTTAGAGGCTTAGGCGCTTAGAGGCTTAGGCGCTCAGAGCGCTTTTGGCGCTTAGCGCGCTTCGGCGCTCAGCGGCTTCGGCGCCTAGCAGCTTCGGCGCTTAGCGGCTTAGGCGCTTAGAGGCTTAGGCGCTTGGAGGCAAAGGCGCTTAGAGCTTAGTGGCTGACCAGGTGCTAAAGGTTTAAGCGGGAATCCACCGGATTTCCGTCTAATCTCCCTCCAGCACCTCTAAGCCTCTAAGCCCTGTAAGTCTTCCAGCCGCCACGCCCCTAAGCCTCTAAGTCTCCAATCTGTAAGCTTCTAAGCATTTCAGCCTCTGAGCCTGCACGCCCCAAAGCCTTTAAACCTCTAGGTCCGTAAGCCTGCACGCTCCTAAGCCTCTAAGCCTCTAAGCCTTAAGCCATCCAGCCTCCACGCTCCTAAGCCTCTAAGCCTCTAAGTCGTCCAGCCGCCACGCCCCTAAGCCTCTAAGTCTCCAAGCCTGTCAGCTTCTAAGCCTTTCAGCCTCTGAGCCTGCACGCCCCAAAGCCTTTAAACCTCTAGGTCCGTAAGCCTGCACGCTCCTAAGCCTCTAAGCCTCTAAGCCTCTAAGTCTTCCAGCCGCCACGCCCCTAAGCCTCTAAGTCTCCAAGCCTGTCAGCTTCTAAGCCTTTCAGCCGCTGAGCCTGCGCGCCCCAAAGCCTTTAAACCTCTAGGTCCGTAAGCCTGCACGCTCCTAAGCCTTTCAGCCACTGAGCCCAAGCTCTCCGTAAAGCCTCTAAGCCTCTAATTAAGCCATCCAGCCTCCACGCTCCTAAGCCTCTAAGCCTCTAAGTCTTCCAGCCGCCACGCCCCTAAGCCTCTAAGTCTCCAAGCCTGTCAGCTTCTAAGCCTTTCAGCCGCTGAGCCTGCACGCCCCAAAGCCTTTAAACCTCTAGGTCCGTAAGCCTGCGTGCTCCTAAGCCTCTAAGCCTCCAAGCCTCTAAGTCTTCCAGCCGCAACGCCCCTAAGCCTCTAAAGCTTCTAAGCCTTTCAGCCGCTGAGCCTGCACGCCCCAAAGCCTTTAAACCTCTAGGTCTGTAAGCCTGCACGCTCCTAAGCCTGTAAGCCTCTAAGCCCTGTAAGCTTCTAAGCCTTTCAGCCACTGAGCCTGCACACCCCAAAGCCTTTAAGTCTTCCAGCCGCCACGCCCCTAAGCCTCTAAGCCTGTAAGCTTCTAAGCCCTTCAGCCTCTGAGCCTGCACGCCCCAAAGCCTTTAAACCTCTAGGTCCGTAAGCCTGCACGCTCCTATGCCTCTAAGCCTCTAAGCCTCTAAGCCTCTTATTAAGCCATCCAGCCTCCACGCTCCTAAGCCTCTAAGCCTCTAAGTCTTCTAAGCCTTTCAGCCGCTGAGCCTGCACGCCCCAAAGCCTTTAAACCTCTAGGTCCGTAAGCCTGCACGCTCCTAAGCCTCTAAGCCTCTAAGCCTCTAATTCTAAGCCATCCAGCCTCCACGCTCCTAAGCCTCTAAGCCTCTAAGTCTTCCAGCCGCCACGCCCCTAAGCCTCTAAGTCTCCAAGCCTGTCAGCTTCTAAGCCTTTCAGCCGCTGAGCCTGCACGCCCCAAAGCCTTTAAACCTCTAGGTCCGTAAGCCTGCGTGCTCCTAAGCCTCTAAGCCTCTAAGCCTCTAAGTCTTCCAGCCGCCACGCCCTTAAGCCTCTAAGTCTCCAAGCCTGTAAGCTTCTAAGCCTTTCAGCCTCTGAGCCTGCACGCCCCAAAGCCTTTAAGCCTCTAGGTCCGTAAACCTGCAAGCTCCTAAGCCTCTAAGCCTCTAAGCCCTGTAAGCTTCTAAGCCATCCAGCCTCCACGCTCCTAAGCCTCTAAGCCTCTAAGTCTTCCAGCCGCCACGCCCCTACGCCTCTAAGCCTGTAAGCTTCTAAGCCTTTCAGCCTCTGAGCCTGCACGCCCCAAAGCCTTTAAACCTCTAGGTCCGTAAGCCTGCACGCTCCTATGCCTCTAAGCCTCTAAGCCTCTAAGCCTCTAGAGGCCTCTAAGCCTCTCATTAAGCCATCCAGCCTCCACGCTCCCAAGCCTCTAAGCCTCTCAGTCTTCCAGCCGCCACGCACCTAAGCCTCTAAGTCTCCAAGCCTGTCAGCTTCTAAGCCTTTCAGCCGCTGAGCCTGCACGCCCCAAAGCCTTGAAACCTCTAGGTCCGTAAGCCTGCACGCTCCTAAGCCTCTAAGCCTCTAAGCCTCTAAGCCTCGAATTAAGCCATCCAGCCTCCACGCTCCTAAGCCTCTAAGCCTCTAAGTCTTCCAGCCGCCACGCCCCTAAGCCTCTAAGTCTCCAAGCCTCAGCTTCTAAGCCTTTTAGCCGCTGAGCCTGCACGCCCAAAGCCTTTAAACCTCTAGGTCCGTAAGCCTGCGCGCTCCTAAGCCTCTAAGCCTCTAAGCCTCTAAGTCTTCCAGCCGCCACGCCCCTAAGCCTCTAAGTCTCCAAGTCTGTAAGCTTCTAAGCCTTTCAGCCTCTGAGCCTGCACGCCCCAAAGCCTTTAAACCTCTAGGTCCGTAAGCCTGCACGCTCCTAAGCCTCTAAGCCTCTAAGCCTCTAAGCCTCTAAGATTAAGCCATCCAGCCTCCACGCTCCTAAGCCTCTAAGCCTCTAAGTCTTCCAGCCGCCACGCCCCTAAGCCTCTAAGTCTCCAAAGCTTCTAAGCCTTTCAGCTTCCCAAAGCCTTTAAACCTCTAGGTCCGTAAGCCTGCACGCTCCTAAGCCTCTAAGCCTCTAAGCTAAGCCTCAGCCATCCAGCCTCCACGCTAAAGCCTCTAAGTCTTCTAAGCCTCTAAGTCTCCAAGCCTGTCAGCTTCTAAGCCTTTCAGCCGCTGAGCCTGCAAGCTCCAAAGCCTTTGAACCTCTAGGTCCGTAAGCCTGCGCGCTCCTAAGCCTAAGCCTCTAAGCCTCTAAGCCTCTAATTAAGCCATCCAGCCTCCACGCTCCTAAGCCTCTAAGCCTCTAAGTCTTCCAGCCGCCACGCTGCTTGGAGGCTTAGGCGCTTAGAGGCTCAGGCGCTTAGTCGCTTTGGCGCTTAGAGGCTTAGAGGCTTAGGCATTTGGAATAGGGGCTTGGGCGCTTAGGCGCTTCGAGGCTTAGGCGCTTGGAATAGGCGCTTAGACGCTTAGAGGCTTCGTAGAGGCCCAAGTCGCAAGCCTCCACGCTTCCACGCCTCTCAGCAGAGGCTTATAAGCTTAGGCGCTTAGAGGCTTAGAGGCTTGCGCGGCTGTTGATTAGTAGTAAGAGGCTTGGGCGCTTAGAGGCTTAGAGGCTTAGAGGCTGGTGTTGAAATAGGCAGACCCCTTCTCCCAATACAATGACTACACTTGCAATGAGGCCGCTCCCCCCACTGCCAAAGAAAAACGGAACTGATCGCATCTGACCGCATGTTTCTGCAGAAGCAAAATAAACGAACCGACGCACGCCAGCGCCACCTATGAGAAATCGAGCTGACCTAAAACGAGGGAAGGGAACGCACTGAAACCTTGCAACTCGCCGTATTTCGTGTTTGGCATACGTGATGCAATGACCCTCCCAATTGGCAGGGGCGCCTTTCTGGGGGCATCTTCCCACTTCAATGCCCTTGGTTGGGTCAACTAGGCTGGGCTTAGGGTCGGTTCAGGGCTGGTTTGGCGGTGCTTTAGGGGGCTTAGGGTTGAGGGGGCTGGTTTGCGGATGGTTCAGAAGGGTTTTGGTCTTAGTGTTTAGGGTTTAAGGTAGAATTCAGGCTTGCTTTGAGGTACAGTGGAAGCCCTAAATATTGCAAGTGCCACCAAGGAACATGTTGACACCAATTCTGTGGCATCGCCCGCTGCGTGCGGACCCCTCTCCCCCAGTTACAATGTTGAAGCCAACTGCGTAACCCGTCTTCCGAGGCCCAATATATTGCAAGTTCAACATTGTATCAGGGGAAGGGGGGCCACAAATATCATTTCACAGTGCTTCCCTTAGTGGACCGCGCCCTTTGGCTTTCTGCTCTGCACTTGCAATAATTTAGGGCTTCAACCGCAGGCTTGAGTGTGGTTTAGTGTGGCTCCGGCTTTATGAGTGGGTTAGGGCTTGTGTATTGATGGTTTGGGGCGACTTCGAGTCAATTTGTTTTGGATTGGGTTTTGCTAGGATGCTAGGGGCTGGCCTAGACACAAGGTCACGGATGGCTCAGGTTGGGTTTAGGGCTTGTTCAGGCTTGCTTCAGGCTTGGCTTTTTGTAGGTTCAAGACTGGTTTGGAGTGGGTCTGAGGTTGGCTTCGGAATGGTTACAGTTAGTTTTAGTGCGGGCTTGGGCTTGGTTTATCGGGTTGGCAAGGGCAAATTTAGGGTTTAGGCTGGGTTTCAGCTTGCTTGCTTTGCTGGTCGGCAGTGCGAAGCCCAGAGCGATAACACATCCTTGAACAAACTGGCACCCCATCCTGCTTCGGGGGCAGCCCCCTGTTTGATGGGGTTCTGTCGCCCAAAAAGGCATCGAATCAATTCCAAAACAACATGCCATGACACCCCATTAAGAGGGTTCTCTGCAGGCAATCATGCCCATATCAAAGGGTTAGACCAAAAAGGGGACCAACAAGGAAACTGGAAAGATTACGAGTTCGGATTTGGACAGAAAGTGGTGCACCAGAGGTGCACTGGAGGTGTTTTTTCCCTCTCATGAAGGGAGTTTTGCGAAAGCACGCTAACAAAGACCCAACTGGTGAAAAAAACGACGTGCATCCACAGCACCTTTGGCCCCACCCGCCCTCATGCGGCTCCTGGTTCCTCAGCTGGGCGATGTTGCCGCGGCCCACCTTGCGCGCCTGCAGCTCGCCCGCGATGGCGTGCAGCTTGGGCACATCTCCGCACCAGCCGGGGATCATGCCGTTGACACTGTGGCAGCAAAAGCAGCACAACTCCTGGAAAACGCGCGTAGGGAGCATAAGAAGGAAAAGAAGAAGAAGAAGGAGGAGGAGCTGAGAAAATATTAAATAATAGAAGAAGTCAAAGAACAAGTATCAAAGAAGAAAAAGAGAAACGAGGAAAATTGAAGAAAGACAGCGAAGAAAAAGAAAAAAAGCAAACAACAACACTAATAATAAGTGCCTGGGTACTAATACCAATAGTCTATGTTACTCGTTATCCTTTGCGTTTTGGTCGAACATAAACGGACCCCTGGAAATAGGTGACCCTATATATATATATATATAGCAGCATTGAATCTTATAGTGGGTGCATGATGTGCACATGCTTACGAGGCGAATCCACGACCCGTGGTCACTCCTAAGGCCCATTGACTTGACCAAAGGGCAAGAGGCCAAAGGTCAAAAGCTTTGCTCAGGCACACCCGCTTGACTCAGTCGACAGTGCAGGTGCCTTGACCTTTCGAGCCAACCTATGCCCAGTTTGTGCCACTACAGCAAATAACCAGCGGCAACCATCATGTATCTACTACACTGATCAGTGGAATCCACGTGTGGGGCAACGCGTGAGATTTTGGACGTTACTGGACAATCTTCAAGCGTCGTTGCTTTGAATGTATCCAATCAGAATGGATGTGCATATAGAAACAAGGCATATACAAGATACACCGGTATACATCGTTGTAAAAAATACCATACCAGGCATCTTCCAATGGAAACCGCCCATCGCTCGGTCCTCGTCCACTGCCCTAAGCTGAGCATAGGGCTGACGGTCGATGGAGGTGGTGCAGTTGTTGCTGACCCTCAGAGGGCGTACAGTTCCCCGTATGTCCCTGTGGTTTTTCCGAAGAAAGGCTAAATAAGGCCTTTCTTTGGGAAACGGGGGGGGGGGGGGCTGGCGAAGTGATGATCACAAAAAGGCACCCCTAAAATCCATCTGTTGTCCAATCAGTGTCTCATGCATTTCACCCTGGAATGGAAGAGCACATCGACACATATTTCCCCGACTCGAGGAACACGTCTCTGCCAAATCGGTGGCTTTTCTGCCAGCTGCTAAACAACACACACGAAAGCATCAAAACCGCCATTTCGGTGTCTTTTTGTGAGGGTACCCTTTTTCGGGGTTGATGAAAGGAAAGCCTGAAAACGGAACAGGGACATGGTTGTGGAAATCACCTTTCTGGCCTTGACTGCTTGCTCACTTTCAACGAATTTTCCCTTGGTGTTGCCAAAATCGATCCTATTACCAACTTTGCCACAACCACCAAAGAGGGGGATCCCCAATTTGAGAGGTTGCCCGCCTGGTGGTCATCTGCTCGGCTTCCAGGGTGGCCGTGTGCGAGGTGCAGCCCGCCAGACCGCAGGTGACCGCGAGGCAGCAGCAGTTCCTTCGTTTCCCGTACCAAACATCACCACAGGAAATAACTACACATTCCCGTTGAATTGGGAGTGCCAGAGCATGTATATCTATATCTATGTCTATATGTAGGTGTATATATGTTCCAGGCCGTGGACCCCCCCCCCCCGCCCCCCCCCCCCCCCCCCCCCCCCTGTGAGGGTGGGGTGGGTGGGGTGGGTGGGTGGTGGGGTGGTGGGGTGGTTGGGTGGTTGGGCCAACCCCCCCTCCCCCCTGCGTGGGGGGTGGGGTGGTGGGGTGGTGGGGTGGTGGGGTGGTGGGGTGGTGGGGTGGTGGGGTGGTGGGGTGGTGGGGTGGTGGGGTGGTGGGGTGGTGGGGTGGTGGGGTGGTGGGGTGGTGGGGTGGTGGGGTGGTGGGGTGGTGGGGTGGTGGGGTGGTGGGGTGGTTGGGTGGTTGGGTGGTTGGGGTGTGGTTCGGAGTTGGTTGAGGCTTGGTGGGTTGGTTTAGGGTTGGTTCAGGGTTGGTTCAGGGTTGGTTCCGGGTTGGTTTGCGGTGGGTTTCGGGTGGGTTTGGTGTTTGGGTTGATTTAGGCTTAGGGTTGGGGTTAAGGAGGGGTTGCAGAGTGGTTTGGTTTAGGGTAGGATGTTGCGAGAGGTGCGGGGGTGTTGGTTGACGGGGTGAAAGGGGGTCTGGGACCGAAGCTGCAGGGCTCGCACGGTACTGGACAGCATCCCCAGCATTGCCAGCATCATCCCCAAGATGCGGATGATGCGGGGGAGTGGGGGGACCATACCATTGGGGGGGGGGGGGGTACGTGGCCCAGGGACTGGTACATATATATGGAGAGCACGTTTATGCACACATTGGCCTTTATTTATAGTGGGTATAGCAGGAGTACGTACTTGCAGCGCGCACTCTGAAAGGCATGGAGTGATTTTGCGCAGGAGGCATACTTAAACATGGCCCAAAAGGGCGGTCCTCATCCCTAGGTTACTTGGATTGGGATTTGAAGCTCCAGCAACTCTAGACCCTAATCTCTAACCCATCAAGCCAAAACGCCATGACACAAAGCTGCAGAATAGTTTTCGTTTATGCACTAACCCACTGCAAGAGAACTTAATTAGCCATGGCCCAAACAAGTTTCGTCAAACATAAGGCGCCTTATGATTGCGCCCGTGGCCTGAAGATGGGGGCCCAAACAAATTGCAGGTTGCATTGTGTCCGTTCTTTCGGCACCATGGAAACCGAGTCCCCCATTTTGGAAGACATCGGGCAGGACCTCTCCAAGGCAAACCGCTTCTGAAGGCCGGTAGTGTTCGAAACTGCCCCCTTGTGTGTGCACGGGCCATTTCCTCTTTGAACATCAATCCACCGAAGAAAACTCGCAAACAAGTGGGAGCCAAAATGTAATGATCAATGTCACCCAAAAGGGACGCGCGGGGACCCCTGGCTAAAGGCGGTGAATCGAAAACAATATGTTCCAGGCAGCACAACGGCTTCATGCACGTTCCCTTTCAAGCTGTCCCAAATCCAACTTGGCTCCAATCTTTTGGGCGCAACAGTTGGAAACATCAGCAAGTTGAACATCATCAGCCACCACAAAAGGGGAGGTTCAATGACGTATGAACTTCTGCCCCTTCAAAGGGGCCCTTGCTTTCAACCACTGCACAAACAAACGACAGCGAAGGGGGCTTCTGATCTTAAAATGGAAGGTTCAGAAACTCGTTCCGCACGTTGAAGTCCAGGGATGCGAAGTTCTGGCTCGGCACCTGGGTTTTTTAGGACTGTCCCTAGAGGTGACGGTGAGGAAGGCAGGGAACCAAGAGTCGTAAAACAAAAAATGAATTTCAGAAAGTTAGCCACAAACCCCCCAAAATCAGGGGTTGGCTAACTTCCTCTAACATTTCCAGTAGCTGGTCCCTTGGCAGCAGGAAACTGAAAGGGAAACCGGAAGGACATCAAAAGGCAAACCGCCGAACGAGAGCAACCCCAAGCAAAATGGATTCCCCTGTGCGAGCCCTCCGGCCTCGTGTGGTGTGGCGAAGGCTGCTTGGGGCAGGCTCTGGGAGCCATAGACCCGCTGCATGGTTTGCTGGCTCGGGGGGAAGGCGGCGTCCGCACCCAATTTGTCCAGCATCAAAGGCACCTGCAGAAACAAAGCCCGGGGGCTACACAGGTTCTGATAGTATCTTGGCAACTTAGTACATGTACCTGACCAGAATATGGTATATCTCAGTATCCTCTCACCTTAATTCGTGTACATCCTAGTGTTTCAGTACAGATCTTAGCAGCTTGGTATGTATCGTGTTTTCTTCATATAGTGTAAACATATATATACATATATATATATATATGTGTGTGTGTATTGGCGCCTCTCAGCAAAGATTCCCTAGCGTAGAAGCTGTAGCGCAAATGAAGGCCCTCCCCCTGAACACTTTCCGAGGGCAGGAATTCATGTAGCTGCTGAAGAATGCAAAGTGTTGCTTTCAAGCTTTTCCAAAGCAAATGCTCTTTTGTTTCACGAGCATCCCGATCACAAGTGAGCGTTGGTTTTTATTCCCTACAAACTTGCTTGGACATCATTCAAGCTTCCGCGGACCCTTCCGCCTCCTTGCCGCGGGCCAAGAGGTCCCTTCCGCGAACTTCCGCGGCACATGTATTTCATTGTTTGCTTCCGCAAGCCTTCCGCGGGGCATGGTTTACAAGATTTGCTTCCGCGAGCATTGGCGCAGAAAGGAAAGTTATTTTAAGTGATGTAGCGTTCCGCCGCAGCTTGTGTAGGCTTGGGCTCCATTGGGCTACCCATGCTACGTGGCCACTTGCCTGCAAACACGGGGCCACCCTTCCGCGGCGCTTCCGCAAAGCTTCCGCAAACCTTCCTCGAAATACGCGGCTGTTTTGGCCTTCTTGGCTTGCTGTTGGCATCTGCTCTTCGAGTAAGCGGTGCGTTTCTTGTATGCAGCAACACCTTTTCTTCTACTGGAATCGTTTCTCCGAGCTTTTTTATGCACGCACTGAAACATTTAGTTGTACATCAGCCACAAAGCTTCCGCAAACCTTCCGCGAACAAATCCCTTCCGCGAGCCTTCCGCATGCTTCCGCGCGTTTGGCGCGGCGCACATTTTCAATAATAATGTCCCCCTCCCCACTAAATTAGCTTGCGGCTAAAAAACCGCCGCTCAAGTGTGGATACATGCTCGGGGATCCCCGGCAAAAGCTCGCAAACGGGAACCCTAGCCCCATACACATGCGAAAGTTCAAGCAGCCTCCGCAGCAAAGTCGTCGAACTTGCCCATCATCTTCTCCAATTGTCGGATCTGGCCCAAGTTGCCACGCACCTCGACTGCAACAAGGGACCTTTCCCCGTGACTGCAAACATGACGGACGCCCAAGTCGAAACCGTCAAGGATCGACCCATGGAAACCCCACAGGTTGGAAACGGTGAAGCGGGGAAACGTGGCGACACACACACACACACACAAAGCGTGGTGAGGCCGCCATAAATGCTGACGCAGCGCAACTTGAAGGTAAGCATGGGCATTCCTGCGAAGGAGACCCCCAATGCAAACCTGTGATTGCATTTAATAAGCAGTTGGCGTCCTGGTTGCTGAGTAACTGGCGAGATTCACAAAAGTAAGATGGCCGGCATTCTCTCACGTTCCCTTCAAACACCAATCAGTTCAACCCATTCTTACACACACACAGACACACACACACACTCACGCGCAAACCCCACTCCGCCCCCCGCAAGTCTTCACCGAGGCGCGTCCACCCGTGCTTGCAGGTCCCCTCAGGGCGGGTCCAACAAGGTTTCACTGAAGTTTGTTTGAAGTTTGAATCACTGTTTGAATGTTCGTCGTTCACGAACCGGACTCCGTTCCCGTCCATGAAAAGTCTGAGTTGATTGAACAACAGCTGTTTCGGGGTTCGTGAATCGAAGGGCTTGGTTGGCGTTTGTTCTCCAGGCTTTGTCTTCCTTTCGGTTTCCCTTTTAAACCACCAACAATAAGGATTTCACATTTTTCGGACTGGCTAGAGCAAAGTCAGGATCTGGTTGAGTCTGGTTGGAACTTGCTAACCAGGAGGGACAACGTATCCCCTGAAAAGGTGTTCACACACCCTCTAAAACTCTTCTAATTTTTTAGTGGCGTAACGACAACCACTGATCACCCCCCCCCCCCCACACACACACGGAACTTGCCAAAAAAGGCTGGCGAGCTCTTGTCGCTTGTATTGCTAAGTATTGCTCTCGCCTTTTCTCGTTTCAAGCCACCTTCTTGATTTGCAATCGGCCCACGTAAGACTTTGAACAGCTTTATTTGGGGGCGCCCCCCCAAAAAAAAAGAAGAAGAAGAAAAAGAAAACAAGAAAAAACAACAGACATGTCCTATGTCAGACCCCGCTGCCAATTAAACAACGTACGCTGGAGAGGCTGCACCGAGGTAAAGTAGATGGCGCAATTTCCATCTTGACGTAGGTTGAGGGAATGGCGGAACGACTCTCGGAACTCAAAAATCCCAAGTTGTGCAGCGTCCACTTCTCAGCAAGGCCTCGGATCCTGCCTCGGATCATGTCCACCAGGGCCCCGCTGCAGCCGCAGCCTGGCTGCAGCGGTTTGTGCGGCTGGCCCGGGGGCTTCGTGAGCTCCCCCGCCTGCAGCAGCGCCAGGCATCCGCAGGAACGGACCACGTCCACCTGGCGCCATTCTGATGCGGGGGGCTGGCCTGTGACTTCCCCTTTCACCCCTGACATGCGTTTTTGGCTAGATTTCAGGTTCGAAAAGGAGCCCGGACACCCCCCCCAAAAGAGAAAAAACAAAGCTGGCTTCCCTTTGATGGTGGCTTGTTTCGCTTTTGTTGGCTCCGGAGGCTGTGCCGGTTTCTTTGGGGTTGCTCTGTGAATCGCACCAAAAAAAGAATACCCTCAAGAATGCAGGTGATTAGAAAGGTGGAGGGCCTGGAGAAAAAACAAAACATATCATCAATACACACATGGCTTCATTCAAGGAACGCATTCAGCTTATGTTTGTTTGTGTGTGGGTGGGTGTGTTTGTTTGTTTGCTTGCTTGCTTGATGCTCGCTCGCTTGCTTGCTCGCTCGCTTGCATGTTTGTGCGTGGTGTGTGCTTGTTCGTTTGTTTGCTTGCTTGTGTGTTGCACACTTTGAAAATAGGCGGTCCAGCATGAAAGTGACCATTGGGCAATCCCTAGCTTTGACACATCAAACATGATGATGCATCCCATGCGATTAAGTCACATTTGTTCTCACATTCTCGTGGAGTAACTAGTTGCTCTATGCCATCTTACCCACCCTCACGTTGATACATTACCGAAACAATTGCAAGATTTACAACAGTTTGACACGCATGGGCACGCAACAAGATCCTTGAGTTGTGTCATTCTCCAGCCCGCATCATGAACAAACAATCACGGAACTTGGAAAGAGTGGCCAGGCAAAAGTCACAGTTGCCCAATGACCTTGGCGCTTTTTGGGGGTGAGGCTTTTCAGTGACGAACCGCCGAGCAGAAAGGGACACTGAACAACTAGGTCATGGCCCCTTCCCTTATGGGCCGGAATGAAGCCCTGCCGAGCTGCGGAGGCGATATTTGCATAAGGCACCCTGCTCGTCACAACCTGGCGAAAGCGGCTGGGTGGCGAGCCACATTCCCATCAGAATCTCATGCCAAAGGAATGCTAATTCCTGGTTGGTTAACGTCTCAGACTACAAAACCCCGAGTGATCAACATCTAGAGAAATAGAAAGGTGCCCCATTGAAAGGGAATCCTTCATTTTTTGGGCGAACCATCCCTTCTTCATCCACCATTCAAGTTTGGTCATCGGGACCCCTGCAAGCCGCACAGTGCAACCCTTCATCAACTACGTTCCATCCTGTTCTTGGCCCAAAACATCTCTCAACACCTATTCATGTGATTGAATGGGAGATTGACAAATGTCCACCCTATCAAAATCGCGCCATGATCCTCAAGGGCGAGGTTGCCGACCCTATCGATTTCCACAAGTATCGAACGCGTAGAAGGATCTCCGATGATGTCTGCTGTCCGGAGTTTCCCCATGAAAAGCACTCCCTCAGTTTCTTCTCCCCGCTTTGATTCAGCGTGCCTTATGTCGCTGCCTCGGGTCGTGGAACCAAGGTGCAAACAAGCGGCGCTTCCAGTGATGAACTGCTTGGTGGTGAGAATCCCCTCGTCCGGTGCCAGCTCCAGCACCTTCCTCACGCAGCAGAGGGACTCCAAGCAGCACGTCACATCCTCGGACCCCATTGGCACACAGAGGTGAACTGTGCGCATGAGCGAGGCCACGGCGTTCAATTCAATTCATGGCAGCGCTAAGCACAATGTGCCGGCAAAAACAAAAACACCTGTCCTGCTGCAAACTAATAGGAAGATCTAACCCCTGGCTCTTTAGGTCAGAGGGTTGAATAATAAAAACTTACTGTCGAGATCAGCTTCGTACTGGTTGGATCCGAACTCTGGAAGCTGCTCTAGCTTTGCCACCTCTGCCAGTGACCGCATCAAAGGAACATGCTCTCCGAAGAGGCGTTGCAACGTCGCATCAGACGGGGGATATTGGGCCCCAATCTTCTTCAGCAACAGCGGCAATTGGACTGCCAGCTTGCTGATCCTGTCCAGCATATATTTCTGTTGTCGCATTTGGGCGATCTTCCCACGGCCATCTTTACGAAGGTTCAGCTCATACACAATCTCGTCCACCAGCTGTTTCGAGCAGCCGCAGCCGGGGACAATACCTCCCTCTCCTTTCTCATTCATGGGCTGCAAATCCTCAGTTGCTCAATGCCATTCAAATGCGCCATAACCAAACATTTCAAAATCGGCACAGCCAAACCTAGTGGAGGCCAAACAGCTTGAAACCATCCACAAACCTGACAGGCAACTTGACACTAAAGCCCAGAAAGTTGGATTCTCCCCACAGCTGGCTTGAAATCACACGACAACTCCCGGCTATGCACGTTCCTTTTCCCAACAAAGAGAAATTATAGCAGTTGCTGTAAAGACGCCCTCTTGGGGAACGTTTTCGGGGTAGGTGTAAAGGAAAGCAGCTGTTGTGTTAATGCCGAGACAAAATCTGGTTCCTGGATTGGGGAGTGATCTACCTAGCTCTGCTGGTTTGTATCTAAGTCACCCGGAAGGCATGGGCCCCAACTCCCAGGAAAGATGCTTCACACCTACTTAGAAGGCGAGAACCTTTCTGGGGCTAGGGCTGAAACGTTCTTCCAGTCCAAAAAGGCACAGTGGCAAAACCCACAATCGTCATACAATGGAAACAAAGTGCAGTGCGATGCAAATAGCAGCTTGGTAACTTCGGTTTTCGGCCCTGGATGAATGTTAGAGGCGATGGCAAGCTAACAAGACGTTCATAGTGTTGGATTGCCCTCTGAAAAGTTATTATGCACAGGCGCTTTTTCACTTCACATCGTTGATTGAAACGTCCGTCGCTGGAGCCATTAGACAGAAATAGGTACTTTGACCCATTGTTCACCTCCAAAATGATTCCTGAGGATGTGTTCTCAACATTGTGTCCCTACTTCATCTAACAAACTAAAGACCAATATGGACATATTGGAAAAACGACATTGCATGCTGCACTGGCGCAATTCCAGTATGGAGAATGCAATTTCTCAAACTCTACTCCCAGCTAAATCAATGTTGTTCAGCGGGGAAACACATTCCCTATGGATTTGGGCATCTACAATGCGAATGTATGCAAGGTTCTTTTCGAATGATGTTCCAAAGGTTTGGCATGTCAGTGGCACTTGGTGGGAAGTTCCTTCACAGGAGGCCGATGCAACCTTGAAGGTTCCTTCATGGCTGCCACAACATGTGATCTGTCCGCCGCTGCCCATTGTCAGGGTCGATCTCGTTTTGAGGGCACCCTTTTCGGTATCCCTTTTTTGAGCATGTGGAACTTTGGTGACCGGTGAATCATGTTCATTGCGGCATTTGTGGTCCCAGTGGTGGCATCTTGCCTGCAGCCGTTGAGGACCAAAGATAGCACACACGTGCAGTTTTCAAGTGATGCGGCGTTCGTTCCTGCTGGTATGGGCTCCGATGGCCACCGGACATGGCGTTGCCATTGCGGGCGACTATGCTTATTTTTCCGCATTGTGGGGCCACCGCGGTTCCATCGCACTTTGCTTTCAAAGTGTACCACATTTCGGATCCAACAAACCCAGCTTTCGTGTCACACACGGATTGCGATTATGTTGGTGGCCTTGACATGGCCATGTCAAGGGCGACCATGCCTACTTTGTAGCGGACCGCTTGAACCCCTCTCAGTGGTTGATTCACGCATGTGATTTGTATTTGCTGAAAGTTGTCAGCATTCTCAGACCCAACCAACCCGGTCATCGCAGGCCCATTCAATTCGCGAATGGCACGCTATACAAGGGTTGGGGTCCAGCAAGTGCTAGCGTTGTAGGCATATGCCTATTTATGGCTTGGCAGTCTTCGACCTGGGCGACCCCGTTGACCCAGCCATTGTATGGAGTCATAAACCCCAAGCACGACTTTCACAGTGAGTGGCATTACCATCGCCGGAAGCCAGGCCTAATTTCCGGTGTTGCATGGCTTGAAGGGGAGTATGACGATGGGTAGACAATTGTCAACATTTCAGATTTCAGACCCAAGCCCTAGGATCGACGCAACTGGCAGGTTGGGGACACACACACGGGCAGGGACAGGTGAAGACGTGGCAGCGTAAGGCATGACTGCATTCATCGTCATTGTGGGTGACCATGCCTATGTTGCCTATATATACAGGAATTGGCTGTTGTGAACATTTTTGACCCAACCAAACCACACTTCTTTTGGACTGGTGGCAGGCACTCGCACGAGTGGGCGTGCTACGCAACAGCGGGTATTGCAGTTGTGGGACGCCATGCCTGTGCTGCTTACGATTCCTGGGAATGTTTTACGTCTAGAGATGTGTCTTCGGTGATTTGACCAAACCCCAAAGACAGGTGTCAGAAATCTTCAGGAACGATATAGTGAAACCCAACAACGACAAGTACGAGTAGGACACAACTACGGTGACCGCATCCACATTCGACAGTGCAGCACAAGTAATGACGACTTCCCGTTTGGCCACGGGTCAAAGCATGTCAAGCCTCCCTGGTGACGGCGATGCGAACGCAGTGACCTTTGACCTCCGAACCTCAGACCTCGGGTCTCCGACCTCGGAACCTCGAACCTCGGAAAGCTCATTGTCAGCTGGGTTATGTCAAAAACACATGTCCCCAACTATTGCCGTATCTGAGGCTCCGAGTTGATGGCCTGACAAATCCCGAAGCACAAACTCCTCTGCTCCAGCAACGTGAGCTGCGCGTAGGGACGGCGCTGGGAGAAGTTGCAGCAGCAGTTGCTGGTCTTCAGTACGACTTCCTCCCGCTGCATCTCCAAAGTCTTCCTGAGGGGTCCTAGATCAACCTATCAACCAAGAAAACTCACTTGAAACAGGTACAAAAGAGTGTTGAAAACCACTAGAAGGAAACTAGCCCACCCACCATCAAAGACCAAGGTGCACTCAGTCTTTGTTCCACCAACCACCCAAAAAACTCTCCCAACCTTGTGTTTTCTTCCTGGGACACGCATAGAGAGGGGATGAGGATGAGTGGGGAGGACATGGGTTTCAGGTTGATGTCCAAACCATACCCCCTGGCAACAAACAAAAAAGCTGAAGAAAGAACAGAAGTTCTCTCAACCCCTCCCCCAAACCATAACTCTAACGTGCAACAACATATGGCAGGCACACACTGTTAGACCCGCATGCAAAAGCAGTGACATTCGGCGAGCCACCCAGCAATCTTGTCAGCTGCTTACACGCCACAAACCGCTCGATATCGAATAATGAAATACACGCATCCTGCTACTGGAGACATTGACGTTCTCATGAATGTGGACGTACGAGATTGCAGGCGGAAAAGCAAGATAGAATCCACCCCTGCACAATGTTTCGTAATGAAATGCACTGCAATGATATGCCATCTAGTATGCTGCAAGTACGTGTTGCTGGCTGGGTGCATGCGGGCGGGCGTGGTGCAAATGTAAGTGCAGGCCCAAGTGGAAGTGCACATGTGTATGTAAGTCTGTGTGTCTGTGCGCGTGTAAGTGAATAACGTATGCGCGTGTGTATGAGTAGTGTGGTGGAAGTGGTTAAAGTCTGTGTGAAGTGTGCAAGTGTGTGTAAGTCCGTGTATGTAAGTCTGTCTGTCTGTCTGTGTGTGCAAGTATGTAAATACACAAGTTGTTGAATATTTTTTAGTATGATCTACATATATATATATATACACATATGTCTAGGCACATGTGTGCACGCGTTCTTTTGAAAAGAGTGTGCATGTGTGTGTGTGTGTGTGTCTGTGTGTGTGCGAGTGTGGTGCTGTGTTGGATGCTCTCATGTCCTCTGGACGGTGTCCAACTTCCATTCGACTTTCTCCGCGAGCGACGTCCAATGCGCGCATATGCAGTGCCATTCGCAATCCCTCCCGCCTCGTGATCAAACAGCACAGCATGCCAGACATCACTTCAATCCAGTTCGTGACATCGAAGCTCCGCTCAGGGAACGATCGCATAAGGTTCTCCATTTGCCTCGGGCGTACCGGAGCGCGCACTTAGGCTAGCGCACCGCTTAGGCACTGGAGTCAAGCTACGCCTCCTGAGCCAATAATGCTAAGGGAACGGCTCAGGTCTTGCAAATAGTTGATGTCAGAAAGAGTCATCGACGCTTATTTCATGCAGGATCCAGGCACGTTCACTACAGCGCTCGTTTTCCAAATCTTTACGCCAAGAGTTCCTCGTAGAGCCCCGCCCTTGGTTGGCATCGAGCGATCCTATTGCCAAGAGGCACTTCTGGGGGGCCTGCGACGCCTATGACTTCCATCCACAAACCAAACGTTGTGACTTGGGAGCTACCAGACAATTTAAGCGCCAGGCACACGCCAGGACGCATCTAAGGCCGGGGCTCCACCACCTGAGCCACCGTCGAGTGGATGCCCACGTAGCAGGGAGTTTTCCACCTGAACGGACGAAAACTTGCTGGGCACCAAGCTGTGCTGGGGCCTACATCCGAGCTTAGCTGTCCTCAGACCCCCTGCTAAAAGTTCATCGTTTAACTTAGTGGCCAAAGCCAGCCTCCGCTAAACCCAAAAAACCTAAGGGGATGGCTGGGAACCGCCAAGTTTCCACCTGCAACATCGCCGCAGTCAAGGGGTAGGGGGCATGAGCCCAAGAGTTCGCGTGTGATAGGCTCATGGAGTCACACAGGGAAGGGGGTTTGCAACAAATTTGGGCATGTTTCAAAAGGGGTTGGTTACCTGAGCCGAGACAGAGCAAACATGTGGTTGAGGTCTCGGACACCTTGCTGAATCCTTCGAACTTTGGAATCGATGGTGCTTGGGCCTCGCTTGCGCGATAGATGTGCCAAAACAACCCTTGTCGTTTTGTTGCCTTCCGCTCTTGGGCGTTGCCAAAATAAGGAACCCCAGTTTGAATGGGTCTGAAAAACCCAAAGGAACCCCCTATCACAAACAACACTCGGCGCTTTTTCAGGCGGCCTTTGCTGGCCGATCCCCCTCTTCCCCAGCACGTGGTACACCCCCATCATCTGCAACCACTATCAACCACCTGCACATCTTCAACTCTCATCAAGCTGGCCATCCCTATAGAATTTCATGGTTTATGAAGATAGGGAGGGTTTTTTCTTCATGTTGCAACTCTTTGAACCATTGGGCGTCCGTGCAGGAGGGCAAAGAATATCCCACTGTCCCAGGCCCCTGACCAGTGAAACCTTTCCTGCCTGGGGGCAGTGTGCAAGCGACGAAGGACCTGCGTTCGGCCGACAGTCGGTTCCACGATTCGTCGAACCTCAAGATTTGTTGGTTCCCCTCAGGCGGTTTTATTTCTACTCGGAACATTTCAGCCCTTAAGAGAACAGCCTACAAATTACCAGCAAGGCACACAGTCACAGTTCAAAAGCCGCCATCCGAACCTTGAGTAACTCTCTTGAAGAAATGCCATCAAAAAAAGCTCCGAAGTGCATTTGGGCTAGTCCAAAAAGTCACCTCAACTCTCGTGCCATTCTCCGCACTTGGCTGAGTGTGTGTCTCTCTCCATCTGTTTCACTGTTGGCAAAAATGCTTCGGCCACCACCACTTGCCGGTAAGTCAGTATGCCCCAACGAGATTAGATTGGTCATGGACGTGAACAGCACATCAACTGGAAACCGTGCGCAGCCCAGTGACAAACACTAAAAACCACCATGCCCCTCCTTCGTCCGAAAGAAGCCTGGGCCCTGACGCACGGCATCCCCTGGAGAAGGGGCTCGCTCCCTAACGATTCGCCAGTCGGCCACCGCCTTCCACTTGGCCATCTGAAGTCGCCGCAAGTCTGGCTCCTGGTTGCAAAGGATTGCACAACGATTTGCTAGCGGGTTAGGCAAAACTAGAGAACCATCCGCCCTTTGTTTTGACTTCTTGTGCGGTATTCAGATCGAACACAAACTTGCCTCTGATCTAAGAACACACCAGTTGATCCTTGCATCAGCAGCAGCAGCAGCAGCAGCAACAGCAACAGCAACAGCAACAGCAACAGCAACAACAACAACAACAACAACAACAACAACAACAACAACAACAACAACAACAACAACAACAACAACAACAACAACAACAACAACAACAACAACAACAACAACAACAACAACAACAACAACAACAACAACAACAACAACAACAACAACAACAACAACAACAACAACAACAACGAGCCCGCAACGATAGCCAAAAGCTGGCTGGTATAAAGGGCAGGGCGGCATGACATCCTCGAGAAAGTAAGGATGTCGTAAACACGTTGTTTATTGTGATTGAATGTTGATAAGTAGTATTGAGTCAAAATCATAGATTCAGGAAGGGATCGCTGTCCATACCCGGACAGCCACCACAAAAATTGTTGAATAAGGTAGACCACATGTAAGCCAAGGGCGTGTCTGTCTCAAAAGAAACGTCTCACCTCAGGCCTGTAACCTTCGGCCCATGAAGCTTGGACCCCGCGGCATGGCTCTGGCGCCTTCTCGCCAGGCCGGCGTGCCGTGGCGTTGAAAAGCTGGAGCAGCTTGGCCTGGAAATGCGGAAAATCGGGCTGGGAGATGAGGGTGTGCGCTTGTTTGATTGCGTGTTTTGTATGTTTGCCTGCTTACTTGGTTGGCTGTTCTTTTTTTGTTTGCTTGCTTGTTTGTTTTTGGGGGTACCTTTTTTTGGGCTGGTTTAAACGGAAACCAAACCACTATGTTGATACATGCCCGGGCTCCTTGCACAACATCTCCAAGCGCAGTTGCTTTAATTTGGTCTGGACTCATCGGCTATTGGGATTGCAAAAAACTGGTACCCCTCAACATTCCCCAGATTGCGAACTGGGCCGCCGTCCCGCCTGATTCGCAGAGTGCACCAGGCCCTGCCCGCCAAAAGCGAAGTGTCGAAACGGGGCCGACCGACGCAGTTGTGTCTAAGCTCTTGTTGTCACGTGGGAGTGTTCGACCCTCATCAGGTCAGCAGCTTATGACATTGATATTAAGGGAAGTGGCTCTTGTTGTCTCATGTAGCTTCTTACGTGAATGCCCAAACAGTCCTGGTAGTCACATCCAGGACCTCAAACATAAGTACCGCGAGACCTTCAAAACAATTCGGGATATGGTAGAACCGCAATTGCATTACACTTTGAGCCCAGAACCCTTTCTATAGCACGCTCGATTTACAAAGCCACCAGCTGTTCCAAGGGGTTTACTACATGTAGGCGATATTTAGGTGTATCCTTTACGGGACCAGCCTGAATGGTGCCCGCCACTCGGGGAGCCCAAATACTTTGCCAACGGCTGGGCCCAGAGTCCATGGGACAAAACGGCACCTCCCCCAGCGACAGTGCCAACTGTGCTGCTTGCGAAAAAAGAAAAAGGGGGGGGGACAAAAACGACACTACGGACTACTTTCTGAGTCACTCGTGCACCAACTGTTTTGGCCGATTCGTGCCAGTGAACTCAGTGGAAGAGCGCTTTGTAGCGGCAATGCGTATGTCGTAATCAACTGGCTTGTGTGCAAGATTCAGCGCGCCCTTTGCTGACTCTTCGTTTAGAACATCACATTGCGAGCGCAAACTGGAAACCTTAGCTGCTGTCTGCCCCTTGGGTCAGTTGGGCCGTTTGCTTGCGGGACTCCACTGGGCTGCCCACAGCCGGATTGGCCGAGGTGAAGTGGAGCAATAGGACCTCAGTTGCTTGCTTTCTTTCTGGGGGGCTGCGTTGAAGGGGGTGGTCAAGTACAGCCTTTCAAATCAACATGGAACACACCAAAAAGGGGTGCGGCAAGACTAGCTTCCTCAAAAATGACACTGTAGCTGTTGTTGTGCTTCGTCTTGACCTGCTGGGTGGGTGGTAATTGTCAAGCATCTACATCCATCAACGCTAACACCCACCTTTGTGAGTGAATTCCTCAAAATCGGTATGTGCCGAGGCAAGGCACAACCCCCACCCCCTCAGTTGGTCCAAGGCGCGCGGTGCCGCTGCGTCTGCCAGGACCCTGTCCAGCCTTGAGAATGGCGATCGAGCCCCTGCGTAAGACTTTGGGGAGAAAAGAAGAAAGGAACAAATCAAGAGACGGGCCGCCCATTCCTGGCGCCTGCCTGCCATCGTTGCGTACTCGAGGTCCGTGGACAGCACGGCATAAGACACCTAAAGCACAAAAGGTCTGGCCACAAAGCATCCAAAAAATGTGTCAAAAACAAGAGAACCCCTAAAAAGGCTGGTATCCTTCAGATTTCCCCTTAACCAACCTGTAAAATGGAAAATACCCTCAAAACGAGGATGCCACAAACAAGTGGCATTGTGGTTGTTTGTGATCTGCCAAAACGGCCCCCCTTCGGAATCTAAAATGCACTCAGACAGGATCTTACTTGGCAGTCCACAGGTGGAGGTTCTGGTACTCAGCACTTGCCGCACACAACAAAACTGCTTGCAGTCCTCGCGCCGTTTCTTTTGCATGTGTTGCAGTGAGGTAAACATCTGGGGCTCAATACGGCATTGGCCTTGACAAAAAGTGCCCTCTGTGCCGGATGAGCGCAGTCGTGTGCAGTCATCCTGCGTCATCCAGCGATGCGCCAACTGATTCTCACAGAACACAGCATCTCACAGCGTGGTTGTGACATGATCACTTGTGATAGCAACGTGGGTCACTGTGCAAAATATTACGAGGGAATCACAGGACATTGGATCTCCAAAGGATCCCACTCCCCACAACCACTCAAGTCTTCAAAGGTTGCAGCAGTCGCACCTGGTGCGAAGTGACACCTCAAAGCAGATCCAGGCTTGTGCACCAATTCCTCCATCTGCCCACTGCTCGCCAACAATTCGACCAAATAAACAAGTTTATGTACAACAGCTCCTTGCCATACCCATAAATCCCATAAACGGCTTGCCACAATGCTCTCTGAATAAACCCAACCGCATCGCCCCAAGTGGGCGGATCTTTCCGGCTTCGGTGCCCAAGCCCCGGCTCGGAAGCTCAAGTCTCAGGCCTTCTTGGCATCCCAGCGCCCAGTCTTCTTCCTCATTCTGGGCGCTTCCGTGGCTTTCCCTTCAAGACCCAGCCACAAAAACACCGGGGGTATCCTAGTGTCAAAAAGCTGGATACCGGATGCCCCATTTGGGTGGGCATTGTTTGAGTGGTTGGTCGGTTTCAACCAACCAAAAAAGGGTATGATCAACAAAACATACGCTTGCAACCTCAGAGCTCGAACAAAAGGCGAGCTCCGGATTGCCATTGCAAAATGGACAAGAGAAAGAGTTTATTAATAGGGATCAGAGTGGGATCAACTGCTTAGCAGCCAAAAATGCTAATGGATATGGCCAACAATTCGAGCAACTGGCTGGCGCACGTGAAAACCAAATCTAAATGATGGCCACCAAAGTGTCTTCAACTAACACGAGTTCCCAAAGTCTTTAGGCATGCTTCTGATCCCCAAGCGTTGCTGGGTGCTAAATCGGGCGTCTGGCAACAAAAACAAAAATACTCATCCTCAAAGGTGTTGGTTTCGGAAAACTTTAACAAGTCGGGCAATTCAACTCCCTGTTTGACACCCCCGTCGAGCTTCATCATGTCGAAAACGCAGTGGACCACCTCCAGGGCCTCGCTCGCGGCCGGCGGGGCGTCGCGCTCGCAAAGCGCGCGCTTCTCATCCAGGGAGATGTCGCCCGGTACCAATCCTGCGCATGCCACGTGGGTGGCCCGTTGTTTTTAGAGTGCGTACCCTTCGTTCTTTGTCTTCCCTCAATTTTTGAGAAGCACTCGCATGTTTGTTGGGTGGGCACGCCTCACGTGCGGACTTCAGACGTTTGCAGTGCGCATGAACGAATGAATGAATGCTGGGTGGGCACACTTTTGGGGAGGACTCAGGTTTTTGGGGAACCCACCAACTAAAACCGATGTGTGAACTTTACATATCACTCACCAGAAGGACACGCAATAAGGCTTGACAACAAAATGGTGATGCTGGCCACAGCTTACAACGGGGGAACAAAAACCAGCGCCCGAAGGACCGTCCTTCGGATTGCACGATGGCGTCTTTGGACGGCAGGGCGCGGAGGGCGATCTTCAGGGTCTGCTGCAGCATCCATCCGTGATATTGCCTAGTTCGTTGTCCCCTTTCTATCGGACTTAGTGGAATGTCTCATTCATCCATCTCAAAAATCTCATATGGATGGGGACCGCCAAGTTGCGATAGCGTCTCGGAATAGGCCTCGGTCGCTGCATTCCCGGAGTCCTGCCCGTGGGGTTTGGCCAAGAAGCAAATAAGGAGCTACCAAAATCAGCTCCCTTTCAAGGCTGTCACGTTTAAGGAGGCTCTGGTATCAGAATATGTTCAAAGCAACTTGCTCAGGGGTTCTCTGAGGACTTCTAATCCCACAACTCACGCGTGACACTGGGAGTAAACTGGGCTCATGAAAGTAGCACTCTGACGAATAACCATGCCAATTGTGGCATAAAAGGGCTTGCGCCCTCGAACGCAAACTTTGTCAATGGACCCCCACGCTTGTCTCGCAACTCTACCTGGGTGAAGATCTTCTTAATCATCACAAGGAAGAACTCTACGCCGCGGCAGAGCCAGGTGAGCTTGGCGATGCCCGTGTGCCCCACCGGGAGCTCCAAGAACTTGGACATGGTGCTCCGCTCCGCCGGGGCCTCGGAATACACGGCCTTGGCGTTGGTGAGGTTCTGGTCGATGTCCTATCGCAAACGAGGAAAGCCGGGGCTCTGCAAAAGGACTTGCTGGAATTCGAAATCCGTGCCCTTGTGGTTTTTGCTTGTGGATCTTTTGATCCTGGCACCATGTACCAGGTCCAAATATCGTTCCGACCTTGTTCACCCAGCACCCGCCCAGTTGCCCAGCTGCCGTCGTAGATAAAGGGAACCTTTGCTTGGGCTGACAATCTCTGAGTGGGAAACACAAAGGGCAAAAAGGGTTGACCAAATTTTGACCAATACCCATTAAATGTTCTAACCTTTGGCTTGTGGGCAACCAACAACGGGAAACTGGGGGGGTCCGGGAAAAAAAAAAAAGCCCCAACCTGTTGAGCCCGTTCCGTCCTTCACAATCATGCCAGCTGCAGAGCCCAGCTTGGAGAGCATGTCCTTGCAGATGTAGGATCCCTATATTTCCCTCCGAAAGCATTGCCCCTAGGGAAAGTCACTAGACAGGGGCCAGACGGGTGATGTTAAATCCACAAAAGTGAAGTATAGTGACGCTAGAGGACATTCCTGTTGGACCCACTTAAGCTTCAGACCAGACAGGGGAAACTGCAGGTCAAAACACAGCTAGCCCAAAATGATGAACGCAAAAACAAGTAAGAGCCGACATTGAAGGTAGAGAGCAAACAACTGACCGAAAGGTGAATAACAAACCAACTGATTTCTCACCAACAAACATCCGAGTGTTCCAAAGGGAGACACTTGTCTTTTACCTGGAGTGTGTCTGCTCACATGATTGTTGGAAAAGAACAGGTAGAAACCAACGGGGCGTTAACATACTCGCCACAAGGCAACCATATGGAAATCCACTGCGTTTACGGCTTCCCGGGCCACATCGTCCTATTTTGTGCTCCGAGTCGCTCGGTACAGCTCGCAAGCCTCCCAGAACTCCTCGAGCTTCACATCCACCAAGGCCCCTGACTCCCGGACCTCGCAGGCTTTGAACTTCTCGGTCATCAGGGCCTGGAGCCGACGCTGGTCGCTTTGCTGGCCCAAGCGCCCAAGCTGTGCACCAAGAAAGGGAAAGGGGGGGGGCAACAAAAGGAGGCGTTCCCAAACCCTGCTTTATTTATACATATGTATACATACAAGAAACCGTTGTTTCTTTGATTGAATTAGCTGGCAAATGGTGAAAGGTGATTTTGTGACTGGCCCCAAATGCAAATTTTCAGGGACTCCTTGGAGAAATGCAAGCTGCTGGGTTGGATTGCTTGGAGGTTGCGATTGTCTTCTACAATGCAAGAACCAGGGTGTCAACCCGCCCTCCCACCTCCCCTCCCCTTCAACCAGCACCAGTTCAATTAAGGGTAACCTGAATTTCCACGGGACGCCTGCGGAGAAGAAAGCCAACACAAAAACCTGAACCGATTGGACAAATCGCCAGCCGGTTGGTTTGGGCTTGACTTAAATTGTGAGAACCAGTGGGTTGCCCCGAGGATGCAGCTACCCCTGTGAGTGAGAAAAACCCTCATGTGCAAAACCTAGCAGTAAACATCATGGTTCAATCCAAAAACAAAACAAAGGGCAACCTTCTTCGTGCGAAACCTACCTAACCAAACAGAAAGAGCCAGTTCTTCCCCTTCTGTTGCGGTTCCAAACCCAAAGATAACCAACGCTTGGTCAAACAAATGCGCACACACACACATTCAGCCAACAAGACTTGCTTGCCCAACGCTGTCGGCACCCCCCCTTTTTGGGCGGCTGATTGCAGGCAAACTTAAAAAACACAAGACTGCGTGCCACTGGACAGCCAGGGAGCAAACAGCGTCTCATACGCCTTGGGCGTCGCTGGATTCTCCCCAGGCGCCGGGAATGCGTCTTTAGCCATCTCGTCCTCCTTCATCTCTTTGGCAAGCTTGTGGCTGACCACATCGGTGTACGTTGGCGGCCAGGGAGGGGGCATGACCAGAAGGAGTCGCAAAAGATTCAGTCCCAGGCAATGCTTAGTCCTTGGGCCCAATCCTTCGGGCATGCTGTCCCTTTTTTACTGATTCTTTAACATGAATAAATAATACCAAGAGCCAATGCTGATGGTTGTACTGCATTCCCTCACTCCAGCCATTACGCTGTTGCCCCTGGGGTGCGGCCGCGATTGATTTGTGAAAGAACCATCATTTTCAGATGTCCTTCGTCCGGCGGGGTGGATCCTCTAATTTGCCCTGGTGCGGCCATTTTGGTATGGACTGGGGCCTAATTATGTGCATCGTTTGTGTCTTATCCCTACGGTAGCAACAATCTGAGAAGCTGCCTCATCTGAAAGATACCTAAACCTGCAGGAGGGTCGTCCAGGCTTTCCGCCTCCTTTGTTTTGGTGGGGGGCAGCATGCGGCACATACACACGCCTGTCGTGCATATTTCCTGAAATGGCAACCCGCTTTTCGCTGGTGTTGAAGGAAAACTACTATGAGCGGAAATTGCTTTCTGTAATATTGCCGGCAGCCCGTCCGAATGAGTTCACTGAGGAGAGGTTCCCTACCACAGTCGGAGCTATCCCTTACTCCCAGCAAATTGGGGCGTGTAAGTGCTCCGAAGAATCCGTGTCTCCTCGAAATTAAGGTCAACTCTCCTTCGCCACTTGACAAAAGGACTGGCACCATGATCATGAATCATGATCGCCGCTGAAATTTGTTGTTAAACGTCAGGTGGGCAGCTCCCGAAACCTATTGGCGTCTGTGCTGCCGAGCTGTAACGGTGTATATAGGACATGCAACAGGGGACGAGGCCCATCTCATCAGCAAGAAGCCCGTATGCTCGTTTTGCTTCTGGGAACCGCGCGTTCTCGGTGCCCATCATCTGCGGCTCCGTGACCGAATGCCCAAGGAACGCATCCAGACCTGACTTCCCATAATGAATTCAGTGGATGAAGCGTGGGCTCCACTGGAGACATCACTACAAGCCCCCTTTGGAAGCCTGAGAAGCAGATGGAAACAGAAGCCTCAGAGCTTTGGCCCGGCGCGGTGGTGTTAATGACCTTCTGGACTCTGTCACAAGTCCTCCTGGTCTGCTTTTGCTCCCATGTCGGATGTCTTGGCCGCACGCCATTTTGGTAGTGACCTGGCAGGCATGGACAAAGTCACGACAAAATACTGCAATAGAAGCAGCTCTTTGACAAAATGCTCCTGAGCAGGCGGCCGAAGGGATACAAATGCATCCAACGGATATAGTGCCTGGTGGCAGCATGTGTGATCGCAGAATGGCAGCGTTCGTGCCGTTGTCAAAACTCATAGTGATCTAAAATCAGCTTGTCCTGTCTCCGTGATGGTTGTTGTCGCCCGATCGCCAGTAACAATGTTAACCCCTTTTGAGGGTCCATGGAAGATGGCACAGGAGGACTAAGCTCTGTTGCGCACAAACCTTATGGGATAGCAAAACGGGTCCGAAGCAACCTAAGTAGAGTGCTTCCCCCATACTTATGTGGCCATGGTCATGGATCCTTCAAGAGGAGCTAGGGTTTACAGCATTCCTGTTACATCTGTGCTCACAGGACAATGGTCCCCAGCATTCCTGCGTCGGTTTGACAATGGCACACGTGGTTGCCTGCTGCACTTTCTCAAGGCTGTTCGAATTGCCCCCGAATGCCCCCGAGTATTTGGAGCAACCCCAAA